GCTACAAAATATCAAGAACAGGGTAGCGTCAACATCAGGTCGTCATGTTCTGCATATAAACTGAAAAAAGGGAAGGGAGCTCGAATGATTTAGGAACGAAAAAACTCGTATGAAAAGTGAATTTAATAAGTTGTTTTTTAATTAAAAAACCACTTTTTTATTCGTTAGACGTTTTAAGGCTACAAAAAACTTGTACACAAAGGCAAATTAAGCAAAATAATTTTACATCTCAATGTTAATACATACAATACCCCCTTTTAAGTTCAATATAAAATATGATTTTATGTAAGTAAATAATGATACATTTATAATAAATTCCTAATGGGTTATTAAATTAAAAAATAAAAAATCTTAATATTTTTTTAACCAATTATTATAATTTATATTTGGAGATACTTAGTATCTTTCAGTTCATCACTAGTCAGTTGTCTCGCTGTAAGACCTGGAATTCATGCATCACATATGCATGCAGCTCGAACTCTCCGCTTGAGGTCTCTTAACCCACCACACCACTCTTAACCCACCCTGCCCCCGCAGTCGGTGTATTTTCTTGGATCGACATGAGCTGGAGTTAATTTTATGCAGGCATTCGGACAGACAAATGAATAGGAATGAGAATAATTATGATCATGTTGATGATGGTTGCAAGTTGAAGTTAAGGCTGATTGCCAGTGGAGGGGCAAGAAGGGGTTAACACACACATGAGGTGCATTTGGAATGCAGACTGACAAAGGTTGAAATGTCAAAGTATTTAAGTCACACGATCAAAGAGTCGCTAGCCAAATGACAATTTTGCATTGTTTACCTTTTCGGCTTTGTTTTCTTTTCATTTCGGCTTCGGATGTTGGCCAACAATGGGTTAAGAGCAGCCTTCAAAATTGTGGTCAGCCAGCAGTGCTTCGTTTTTTCGTTTTTTTGTTTATTTTCCTATGGAATTTAGTACCTGACTGTTAATTTTGGCCAATGGCAGCTGTGCGTATACTTAATATTTCAGATTTTTCATGTTTATTTTTTGGGTGTCTTTCAAGGAGGGCCCAGCCAATGACAATCACTTGTGTGTACTTCGTTGTTATTATAGTTGATTACAAATTGAATAAAAAATATTCCGCATATAATCATTATTTGTCTTCTAATTGCAGAGGAATATTAATCAAACGACAGCTCCGCGCAATTAAAAATTTTTTGTGGTAGTCGTAATCGTTTTTGGGTTTATTTTGAAAGCCCCAAAAACTGGATCCACATCATTAAAGATTTCGTAATCTGATCATTTGATTAGATCTTCGACACATTTTTGCCCTTAAGCTTAATATCAGTTTTTGTGGACAATTAATTTTCGATTAGCACAACGATGAAAGCTCTCAGTATTACATAACTAAAAAAGATACCTTTGAAAACTACAGACTTAATAGTAAGGCGGCCTTGAGATCTTTGTTGAACTTGATCTGGTAATGTAAAATAAACAGATCATCTTTAGATTTATAGTTTTAGTCTGAAAAAAAATGTAAAATTATTGTTTCTTCTACTGAAAGTCTTTAATGATTAATGACTAAAATAATAATAGCAATCAATAATAACAAATAAAATATGAAAATACTATTAACAGCTGCTTAAATATTTGTAAATAATGCATGACTGTTTGTGCAGGCCATACACTGATTTTCTAAAGGTGAGTGATCCCAGGTGATCTTTGATCGTAATGCTTAAAATTCACTGGCTGCTGTTTATATTTGCTGCTTATTAGCGCAGTCAGGTGCAATGGCAGTCAAACCGAAAGACCCCCTCTATTTTGTGTATGTACTTAAGTATGTGTCGTACCATAATGTATTGCATATATCGCATATGGTTAGCCCGCGACGGCAGGCACTGCCTAATCTGGTTTGAACAACAATCGTTGCACGCATTCGAATTCGCATTCGCACTCTCATTGCCCGATCCCCCCGTGTATACGGCCCCTTAAAGCCACGATCTCCGCTCCCCGATCTCCGGACAATTACGGCGGCAAGGTCGTCGCCGTTTGCCGTCGCTGGAATTAACATTTGAAATGACTTCATACGAAAATAATTGCGCGAACGGAAAGAGATCAAGCGGGGTGTTTTGCGGAAAATGGTGGCTGGAAAATTGACTTACGCACTTGCCACGAACACTCGCAATTCGGAATCGAGTGCAACGCACGCGGCTAAATAGCAGCTGGCCAACTGGTAACTGGTACTGGCCAACAAGCTAACTGGATAACTGGCCAATTTATGGCCAAGCTTATGAAATACCAAAAAAGCGGCCACAAAACATTGAACATATCTCAGGCGCAATCAAAACGAATCGAAACAAAATATATTCAGAAACGAAACACTTGCTTGAGACTGCGAGGAAATGAATTGGTGGGCCAGGCATATCATTAGATGGAACTGCCGATTTTCGGAGGTTCGGCCAAACACTGGAAAAAAAAATGTCAGCAAAAAAGTTGTCTAAACATTCGATTTCAAGCTATTTTTGATTGCATGCAATTTTATTCGTCGATTAAAAATTAGATTAAGCTTCAATGTAATTTTAATTTCTTTTTTGCATAAAATCTTAATTTTTATAAGAAATTATCAATATAAATGGTTGATATAAAATGCAAAAACCCTTTTGCTGGCTGACTATAGTTTATCATAGCTTAAGGGTAACTTCTTAGGAGAAATTGCGAATGTGATATGGAAAAATGAGTCGCTTTACCAAGTTTTCTGCCGGTGCAGTCCCATGTCTCGCGAACTGCGTCTGGTTCCCCCTTTCACTTTCAATTAGCCAGTGGGCAGTCGCGCGGCTTTTTTGGCCTCTTTGCAATTTTCTCGTTTTCGCTTCGCATTTATTATTATTTATAATATGCGCACTTCACGGAAAAACTTTCGCTGCACGCAAACTTTGTGTGTGTGGAGTGTGCTGCATTTCCTGCAATTATCGCATAAGTACGCGTGCTGAGGGCGGAAAATGTTGGGGGATGGGTGTACCTGCTCAGGTGGATTATGAAACCATAAATCCACATGGGTATCCATAAATGTGCTAAGCGCAATTATGCAAAGTATGCACTTGTATGTGAAATTCCATTCGAAAATGGTAGGTGAGGAAATCACAGTTCCCCGAAAAAGGAGTCACAAGACCCTTAATCGTAATCGACTATGGCCCAAACGGTCATTGAGTTTATGACGAAACTACTGAGATTACTGAGGATTACAACAAATTGTAGTTAAATAACAGTCATTCAAATAAATTAAATTAGCTACGCCACTTAACATTGCGTTTAATAATTGTTGTGTAAGTAGTTATTATATATCCTGAGATTATTGAGGATTCACATCAGTCTGTGTAAACAGGACATAAATAAAGTAATCCATATGTGGAAGATTTTCAAATAAAGCGAGTTGGCTAAAGCACCTATCATAGTCGGGAAACTAGTCTCTAATGTTCTTTATTGTTTTGTATTTGAAAAACGACATTTATAATTTAAATCTTAAACTTTATGAAGGCCGTCTCTGCAATTGTTTTAAAGATAGAACTTAGAAAACGGGGATAACAAATAGCAGCTCAAAATACGCTCATTATTACTCCCATTATTTGTGACTCACAAGCTGCAGCTTTTTATTATTCGTAGCCTTAAACATTGTTTTCTAGCTGCCAAAAGCCAATGTGACCCCAACCGCTCAACAATTCCCATCGAAATCGGGCCACAATCCACAACGAAAATCTTAGAAACCAGTGCAGTTTCTTTTGTAAAAGTCTTGTCAATTGTTTTTTGCATTTTTTTTTATGATTCTTATTTTTGAGCTGGTCAGCCCGAAAAAAACAATTACAATTAGGTGGATAGCCCACAAAATGGAAAGTATTTATGAGCAATTTTTTACTTGCTTGTTGGTAAAGGGAAAAAAATTGACAACCTCAATGAACGAAAATTTGTTAAGTTTCTTAACGACTTTGCCCCGGGGCTTTAAAGCATTTAATGTGCGCTCTGGTCAACGGGTCACTTTAAAGCCATTAGAATGGAAAAAAAACTCCTCGAGAAATGAAGATTAGGTATAGTGTAATTTGTACATATTTACAGGCAACCTTGAAATTCCAATACAGTTGAATTTATCTGGAATTTTTAAGAGTGAACCTAACCAAAACAATTGAAAGCCTGTTTGCCCTCTTCTTAACACCTTTTTTCTTGGACATAACCTTGCTGACTTTCAATAAGCATTTATGAAACATTTTATATTGTTTGCAAAAATCAAAAAACAATACACATTTTAAGGTACATTCATATTTCTCTGAGAATTCCCAACTTTGTCATTTAACTAACATGGTTAAAGTATTTTGGATGAGTTATTATTTTATGACTGCAAAAATAGACGCTTCATATAATATATTTTTGTATGTTTCAAGCTAATTCATAAAAAACGCAGGTCTAAATGATCAAATTACAAAATAAATACGTATATGTAAACAATTGCCAACAAAATCTTAAGTATTTACAATTAAAAAGGTTTGCGTAATATATTTTAATAAAATTTATTATTGTATTATTATTTTAAATTCCATAGCTGCCAAACAGGTATGCACATTAGGATTGTCAAAAAACCTTACAATTAATGTGGTAGCTTTTGGTGTGCAATTAATGTGTTCATAAAATTAGAATAAATTTGTTGATAGACGGCAACTGTGCGTATGAGTGATAAACTTTAAGGCTGCTGCACGGTCACTAAAACGCATTTGAATCTAATATGCTTTCAATGAAGCAAATCGCATAATATTAATGGGTGTGGGGAAAAACTTTAATATTTTTAAACAAATTGGGACCGCATCAATCTACCTACATTATGTGTTAAATTTTCTAGTGATTTTCCTAATCTTCTTAGTGTTTTACAGGTTGCGATGCACTGCATTTTGCACGTGCTTGATAATGTCATTTGTAATTCATTATTATTGTTTTCTTTTATTCGTCGCTCTTTCTTTTTTTCTTTTCTTTAATTTTCCCTGTGCAAACTTACGCTAATTGAAGCGGCGTCTGTGGCCTTTGTATGTATTATTTATTTATTATTGTCTATTTATCAGCTATTTTCTCCTGCTGCTTCGCTGCGTTGTTGTTGTATATTATTGTTGTTGTTGCTGTTTTATCTCAAGTTGAATGAAATCTGGCCGCTAATTTTGTTGTTGTTTTCGCCGGCAGCGTGCTGCGTGCAATTAAAATTCAACAAATTCCATTTCACTTCGACACTCAACTACAAAAAAAAACTGCATCAAGTGATTGATGAACGATAAAATGATCGAAACAGGCGAAAATCCGTGCGATTAATTCGCGATCCACACACAGTACCGTTATTCGAAGGGAGAAAAAAGCAGAAAGAGAGCGCGGAGACAGTATGCGCGTGCGTGTTGCTCGGCGGCGCGTTCGTTGTCGACTGAATTCAAGTTGATCGCTCCGCCGCGCTTTCAACCGCCATTCAGTCGACGTCGCTGCCAAAAAGCTGGCAAGGCAAAGCGGAGCTTTAACTTTTTTGTACGCCACCTTTTGTTGTTGTTGCTGCGATTGGAGATGCCCAAATTCCCAAAATGAGCAGCTACAGAAACCCATGAGAAAAGCCGATTTCTTTAAAAGATTTTTAAGCCGATCTTTTCTAAATAAAGTTTTATCTAAGTTAAAGACTTTTTCAACATTTGTTAACAAAATAAAAGTAATAAAATACGTATTTTAAATTGTCTTTTTAGAAACAAGGCCGAACCAATGTTTATAAAGTCAGTTTTTCACAAAATAAATTTAGGTATTAAAATAAATTAGATAAAATAAATATTTTATAAATAGGTATATTCAAGAATGCATGCCTTTTATATTTTATAGTTTATAAGAGGTTTATTTTTTAAGGAATATGTTGATGTATCAAAAAATCAAAAATTAGCGTCATCTCTGATTGCGCCTGCTTTACAACCTGTTCGCGTAAATCTGCGTTTAAAGAAGTGCCGACAAGCAACAACAAACGGTAATGAGCGTGCAGCAGCCGCAGCAACAACAACGCACTTTCGAATATTAGACTTTCTGCCAGCATCTTCAATCTGCCACCGCCATTCAATTTCAATTTCAATCTGCTGTTTAACTGCAACTGCAGACGGGAAAAAGGCATTTGCTGACGTCACGGCGGCATTCTATGATAGGCGAAAATAATTGAGAGTGATTTCAGGTGGAAAAATCAGGTGGAAAATCAGCTAAGAAAAGTAGCATTAGTAAAATCATTAGAACTTGTACATTTATATACCTATTTATCCCTATCTCAATTGAATTTGATAAATACTCAATATCCAAAATTTCAAAATCATTCCATTATAAATAATAACTTACTAGTGTTTCTATTAAATAAAGATTGGTATAGTTACGTTGTCAAGATCAGTCTCCCATTCCTTTGTGATATATAAATTCATTCCATTACCATCCAATCTTTGCACTTTTTAAAACGAAACCCTTCGCTTCAGTTACCAAAACGCGTTCAAGTGATCTACATTTACAATTAGGCCACAAATTAAAGAATGTTATTCGATTAAACGAGGCACGAAGTTCGTTAAACATTTTTAAATAGAGTTGTTGGGGATTGTTGGCAATTGTGATCATGATCATGTTGATTTGTGGGGTTTTGTTGATGATTCTTTGCACACAGCCGAAAGTGAAGTTGAAAACTTGTTCTCCGTCATTGTTGTTGCTGTAATGTGTACTTTATGTTAATTGAAATCACATAAAAAAGAATTCAATGCTGTTGCCTTGGGTTGGATTGGAAAAATGCGTTTTGTTTGTTTGTTTTTGTTTTTCTTTTTATTTTTGGCACTTGTCGAGAGAGACGTGACTGGAGAATCTTTTTTCGGCTTTGGTTTTTTATGTTGTTTATTTCAGGCTAATGGCGTTACATAACTGACTTCGTGTTTGAGTGTTTCTGGGATGGCAAAAAAATTATATATGAATATACCTTTTGTAAATTGTAAAAGGCGTGTAACGGTTGCATTGCGAACGCTTAGCAGCGGCAACAGCACACAAGAAAGGTAGGAAATCCATAAACAAAAGGCCACAAAAAATTTAATATGAAATTATAGGCCATATAAAATACTTAAACCGAACGAAGAAACGGCTACCATTTGAGTGTGCAATTAAAAGTTTTGATCACTTTTTGGCGCGCAAAGCGGACACAACAACTACTTGAAAATATTTGCCAGTAAAGTATCTTAAATAGAGCGTTCAACTCGCATTATGTGGAGGCAACAACAGCATTAACAGCAACAACAAGAGCCACAAGAGCGGTAAAAACCAAGCTGAAAAACGTAGCAACAATATGGCCAAAAAATCATTAGCAACATGCAACTCCAGGAGGTGCAATTAAAGGATCCTGGACAGCAAAAGACACATGTTTTGGCTATTGATTTGACTATTTCGTCATTAATACAATTTTATCCATCAAAACAATTATTCAGTATACTAAAACTAAACATTAATCAATTCGTTAAATTGTATAAAGGCCTTAAATGTAAAATTAAAACATAACAAGCTTAGTGGTAGTCCAAGAAGGTATTTTTAATAGTACAAATAAATATTTTATTTAATTTTTTATTTAATATTTCTTTCATCAATTGGATTTTCCTTTTTTAAAAAGAGATCTAATTTCTTTCTTTTTTAAGCCATAAATATATCTGATATTTGCAGGATATTAAAAAAGATAATAATATTAATATAATATTGTTAAATGTGTTTTTTTGCGTGCTGCAATCAAATTCAGCGATCAATAATAGAAGAAGCATTTCACAGCAGCATCAGCCATAAAAGCTGCATCATCCAACATCTGCAATCAGACAGACATTAAACACACAAAAGATAAAAGCAAAAGTATGCCAGATTTAAGTATCAGACTAAAAAAAAAAATTAAAAAAAAAAAAAAGTAGACACTACTCCCCCGCCTCTGTAAAGCCTGACGCGAAAGTGCAGTTAAAAAAATAATTTACGCAAGGGGTAAAATAAAAACGACAAGAGACAAAAGAAACCAAAGCCAGAAAAAAGGAGAAAAATTTAACCAATTGAACAAAAACTCCTGGCCGGCAACTTCATGACTGGTTTTTCACTTGTTTTTCAGACTTTTTTTCCGCTTTTTCTTTTTTTGGCTTTTGTTACTTCTGGCACTTGCTTTATGTAAGTTGCAACCTGCTGCTGTTTGCTGCAGTAGAAGTCGCTGCTGCGACAAGTTTGTGTCTTAAGTCTTTCGTTTTCTTATACATTTGGCGGCGTGCTCATAAATCGCTGATCACATTGCGAAAGGTGCCTGCATGATAAGCAGAATGGATATCCATGAATGCATGTGCAAATCGGGGACTTACGTGCCTATATATGTATGTATATAGTTTGCCCAAATATGACGGTGACCAGCCAGCAGGGACTAATTAAATACAAGTTATTGAGCATTTTTAAATAATTTATATTTAGTTTTCTACAAAATTATCATTAAAATGTATCGATAATTGCAATTTTAACCTGTTATATGCAAAAATACTTTGGATATGGTTCTTAAATTTTAATGCCACAATTAGACTTTAAGTACACAGTCAAAATTTATTGTATCTCGTTAAAGTAAAATAGGCCTTGTTATTTAGGCGTATACTATTTAATGCGGTTGGTGGTTGTTATTTTATTACAGTATTTGTCTAGTTTTATGTATAATGAAAGTTAAAGAAGATATTTTGCGGGTCGAATGAATTTATGATCAAAATCCTTGACCCGAACTGGAGAGAGAAAAATGTTTTACGTTCATACAAGTTACTTTTTGAAGTGATTTCTTCCTTTTATTTAATAAGCCATGGCTTTTAGACATTATCAAAATAATACCAAAGTAACAATTTATTTAGGGCCCTCAAATTATAATTTGAAAAATCAGACTCAAGTTAATATTTTTTCGGCCAGCATAATTGCAGTTACTACCAGATTGCAGTGAGTTAAATGCACACTATAAGCCCACACGAATCCAATAAATTCCCCTTAGCCATTGACCAGACATTCAATAAGTCTAAGGCGACTAAAAAACGAGTTCACTACTTTGATCGCCGATCGGGCCAAGCCCAAAAATGAAAACAGGCAGCAAGTGTGGCATACACACAGGTACAGCTCAATCCCACACGCAAGCAAATCAAATCACACAGATACAACAATTCAGAGATACGAAAATCACACAGATACAGCGACAGTCAATGATCTTTGGAAGTTTTATTTTTTGACTTTTTTTTTGGGGGGGCCCCGGCAAAAGACCAAACGAAACTCGCGCATTTTGCCGGCTGCTTTCACTCTCCATCGGATTTTGGAATTCTTTCATAAAGATTTTCAAGGTGGCGAAGGGAGAGAGAGTTGAATAATTTCGAAAACGTCGCCAGTTAACGACTTTTTTCCTCTCGTTCGCATCTCAGTATCTTTCACTTGTCATGCGGGGCGTATGCGCAATTTGCAATGTCCATTCCTCGGCCAATCCCTCCGCCTCCTGCCCTTTGACCGCCTTCACCGCCCTCTGCCAAGGTGCGTAATTAGCTTCAGGTGAGATCAAACAATGCACAGCTCCGGCTCATTGGCCACATGATTAATGAGGCGCCTTTCGAAAGGCAAACCAAACAAATGATCAACAGGATGGTTTTGGCTCTCTATAAGCCACTTAAAATTATGCATCGACGATGGTTAGTGCTATCTATATCTAGATATTATATATCCCATCTTACAACTTATCAGATTTGTTAAAATATATCAACCAACGAATAACTAAGAATTTTATACAATTTAATTACAATAGGTCATCTTTATTTGACTCTTTGGCTTATCTGCACTTATATCTCAAAAACATTTAAAGAAGGCCCTTTGGTTCTGTAAAATGGAATATATTTATATACTACGCCAACAGCCGTCATCATAATCTTTAGCAACTCCATACATTTAAAAGAAAGAAAGAAAGACAGGGAAAAAAACAATTTCTGACTGGGTACGAGGTGAAGTGAAAAAGAAAGTGAACAACTTGTCGAACTCCGGGTGACTCTTTCTCCGCCGATCTGCGATCTCGTCGATTCTGCCAGCAGCCAAGAAATGAGGCACAAAACGAGCTTAAACATTTTCTATTATGCAAATATTTCGGGGGCTGCCGCCACGCTCGTTTTCATGAATATTCAGCGCCAGCAGAAAAAAATTGTAAATAACCAAAAAATTCCAAAATTAAACACACTGAACAACATAGTTGAGGTATGTTCGTAGAGTACACACATCGACAGTTGTTAGACAGATGTTGTTTTATTGCAATTTCAGCAGACTCTTAGCTAATCGTTGTGTAGTTTTTTTAACAAAAGCGAAATCCAAACATTTTCACTTATTTTAATATAAACTAACCTAAAACATTTTACAAAGCTTTTATATGCAATCAGAGTTTATGTGGAAACTAAATGTTAACTTCAGCAAGTCAAATATATAATTAATATTTAATTATTAATCTTAGGCAATCAGATTAAAGCCGAAAAAAGTACATTTGATCATATAATATTAGTCATAATCATTTAAAACTGTGTAAATGTGTCTGCATATAAATATAAATATGTTTTATTTTTAATTCTAAATTTGCGAACAGAAAATTAATGTTTCATTTCTTTTTCTTTATTACATATAAATAGGTACTTTTAATAAGCAAATTGTAAATTCCTATGCCGAATGCCAACCAAAAATTGTAGTCTGCTGGAATTTCCAATTTCTAAAACTATTTGCGTTTTTGATTTACTTTTATTTGGCTGCGCAATCTTGGCATTCGATTGACCAAAAGGCATTTGCATAAATTGGCGGAGCCAGAAAATAAAACGCAGAGAAATAAGGGTCACACTCTCGCCTCGTTTAGAACTTTCGCTGGAGGCGAAAACTTTTGCGGCTAGACGCGGCCGCACCTGTGTGTTTACCTGTATTTCTACCGCCACACCCCCACACAACCGCCCCACCCCCGCAGGTAGCGCTCATACAACCAAATGCCAAACAGCGCACAGCTAATGGGCTGCCTTTGCATACACTGAGAGGAATCAGCACTTAATTCGATCACTACTAGCTCATCCTAATAATAATATTTAATCATCTAATGTTTAAATGAGTCAATTTTATATTTAAGTGGTTTTCTTCTCTTTCAACAGATTAAATATTAATTAAAATAATTTATATATTGATTTATTTTTATATATTTAGTTTATTGGTTGTTTTTAGTCTAAAAACTATCTTGCATTATTTTAGAAATACGATTCGATTAAAATAAAATATATAGTTGAGAAATTAAATATTACATTATTTAGTTTAATTTGGTATGCATAATTTCAAATTAAATTTTTTGTTGGCAATTGAATATCTGAAAAATATAACATAATAAACATCTAAATAAGAAATAGTAATAGTCCAACAGGATAATGGGCATATAGCTACCAAAAATGTTTTAGAAAAAGTCTAGATTTTGTATAAAAATTGTACATTGTTAGTACACTTATTTAATTAATTGCTCTCAGTGCATGCACATTAGAAACTGAGAAAGTGTGTGTGTTGGCCACACTTTTGCTGTTGATACAGTTCAAGTACCCCTCTGCAACCCGCCCCGAATACTTTGTTAGAAAGAGGAGTGCTTGCAAAATTAACCAAAAAACTAAATTGAGTGGAAACGTTTGGTTTTTTCTCTTTACATTTTAGTCGATCTCTGTTTTTGTTTTCTTATGCTAATTAGAGTGCTTAAAATCAAATTGAAGTGAAAACAAAACATCAGCATGCAGTGCGTTCTGCCAAGCAGCAACAACAAATGGACGTTAAGGCAACTAACTAAGTTAGATAAAGCAACAGATAAAAGGAAAAACCAACTTAGTACTTTGTATGAGAGTTATTTTATAGAGTATCCTAAACCGTTAATCTCATAGTTGTTAATCAGGTGATTAAAATATTCAATATTATTCACTTAGGCAAAGTTTACATTTTTCAAAAATTCCAATACAACATTAACGTAAAGTAATTTTTCTTAACTGCCTTCAATGTCTTTCTATTAAATTTCTTATTATTATTTTAAAATTTTATCCAAAAAGATGTTTTCTTAAAAGTCAAAGAATTATTTATGATATCAAACCCGTTTTTGCTCAAAACAAATACAAATACGAATAAATACAATAGTTGTAATTCTTGTATTTTAATCTATTTTATGCCAGACGGATGGAACATAAAAATGCTAATAAAGTTGATAACTTCCACGTCGTTTTCGCTTATTATATCAGCTCCCAGAAGTCCGAGGTTAGTCGTCTTCAATCGATCTAGGTGGGGATTACTCAACCAGCGACAACAATCGCTGGCCGATGGTAACAATGATGATGGTAATGAAGATGATGACGGCGGGGTGATGGCGATGGTGATGGCCTGCAGCTGGGGATGGAGACGATGATGCCATGCTAATGATCGGGCCAAGTGAAAGTGCGATCGGCTGTCAATGACCCACCTGTTCTACGGATATGGTGGTTATGGCCAGCGGTTTCACTTGTCAACCTCGATCCACATTTAGAGTGTCATTGCGAATTCTAAACTGCGTATGCCAGGCACGTTTGCATAAGATATACATATGTATAGTGTTATACGGCACCCACAGATAGTTTGGTCTTTTGGTAGAGGGGTTTTCGGTGGTAGAGTAATGGCCCGCATCGCTCTGCATGCCTGATGTTTTAAAGACTTCGACATGTGTTAAGAAAAGTAGAAAAAGCGTTTCACCTTTATTTTTTCAAAAATATATAACAAATTGTAAGAAAAGAATAAATATAGCAAGCAGTAGTAAAGATAAAATCATTATATTTCGAAAAATTATACAACATCTTTTAGAGACAAGGATAAAAAATTTAAATGATTGAACAATATTTACAATTTAAGAAAAAATATTACATTCTGAAATTATACAAATTTAAATAAACTAATATATGATATATCCAAATATAATTAATTTTAATAGCATTTTGCAATAAAATCCACCTTCTTTTGGACAAAAAATAGAGATTAGCCTTTTATTTGTAATTTCTTGGCCCAACAACAACAAACAGTTTGATTAAGATTAAAGAGTCCGATAGCAAGTCGATATATGCGATAGCTCTCGCGATAACGATAGCGATTACGATTTTTACGATAAGGCCCGCAATAACGATATCTTATACGAGTTTGGTTGGCGTGGCTTAAGAATGCGAGTGCTTTGAAGATTTTTAGTTGAATTGGAAGTTAAGAGTGCCTCTGTTTCGAGGTGCTAGGGGCCTCGTCATCGCTGGCTCGATCGATATCGCTAATATCGAACGATAGCTTGGCAGGCGCCATGGCCGGCAGCAGAAGAAACTCGTTGAACAGGAAGTCGGCGTCCATGGACTGCGTTTTGCCATGGTATCCGCGGACGACGCCCCGCTTCGGCGGTTCGATGAACCGCTCCTTGACAATCAGGGCCCCCGGCGAGGGGGATGGTGAGGGGGACGGCGAGGCCGAGGCGGAACAGCAGGCATTGATCATCCGTCCGTAGTGGGCTCGCAGTGGCTCCCGCTCCGCCGGGACTCCACTTACACCTGCTCCACCGGATCCTGCAGAGAACAACATAAAATGTATGGTAAGCTTTTGTGTTTCAAATTCCATATAACTAGGGTTCGTAACACTTTCATAAAAGTTATACAAATCTAGCTTTTGCATGAATATAATAATAATATAACAGCTTAAGTAATACATTTTGTAGTAACAGTAAAACAAAGTTAAACGATTAAATAAGCTAACACATATTTCAAAAGAAAATTCTCCTTTAATCTTAGAAAACCAAACATTTTTCTTTGGCTTAAAAGAAAACAAAGCATTAATTTGAATCCAAAGATTTAAATCACGACATGTAGCCATATCTAATTTACTTATTTATTATTTATTTTGAGAATATATTGATCTTGGCTTAAAAAGTGCATTATATTTTACTGAGCCCTTCTATCTTTAAATGATCATCAATGAGCATCATGAGCAGAATTAAAAATTCGGTCAAAAGAAATTGTAGCCATATGGACCGAAAAGTATTGTTATGCTCTTTAATTTATCATACTTAGACTCATTATAAATCGATTTGTTCTGGGAAAATTGCGGTGAAAGTAAAAAAAGAAGCCGGTGGAGGAGAATGCACATTGTTTTTAAGAGAATGCCTCAAACGGCTCAATTCTAATTTCAATGCAATGCTCATTACAAAATAGTTTATTTACAAGAAACAAAAGGGGAGGAAGTTTTATAGTCGGATTCTTATATAAGATACGATTAGTACTTAAAATTAAAATCAATGTATATCGATCCTATTGATTAGAATGGTTTTTAAATCGCTTCTTGGGAAAAAAAAACTCAAATTTTTTCCGAGTAGGGCGGATAAATACCTAGTTTTAAGTTAAACCAAACCCTAAACTTAAACGTGAAATAAAAGGTGAACAGTCAACCAAAACACATGAATTAAATAGTTTTTTTAGGCACCTCCTCTTTGATGCTGCGGCGATCCTCCGAGTACTCCGCTGCTGCCGCTTTTGAGGTTTATGCAGCTCTGGGTGTGGCTAACGTTGGCATAGTCATCGGCTGTCTGCATGGGGACCCGCTTGAGTGTGTTGCTCTCGAAGGGAAAGTTCGAGTTCGAGGTGGACTGCGTGAGGTTCTCGAATTTGCGTAGACGTGCATCCTGGCGTAGATGTTGTGGCCCCGCCGCCGGTAAATTGATGGAGGCATGAAGGATTGCAGCGCCCCCAACCGATCCGCTTGACTCGCACTTTTCCTGACCCGCTGCTTGAGCGGCATTGCCCTCGAACAGGCTGATCTGTTTTTGGATCCTGGGCGAGACCGGGTCATGGGCACGGCGCACGGGACGCACGTGCTCCGGCGAGGCCTGGGTGACGCGAACGGGCAGGGCAAAGCCAAAGCGCGGATCATCGCTGGAAACTTCCGGAGGACCCTCCGCATGGCTGGGGCAGCAGTAGCAGGTCTCCAGTCGCGGCTCACAATCGGCCGGCAGAGAAGGTGTGGTGGCCGCCGACAAAGTGGCATCCTCATCATCCTCAAATCCCTGTAGGGAAACAAGAAATAATAAACCGAAAGATTTTGATTTGAAAATATATAGAAATAAGGAAATTTAAATATGTTTAATCGAGCTAGTCTGCTGATAAGAAATATGAATATTTCTAAATACTAAAATATAGAATGAAACTATTTGAAATAATACGTGTTTTTGTTAACTTATACAACTTTAATACTGGCAACTCGTCAAAAATTATATTACTAAAAATCTTTAATTTGAAAAGAATCCAAATTGACGTAAATATATTTAATAAATAATATTACAAGTCGAATTATCATTAATGAACAACTTTACTTGGTTTTGAAACCATTCTGTAACCTATTTAGAAGATCTTATTAAATCAAATGTATGGTATCCATATCATAACAAATTTTTTCCAAGTACAGATACCGAAATAAATAACCTAAGAAAAGTCGACAAACTGCACTCACATCCATAGACAGCGTCATTGAGCCCTTGTTGGCCACCATGCTGAGGTCCAGATCCATGCCGAAGCTGACTGGAGTGAGGCAGGTGCTGCCGCTGCCCTGCTCCTCGCAAACGTTTAGAAAGATTCCACCGCCCACGGCTCCCTCTCCGGATTCCAGACTGTCCCTGTTCATTGGCTCAAAGGAGGCGGAAGCTGCCGACGTGCCCTGCTCCATAATCTCCATTGTAAGGTCCAAGCTGGACAAAAGATAACATTTAAACGGAACATTTAAGAATGTAAAAAGATGTATTGTACAAATATTTTGTGTCACCTTGGCTTCATTTCCAACTCTGGTAAGGATACGTCCTCCTCCTCGGCTGCCTGGAGACTATCTTGCGGCCAAACTTTTTGGGTACGGGTGTGAGGTTGGTGATCAAGTGATTCAAGATGTTAGTTTAACAATAAATTATTAAGAGGAGGTATGGAGACGAGCGATTAGAAAACAAAACTTAATGGAACAGCGAAAAAAAATTAAATTAACAGGAAGAAAGCAAACTTCGGCAGGCCAAAGTTGATATACCCTTGCACCTATTACAAAAATTAAGTATTCTATTATTCGATTATGCTTAAATGGAATGAAACTTGTTGATTTTCAAAAAAAAAATTTTATTTTTCCTGTGCTCTTTATGAAACTGTCATCCGATTTTTATACCCTTGCAGAGGGTATTATAATTTCAGTCAAAAATTTGCAACGCAGTGAAGGAAACATTTCCGACCCTATAAAGTATATATATTCTTGATCAGCATCACCAGGAGAGTCGATCTAGCCATGTCCGTCTGTCCGTCTGTCCGTCCGTCCGTCCGTTTCTACGCAAACTAGTCCCTCAGTTTTAAAGCTATCTGCTTGAAACTTTCCCAAAAGTTGTCTTTCTATTGCAGGTAGTATATAAGTCGGAACGAGCCGGATCGGGCCACTATATCATATAGCTGCCATATAACTGAAAGATCGGAAAGGCTATAACTTTGGTGTTTTTTGAGTTAGGAAGTTGGGATTTCCTATGGGTTTTATTTTTGGCCAATCAGTCTGACCTATCAAATTTCATAAGGATCGGTCGACTATATCCAATAGCCGCCATATAACTGATTGATCGGAAATGCCATAATTTTTGTGTTTGTTAAGTTAGGAAGTTTCATAAAAATCGGCCGACTATATCCTATAGCCGCCTTATAACTAAACGATTGGAAATGCCATAACTTTGGTGTTTTTAAAGTTAGGAAGTTGGGACTTTTTATGAGTATTAAGAATACATCATATGAATAATTTTGAAGAATATAATTTACAGAATATTCTGCAAGGGTATATTAACTTCGGCTCCGTCCGAAGTTAGCTTTCCTTTCTTGTTTTAAATTATTTTAGGGTCCTGGGGGACCCACATTATTTAGTCGTCCGAATCGACCCGTTCCAAATTATATACCATTACTTTTGGGAAATTTTCATCCGTAAGATCGGATCGACTCTCCTAGTGATGCTGATCAAGAATATATATATTTTTTATAGGGTATAAAAACGAAGCGTTTGAGAATTACAAAGAAAATTAATTACAAATACTATTAAAAGTTAAGAAAATAAATTAATCCATTTTTAATACACCCTAATGTATGCATAAATTAAGAAGCCATAATGAAGAGGCAAAGAAAATAAAGGGATTAGAAATACTTAAACAATTTTTCGAAACAGATTCAGTGCGAAAAAATACTTAGGCAGATGCGTGCAAAAAAGTCATGATTAAATAGCGAAAAAGGTTAAGACTGAGAATTTTTATCTAAAAGTAAGTTCATGAAAGGAAATAAACACATAGTGTTGCACTTCTTGCCATATTTATTCCAGTTCTGAACAAAAGGCTTAAGAACTAAAAGAATTCAAGACACAATGACATAAATATGTATCTATTCATATATGCATAAATATCAATAATGATTGGTTATAAATATACACAAAGAGGTAAAAACAAGGGTCAGCATTTGCTTTAAATGCTTGGCTATGTTGGATTTTCTGAAACAATATAAATAAATAATAAAAAAATTAATCAATTAAAAGTAAATAAAAATAAATATATTCGCACCCTTTTTTCTGGAACGTTTTTATTATGAAGTTACAAATTTGAGTTTAGTTCCAAGGGTTTTATTGGTATACAAATAAAAATAAAAACCTTTTCATAAACGAAAAACGATGTGAAAAAAAGTTTTGTCATCATTAAAGACTTGAACAAATTCACAAAATGGTTTTATATTTAATACATTCTGATAAATGGAAGTTTCTTTTTAAATAAAAAAAAGTTACCTAAATTTATTGAAGATGCTACAAATAATTTGTTCCCTTTAAAAAAAAACAATTTTAAAATTCAAAATATATTATGTTTTTTAAAAAGAGCTCACAATAAAGATTTAAAAAGCATAACATCAGCAGGCAAACATATATACATATATAACAATAAAATAAGTTTATTAAACTAAATTTATGCGGCTCGGAAATTTTGAAAATTGAAAAATGTGATAAAATAAAACTTCTGCGTTTGATAATTTTGAATTTGGTTGGACTAAATAAGTACATAAGGATATGGGTAATCGAATGAAAAGGTAAACCAGATCTGGTCCACCTCAGCACTGCCACTCGACCAGGGATTTTTTTCTGCACTTACGCTGCAACTTTCCCGCCAGCGATTGCGGCAGCACGGAGTTGCAGTCGTCGAGTACGGGACACTGGCTCTCCGGCAGGATCTGCGGCTGGGCATCGGTCGTGGATCCGGACTCGCTGCCACGGCGGTCAAAGGTCGGCGTTACGGGCTTGGGCATGGCCGTCTCCGGCTGATTGGTGGCGGTCAGCGCCATCGAGGAGACCGCTGGCAAGGTACTCTTGGCAAAGCCACGCGGCGGTGATCCCGTCGGCGTCTTGAAGATCTGCGCCAGGATCATGTCTTGCAGGAAACTGTCCAGCTTGCGCAGCGACAGGGCATTGTGCAGCGTCTCAAGTGGTCGGATTGGTGGCACATCGCCAAATCCTGCGGGAAATAGTTGTCATTATCAAGAACAGATTAAGTTGAACTGTTTTATTTCATATTTTAAGGATACAATAGGGAGTTCATTGTTAAAGCTTCTTTTCAGGTCTATTTTTCAAAGTACGCAATACAAAAAAATTAGTTTTCTTAAGATTAAAGTTCTTGGAAAATTCGATTGTTATCATGCTAAAAAGCTTCTCTCATAAACTAACCCAATGTTTAAAATATAAAGTGTTTCATATCCTATATATATGTTTTTTACTTAGTACCTAACTACACTTAAAACGAGGACGGAAGCTAACTTCGGCAAGCCGAAGTTTTAATACCCTTGCAGTTTGCCGAAATTGCTAAAACTGAAAAAGTAGCGAAAGGAATAAAGTATACATAAATAAAATAGATTTGCATCGTTTGATGTCAATTGCTTTTATACTGCAAAAATGTCATATAAAAATAGAAAAAAAGGGATACTTTCGCAGCCTTTAACAATTTTTCCTACGGAAGCTATAAGATATAGACGTCCGATCGGCAAGCGCTTTTACCCTAATCAAGATATGCGTAAATAAATAAGACTTGGAAAAATTTATGTCAGTAGCTTACACACCACGCGAAAAATTCAGAAAATCATCAAATTTGGACCGATTTCACCCTGTTGTTCCTATGGTAGCTATAGGATATAGACGTCCGATCGTCACGTGCTTTTACCCTAATCAAGGTATGCATAAAAAAATACGATTTGGAAAGATTCATGTCAATTGCTTATATACTGAGCGAAATATCCTAAAAATCATTAAATTTTAACCGATTTCACCCTATTGTTCCTATGGGAGCTATAGGATATAGACGTCCGATCGCCAAGCGCTTTTACCCTGATCAAGGTATGGATAAAAAAATAAGTTTTGGAAAGATTTATGTTAATAGCTTTTACACTGCGCGAAATATCTTCCATTCTTGAAAGTTATATCCGATTGTTCCTATGGGAGCTATAGGATATAGACAACCGATCGGGGCAGTTTTCAAACTTGATCTGCGTACACATGTTTTAGGACAACTGTGAAAGTTTCAGATCGCTAGCTTTTAAACTGAGCTCGCAAACGGTATTGAAACAGACGGACAGACGGACAGACGGACATGGCTATATCGAATCCTCTATTGATCCTGATCAAGAATATATATACTTTATGGGGTCGAAAACGTCTCCTTCACTGCGTTACAAACTTCTGAACAAAATTATGATACCCTCTGCAAGGGTATAAAAACATTGTCCGTAACTTTTTTATACGTGAATAAGGTAACCTGTAATTTTAATATTTTGTGAGACTCTAGTAGTAAACTATAATCATGTTATTTTGATATGTTTACCATTGCTTATCCATTTCCTACATAACAAAAAGATAAGCCCCTAGTTTAGCGTCTAAGTTGATACAAGAAATCATAAAACATTTTAACGATATTTTAAACTTATACTATCTTAAAATATACAATATTTTAAGAATCACAATAGGTTATTCAATATCCTACAAATAATTATTAGTAACAAGTTATATTCCTACCCTAAGTTTTAAAAATGTTTTAAGGCCAACATTTAAGTACTTTGTAACGACAAGTTAAGTTTTATTGATAATAATAATAATGAAATGCATTAGGATCAGCTACTTAATCTAATATTTGAGATATGTATATTTTAGGAATCACCGCCCTTATCAAATATAAAAAACAGTACAGTATCTTTTCAGATAAAAGTGAGATAAGTTTAGAAAATATTTGGATCAAAATATTTTCCAAGCAGAAGAATAACTGATCAGAGATCAAAAGTTCTATTAATTAACCAGTGTACTACAAGCAGTAATAAGAAATAGCATCAATAACTATTAACTAACTTAAGCAATATTTGTAAAATAATACTACCACAGAGTTCCCTATTTTATGGTGTACTCACCGGATGACGAGACCGGTATCATGTCGCGAAGATTGGGGGCGGACGAGCTGCCGCTGATGACGGCGGTGCTGAAAAGGCTATTTGCGCTGGTGGCCATCTTTTTGCTAAAACCACCGAAACCCAACATTTTCATATAGGACATCTGGCCGGCAATACTGTGTCTTTGGCGACGCGACGACGTGGACGAGTTGGCCGATGACACCGAGGCCGAAACCGACACCGAGACTTGGCTATCTGTGGCGATGGTAGTGGTACAACAAGACGGGGTCGTGGTAGTGGTGTTTGTATTTGTATTTGTGGCGGTGGTGGTGTTTTCGTTCAGTGTATTATTGAAGGTGCATGATATTTGTTGTTGTTGTTGATCGGTGATCGTTGTTGAGTTATGGTGGTGATGTTGGTATTGATGTTGATGTTGATGTTCATGATGTTGGTGTGGTGCGTCGTTTGCGGTGGGATCGATCGATTGGAATTGGTTAGTAAATGGTTGATTAGAAGACATTGTTGTTGTATTATCAAACAAAGCTGCTGCTGCTGCTGTTGTTGTTGTAATGGTGGATGGTGTAAATGGTGGGGATGTAGGGATGGCTGTTCGTGACGTAGTTGGTGTATCATTTCGTATACCTTTTGTAAGATCGGTTGTTGTAACTGTTGGTGTAACCGTTGGTGATGATTTTTCTATATCTGTTGTATCGGTTGTTGTAACTGTTGATATAACTACCTGTGTAACCGTTGTTGTATCTGTTGGTGTAACCGTTGTTGAATCTATTGTTATATGTTTATTTGTATCAGTTCTTATATCTGTTGCTATTTTAGTTGCTGTAGCTGTTGTTTTAACTTCTGCTGTCTCTAATTCTGTTTCTTTTAATAGAGCTATGTCTTTAGATATTTCCCCATCTACGGGTGCAAAAATGGTTGTAACTGTTGGTGTCACAGTCGTTCTCTTGTCGTCCTTTATGCTCGTCAATTCCACGTTACTTGCTGCACCAGTAATCAGCAACGTGGGCAGGTTATAGACCACTTGAGGCTGTGGCTGCGATGGTTTTGGATCGACCTCCATTGTGGGAGTGACCTGCTCTTCGATAGGCTCGAAGCAGCTTACAAAACAGGCGCTAGACGCTGCCGAGCCCACCGATGAAACGGTGAAGCGAAACGGATTTTCCGTCGAAACAGGAGCCGAAGCCGGCATGGACAGCTGGCCACAGGAGCTACTGGTGGCCTTGCGCTGAGCAGAAGATGAGGCCGAGGCCGAAGCCTTGTCCATATCCTGGCAGAGACGTAAAGTCGAGGCTGTGGGCGAGGTGGTGGCATGCGTCATGGGCGAAAGAGCAGCTACCAAAGGCCTTTGACCAAAGTGAGAGCTCATCAGGATGGCCGGTGCCGAGCTGGACAACTGGAAGTCATCATCGAAACTGCTGGCACTCACCTCCGCCGCCGTCGACGGCTCGCCGCCTGTCTCCGAATCCTGCCCAGCTTCTGGAGGAGACGACGCACCAATCGCCTGTCCCAAATCCATCAGACTTTTGGAGTGCGAGTGCGCCTGAACCGTCGAGCTGCTGCAATTGCAAGAGCTTAGGGGTCGCTCATTGGTGGCCATTGGCGAAATCTGCGGCAGGTGCCGCAGCTGCTCAAGATCATCGCCCTCGTCACAGCTCTCCATGCGCCGCATGGTCAGCACATGGAGACGTTTGTGCGACATTGGACCGCATTGGGGCGTCGCTGGGTTCAGCGAGAAATCAATGTCCGACAGCGGCAGTTCGTTCGTCGATGAGTCAATTTTAAAGAAGGATAAACTGTTCGTAACCCGAATCTGAAAAGCCGTGCGATTTCCAGCCTTTGGATGAGCTCCGCCATCCAAGTTGTTGGCCACGCCCACTCGGGCATGTGTTATTTCGGCAAAGTCTGAAGTACGAGACTGGGCAATATCCTCAAATTCAGAAGTAAGAGCCTCGGCAATCTCCTTCAAATCGGAAGAATCAGCTACTAAAGATCAAAGTCATTTTCAGTCCAAGAGCCGAATGAAGCCAGGATGAAGGGTAATTAGTTAGGCATGATGGTGGATTCAAGTTTCCAGTCCAAAGTCAGCCAAGTTCGTATTGATAAATTCGAATATTTTGAGTGTCCGTGCGTTGTTGTATGTAATGGTGTGTACAAATAGAAAACTCATTAGCCGAGATAATTAATAAGTCGAAGATCGCGCAAAGTTCGTAGAGAAACAAAGGTTCGTAAAAACAAGGGGATAGAAAAAAACGAAGGAAAAACAATTTGTAAAACAAAAATGAAAACAAAGGGAGGAAAAATAAAATCGGCAAGCCGATTGGAAAATGCTCTTGCAATAGCGTTACATTGTCTAAACTTCCCTAAAATACAAAAAAAGTATTAACATTTTTTTAATTTTATATATATAATATATAAACAACAAGAAAGTTTGTATTTTGATCCAGTTGTCTTATAAGTTTAAAGATAATCTCTGAACCCGTTATTAATTTGTATTATTAAGAACAAATTGAAAACCCAGTAATATATTCTGTCTTGGTTAACTCCTTTAATTATTTTCTTACATAATGTTAACCGCTTGTTTGAACTTGTGTATTTTTAAAGCTGTCTTTCAAAACTATTATATTTTTTCCAAGAAATTTCTAATATCTAACAATATACCCAGCAAGAGCATTTAGACAAATTTTAAGCTGGCAAACTTGGAGGCTGCAGCGGCAGAGGCTTTTAGTAGAAGCTTTTAGTAGAGTATAACAAAGTTCAGGCTTCGTGAGAGTAATTGGGTTCTAGAGTCCGGTTAGGTCCTTGTGTGAGTGTCCTCGTAGATCTTTTTGTGTTTCTACGTATGTAAATGTGTGGCGGCGGGCTTGGATAGGTGGGAGGGGGTGGTTCTGCAAACAACAACAACGAGCAACGTACAGACAAAGACAAGAGAACTCCACAAAACCAAATTCAATTTTTTCAGTTTTTTTCCAATATTTTTCAAATCCTTGCTTTTCATGCACTGAGACAAAAACAGAGGGTGATAGGCAGGACAAAAGGAGGCAGACAAACAGGCAGAGATATAGAGATAGAGAAAGAAACAGAAATAGAGAGAGAGAGCAACAAAGGGGGATAGAACATTGTGTGACCGTTGGTAGCTGGACCCCAGCAAAAATTTGTATAATTCTTTTAAAACAAAGAAGTGGGTGGTTGTAAATCTTTCCTGGGGCTCAGCTGCCTTTTGTGGGGGCGTGGCAGGAGTGCAGGGGGCGTGGCTAGAGTCGCTGGGTGTGTGTGTGTGTGTTCTTTTTTTGTGACTGAGACAGTGTGACCAGCATTGCCAAGTACACGGGATTCCGCGGCCAGATGCTTATAGATTTTCAGTTTTTCTCGGCAAACATTTTTGTTTGTTTTTTTTTTTTTTTAAATACAGATCGAGATATATTTATATAGAACGAAAAAGGTGTGTAATGTGTTCTGGGTGTGTGTGTCATTTCGATCATTATACAATAGAAAAAATGAAAACCAAAAAATGTTGGGCACAGATCAGGAGAGATACAGATGGAAATTCTTTTAAACTTTTTCTTGAACAATAGTGAAAAATGATGAAAAATTACAACGGAATAATATTCGATTACCATTCGAAATAGATAGGCATCTAGCTAAAGGATATATAATATCTATTTATATATATATTTAAAAAAAAAGAGTCAAACTCATCGAAATATATTGGGTAAGGGAAATATAAAACAAAATCAAAGCGAGTTTAGGATTTTGGGGAAGGGGTTTCCTTTCTGTAGTGTTAGTCTTGGGGATCCCCAGTGGTGTTAGCTGGCAGTGCGGACGGGAAACCGTGAGACGCAAACACAGAAAACAAAAGAACGGCATGCAAAGAACCCCACAAAAAATATATTGTAGAAACCATAAGAAAAGAAGTTATGCACAATTTCCATAAATTAATAGAGTGGCTTCTTCGGGGCAACCGAAGAATGGATTATCTGGCAGAGGGAATAGATAGCTTAATATATCATCCTAAATTTATATGTTAACATATTAACTTATAAAGGAAATATTTATAGGCGGTTTAGGCGAACAAACTTTGCCAACAGCACTAGCTCTAAATAAAACAACCTAAAACATAAATCTGTAAAAGCCATCTCTTTAGAGGAAATATAATATATTGGCATCCAAACTGCCATTAAATGAACTAACATGGTAGTTTAAAAGGACAAAAATACAAATCAATGTAATCAATTTATGATGGCTTAAATATTTGCTATTTTAACAAAGTTAACCATTAGGTCCAAAGATAGGCATTATTGATCCTCTTCATGGCTTTTCAATAAAACTCCTCTGCCAAATCATATCACATAATAATTTATGGGTAGGGAAACCGAACCGTTTCAGTGCGGATTAGTCTAAAATTGGTATTAGCCAATCGGGTGGTTGTGAGATGTGTTAGACAAAAAAGGAACTCGGATTATTTTTGGGTAGCTGGGGGAGGGGTGGAAGGTGGATGGTGAAATCCCGACCCTGGGGTAAAGGCGTCTGCGAAGGCGGCGGCGGCAAGCTTTGCTCGATCGACCGACAGGCCCTGCCCAAACATACGTACCCGGCTCCTTGGCACAGACGCCGGAGGAGGGACGCTGCTCGAAGCTCCGGGAACGCGGCTCGCAGTCAGGGCTCACTGCCCGCATATCCGGACTGATGGGCCGGAGCTGCTGGTTCTGCTGCTGCTGCTGCTGTGAGGCCAGCTCCTCGTTCAGCCGCTTGGCCAGATCCATTGCCTCATGGCCACTGACCGTGTGATGGGCTCCGATGGGGATGGGCTTCGATTTGAACTGCTTGGATCTCAGCTCCAACCTGTTGAATCCAAAGGCGGGGGATGTGCGTTCCGCGCTGCGATCCGAACTCCTTTGCCCGGTGGACTGAAACAAATACGGAGTAAATATCTTACATAATTAAGCTCCAAATAAAAAGGGTTAAAATCCAAACTTACCGCTCGCTTCTTGCCCTCGCGCTCCTCTCCTGAATTCGAGTCGTTCTCCTCCTCAATCCTGGCGGGATTTGACTCATCCGAGGACTGCAAACTCACATTACAGGCATTGTCGCCGTGCGAATGGGGCCTGAAGCCCGGACCCGGCGGCAGATTCTTCTGCACACAACAATTTACGCCCGGACTGAAGTGCAGCTCGACGTGGAAACGTTCCTCGGAGGTGGGATCCTTGGTGGGGTCCTCGTACAGCATTATGACGATCTGGGACATATAGTTGAGCTCTGATACCATCGAAATATAGTCCATAGCCCGACGCCACTGCTCATCCGTGACCACATTGAGTAGTCCCCCATAGCGCAGGACTGTGAGCAGCGAATGGACGTGCGATTCGCTGGTGAAATAGAGCCTTGTACGGACATGCCTCTGAGGACTGGCCACACCATGGCTATAGTGTGGATTCAAACGATTCATGAACTCATCCTCCACCTCGTCTATATTCCGCTGCAGATCACCCTTGATCTTCCTTAGCAATGGTGAGCAAATTCCCTGGCCAATGGCCAGTTTCTCCTGCGGCGTCAATCCATACTCCTGCGGTATAACTATATCGGCCAGGTTTTTCGCGTAGATATACAACTCCTCCGCCTGATCATACTGCAAAGTATGTTGATTGTGCTGCAGATCGTACTTGATGCAATCGTAGATATCCGGTATCTTTGAAATATCAAACAGCTTGGACTTGGTACTAAAATCCTTCTCGATTTTCTCCCAGCGACAACGCATTAGGTCCCATGTCTCGCCGTGATACAAGATCGCATCCTTGGTCTTCGGATCGTCCTTCTTGATACTGATGATGTGTAGGAGCTCGCGAATGAGCTGGTGCACGTGGTGGCAGCAGTCCACCGGATTCTTCACAAAGTCCAGCGCCTGGGTGATCGATTTGCTATTGCATGGATTGATCAGCTCGCGGTCCTCCTTGGAGAACTCCCGATCATTTTGCATTAACTCATGGAGGCGACCTTTGGCCCTGTACAGATTTATAAACGATTTAACAACATTAGAAGAAAAAATATTAATACATCCTTGCACCTGTTACAAAAATTAAATATTCTATATTTCGATGCTTTAAAACAATATTTCCGATAAATATTTTGTTTGCTCCTATGGCAGCTATTTGATATAGTCGCCCGATTTTTTAAAAGTAATTCTTATGGAAGCTATATGTTATAGTATGCCGATCCGGCCCGTTTGGACAAGAGAGAAAACTTCTTGCAAAGTTTCATCTAAATACCTTAAAAACTGAGAATAGTTTGTAGAAACGGTAGTAGTAGTAGAAACGGACAAACTGACATGGCTAGATCGACTTTAATATTGAGGCTGATCAAGAATATATACGCTGCAACCTTTTGACAGAAAATATAACAACCTCAGCAAGGGTATACAAATGACAAACACAGAGAATTAACCAACTATCATTTAGAAGTATGCCACTTTGAAATCGAATGTCTGTAAGAAAAGTTATGAACTTAGAAGTGCAGGTTTTTGGCACTGGTTATCACAATGAAAATGACGAAAAATCGACCCAAAAAAAAAAACTAAAGTAAAAACACCGAAAAACACCACAATCATTTTGAGGTAAGCCACTTTGAAATCGGATATCTGTAAAATTTGGATAGGGGTTACAAAAATGACGAAATATCGGCTCCAAAATACAAACCAAGTTAAAAACACCGCCCTGACACCGAGAGAATTAAAACATGATCATTTAGAAGTATGCGATTTTGATATCGGATGTCTGTAGAAAAAGTTAGAAGGTCAGGTTTTTGGTCACTTTTCTGTAAATGTAAAAAAATGTACAATTGCCCTTGTCATCGTCATTGTTAGTTTTTACTCTTCCTAGGCTTATAATTTCCAACCAGTTCTAACCAAAAAACAAGAAAGGAAAGCTAACTTCGGGCGGAGCCGAAGTTGAAATACCCTTGCAGAATATTCTGCAAATTATATTCTCCAAAATTATTCATATGATGCATTCTTAATACTCATAAAAAATCCCACCTTCCTAACTTTAAAAACACCAAAGTTATGGCAATTTCAATCGTTCAGTTATATGGCAGCTACAGGATATAGTCGGCCGATCCATATGAAATTTGGTAGTTCGGATTAATTGGCCATAAATAAAACCCATAGGAAATCCCAACTTTCTAACTTTACAAACACCAAAGTTATTTCATTTCCGATCAATCAGTTATATGGCAGCTATAGGATATAGTCGGCCGATCCTTATGAAATTTAATATGTCGAATTGATTGGGCAAAAATAAAACCCATAGGAAATCCCAACTTTCTAACTTAACAAACACCAAAGTTATGGCATTTCCGATCAATCAGTTATATGGCAGCTATAAGATATAGTCGGCCAATCTTTATGAAATTTGGTAGGTCGGATTAATTGGCCAAATATAAAACCCATAGAAAATCCCAACTTCCAAACTTTACAAACACCAAAGTTATGACATTTCCGATCAATCAGTTATATAGCAGCTATAGGATATAGTCGGCCGATCCTTATGAAGTTTGGTACGTCGGATTGACTGGCCAAATATAAAACCCATAGAAAGTCCCAACATCCTAACTTAACAAACAGCAGAGTTATGGCATTTCCGATCAATCAGTTATATGGCAGCTATAGGATATAGTCGGCCGATCCCGGCCGTTCCGACTTATATACTGCGTGCAAAGGAAAGAAGGGTGTGTGCAAAGTTTGAATTCGATATCTTTAAAACTGAGAGACTAGTTCGCGTAGAAACAGACAGACGGACAGACAGACGGACAGACAGACGGACAGACGGACAGACGGACAGACAGACGGACAGACGGACAGACGGACATGGCTATATCAACTGAGGAGGTGATCTTGATCAAGAATATATATACTTTATGGGGTCGAAAATGTCTCCTTCACTGCGTTGCACACTTTTGACCAAAATTATAATACCCTTTGCAAGGGTATAATTACGACCTATGTGTTGTTGCCACACCATAAATCGAGTTAATTGAATGTGCGTGTTTTTTGAGGGATCCAGATGATTAATGGGTATACCATCTGACATAGATTGTACACCAGGATGAAGGATCAAGGACCTCTCAAGGTATCTGGATTATATTATTATAAATTATATTCACTTAATAAATGTTCTAAATTACAATTCCAGATCATGTGTGTATGTTACTGTGATTATGGATCAGAAAAGAACGACTTTATTTGCGTCACTAAGTTTTTGCAATCCGAACTGGACTATAGTTTCTGCATTTAAATTCTTACGACGTACTATATGTCACTTTTCGAAAACTCGGAAAAAAAAATCGATCCAAAAATACAAATCATGATTTAAACGTAGATTTTTAAACAAGTGATCAGTGAAAGATAAGCGAAGAAAATCATATAAAAACGAAAATTGATTGTTGTTTAAAAATCAATTAGCGATCCATCAGCAATTGATGTTTAAATAGCCAAGTATATAATCCTGATGCAGTTGATAAAGCAATCATTAAGAAATGGTGGTTGATCGTCTCGCAATTATTTAAAAAGTCTTGTAAGATAAAGGTACTTACAGGTTCTGATATTTGCTGGAGTCACAATCATTGTCCAGCAGTCCATTCGTATTCGCACTCTTCACCATCTGTACGAGAATGGGTGTGAGTTCGCCTTCCAGGGCCAGCAAACCCTTTGCAAAGGCAGCCGCCGTCATCTGGACACGTCCCTCATCCGAGGCGTAAATCTTCAGGTCGTGTCGGAACGTCGAATGTAATCTGAAATACAATTTTTGGGGTTAAGTTAAAATGAATTAAGATCTTATTCAAGTATTTAGGGAAAACTCTCAATGAGAATGAGAATAATACGAATTTGGGTTATTTGTAAATCTTGAAACTTATAATTAAAGATCGATTAAAATTGATGTAGAGATTTACTCCAATTAAAATAACGAAAAAAGGCTCTTACAAATGAAATGGCCAACAAAGATTAACAGTAATAGCGAATTTAAGAATTTAATTAATAAAATAGCATAAATAAGTAAAGGTTATCTTACCTGAGCAGGCCCAAGCCCTGGGTGCCAGAGTAATCCGATCTTCCCTGTCCACCTGGATACATGCACCGAAAAATGCGGCCCAGTTCCTCCGCCTGTATGCGACCGGCTGGGGTAAGTTCGCCGCCCCACTTGAGGATGAGAACTAGCGATGGCTCCACGGGCTGATCCGCTGCTAGATTGGCTTCGCTTTGGTTAATCGGAGCACTTGGATATGGGGGAACGCGACCGGACTTACTATCATCGGAGCTGGAACCGCGAGGACGACCCTTCGGTTGGTACTTCATCTGAACCTTGCGATTTATGCCCGAGAAGTGGCCGTACATCTCCAGAACGTTCTTCAGCTGCTCTAGCTTGCTCTCCTTCTCTTCGATCTCGGCATGGGCCTTGGTGTGGATCTCGCTGAGCAGGAAGCGGGCGATGTCCAGGATCTCCTGCAGTTGCTTGGGCCGCTTGAGCTTGACGTGGCCCAGCTTGTAGCCATCGTATTTCTCGAATATCTCAAAGAATCTGAATGGATTGGTTTGGATTTTTGTAAATATTGTTTTCGACTTTACTGATAACTACTCACTTGGGGTGCCGCACCTCTACCTTCATCTTTTGCTTGGGCGTGCGATCGCCATGGCGGATTACGGCCACCACGCAGCGCAATTCCATCATCTTGCCGAAGGTGGTGGGCACAATGGGTGGATCATCCAGCTGAAAGGGCACCGACCAGGGGATGTGCAGCGTGGGCGTTAGCTCCCTGAGGATCATGTTGCCCAGTATCTTGGCGCAGTCATCATAGTACTTGTTCGAGTTCTTCACAAAGCTGAACCCATTGACATCGCAGACGTAGCTCTTTCCGTTGGCTCGCAGCAGATCGAACCCACAGACGGTTTGCTTGAAGGCCAGGCATACCTTCCGTGAGATGAGCTTCTCGGAATGATTGAGGATCACCGGGTAGCGTATCTCTTTGCCCTCGCTATCGCGCTCCACTTTGCCATCCAGAGCGGGACTTTTGCGGGCCTCGGCGTGGGCGTAGTCCGGTCCCACGGTGTACACCTTGACGTCCGTGCCTGAAAAGTACACTAAGTTGTAAAGGTGATGCTGGATTCAGTGCGTTCGACTGGCGGCCACTGGTGTGTTTCGGTGTTTTTGGTTTTTTTTGTCTATTTACTAGATTTCTGTGAGCTTGGCGATGAGCGGCGCGTGCGGAGCGAAACGCAGGACAAGGCACAATGAGCGATGCTTCGTTGAAGGATTAGATTAAGTGGGTCTATAAGATTCGAGCTAGCCAAAGCCATAACAACAACAGACAGCCAGAGCAAATAGAGGATTAGCGGGGTATTCGGAAGGGTAGCGATGGAGAAGGTACACAGTTCTTTTTTAATCCATTATTAATTTTTTCAAATGTTTTTTTAAATTCTTTACATTTTGTCTCTTTTACGCAAATCTGGCGGAAGGGAATTGAAAACATGACTTAATATTAATATTATTTTAAATATAATTTTATTCTAAATCTTACACCAGACCAAAATACAAACCGAACAAATAATATACTATTTTTTTTTTTTAGAAATTGTTTACTAAAAAAAGTTTAAAATTTAAAATGGATAGTTTCTAAAATATTTTACCATTTTAATAATGAAATTTGAGGGAAAAGTCATTGTCAGATTTTGCTAAAATATTAAAAGAACACAAAGCAAATGAACAGCAAAGAAACTAGTTTGAATAGCGAACAAAGAAAAAAAAACAATTAATTGAATTTAAAAAAATCGGTACACTCGGAGAAGCATCTATGTAGGTACAACTACCTAGATACTTCCCGTCATTCGTGGGGACTAAGCGGGAAGTGGAGGAGTTTTGGGGTAGTACCTACAGCTGCATAGAGCATGGGTGCATAATGAGCAAGTTGCATACCATCGGTGGGCATAAAGTCCTCGTAGATGAACGATCCCGTCTTGCGCACCCTCGACTCCGGGGAATACACGCTGCTCCGGCTGCCGATCTTCCGGAAAAGTCGTTGAGATCCGCCGCCTGCCGAAGTTGGGTAGTAAATATATATGTTGTGGTCCTCTGCCGAAACTGGTTTCTCCACGAACGGCTTGTTAAAGGTGATACCATTGACCTCCACATGGTCCTCGGACTCAATCAGCTCGTGATCTGTTGGGTAGAAATTCATATTGCAGGATTAGTAGGGCCTTCGACATTCGACACCCCTGCTCTATATAATACATACGTTTGGGATCAGGGGAATCACGATCGAGGACGGCATAGCGCGGTATCTCGATGCCCTCCTTCTCCAGAATGGCGTATACCCTTCTCCTATCCTGAATATCATACTGCATGTGCAGGTTATTCAGCACAAAGGGATTCCGTAGCTGGGCATACTCGATGGCCTTCTCCAGCGGAAAGCCCTTCGAGTGGAACGAAACCAGGCAGTCGCAGGTGGGCCAATTTTGGACTGGTTCACGCAGGATCACGTTCTCCTCGAATGTCACCAGTTTGATGAACTCAAATTCACCGAGACGCGTGAGGATCTCCTTCATCGGCTTCGACTGTGTCTTCTTGGCCATCGCGCAGATGCCGACGACCACCTGCTTGCTGTTGCTGGACGAGGTGCTCGTATCGGAGTCCATGCCGTCATTACTGTCCCCAAAGTCCGTGTCGCCCTTTGAAAACAGAGAGAAGCGGTCATTAATGAGTTGGCTTGGCGGATTGAAACAGCGACTTGCGCAGGCAGGAAGCAGGCAGCGGGCGGAATCTCTGGAGTCTCGCCTCCCTGATCTTTTGAGTATTATTATTTTTAGTTTCCTAAATGTGTCATGTTTTTACACACTCATAAATCCAGCCCCAAGTGAATTGGTAGCTTTGATTTATTGCAATTACTCATCTCGGCAATACAACTGGGCATTATAAAGTGGCACTAAGCTACTCTGAGTTTAATATTAAATAAATATATGTTAAGTCTTGTGATTTTCATCGGTTTTGAATGACTTGTTTAATATACAATTTTTGCAAACCTTTGAAATCACAAAAATAGTTAAGAAACGCATTAGCTCATATCATGGGATATTTATAAATTAATATTTTTTGAAACATATTGATTTACTTTTTGAAACCTACTTAAGATCTTCGGGATTGCAAAGACAACAAACACCTTTATAATTTATAGTTTTCAAAGGTTGTCCTAGGAAACGGTTATAAGCCTGCAACGAATCGGTTATATAATTTTGAATTTGTTAAGCTAGAACGAAGCGGTTAAGTAGCGGTATTAAAATAATCGTGCATCAGTTGAATCATTTATTTAAGAATCCCCGAAAGCCAAGTTTCGTAATCAAAACAACAACTTACTAGAAAATTTAAGAATGTTAGACAACGAAAGCCTTAAATTACATTGAACTAAACCGGTTCAGGTGCCGCCCGACCAACATGGCAATTAGCGCTCAATTTGTCCCCAAGTTCGGCGACTCATTAGCGTCTCAGAGTCTGATCAATCAATATCTTCGAACTAACCAGAGAGACCTACATTCATACAGACATCGCAGAAGCAGAAGTCATCGCTATCCTCGTCGCTGCCATGATTCGGACCGTAATCCTCGTAATCACTGACGTTGAATGGCCCGTACTCCCCATCGTCGTCGTCCTGGTTTCTATTAATCGGATTCTCCGAGCCCGGTTGACTGCGAACTCCGGCACTTTGACTTCGTTGCTGGCGTTGCAGCAAGCGATTGCGGCGCAAACGATCGCGACCACGACCTCGCCGACGTCTAGCTATTGATCCATCAGATGGTACCGCATCCAAACTGTGGCGACGATTGGTATGCGGATCTTTGCAACCGGCGCTTTCCACACACTCCGAACCGGGCAAAACCGCTGCAGCGGTTACTGCAGCTCCAGCGGCTGCCGCGGCTGCTTCGAGTTTTTTTTTATGCCGCTGATGACGCGATCGAAGCTTTTTGAGACGCCACCAGTCCTTAAACCAGGTCCACTCCATTGTGTTGCCAACTCAGATGCCTTCTAGCTAACTCTGACGTTTTTCTATGGTTTTTCTTTTGTTTCTTCAACACTTTTAGCAATGCTTTCAAGGTCGAAACTTTAAAAGGTTAAGATTTAAAGGAAGCACCTTTAGAGTTAATTTCGTTATTTCGAGTTTAATGCATTCTTCGGCAGTTAGCAATGGTTTAAAAAAAAAAAAAAATAATAAATTTTAAAAGGTCGGCTTAATGCTCAATCTTTTTTATATGGAAAAGCGAGATTGAGAAGATAAAAAATCATTTTGAATTTGAAGTTTTTTTTTGTATTATTGAAGAATTAATCCGCAAGATACACTCATATATTTAAGTACATATCCTGGGAAACCGTATATACTATTATTTGATTTGTATTTGTAATTTTTAGTCCAAAACATTGAACATTACAAAAAAAAAATAAGGCACATCGAAAGTTAGGTGACCGACTTTAGAGAAATTACTCCCATTTCTGCCAAAAACAGTAGTAATAGTCGCTATAATACTTAATAAATATTCATATTAATTGTTTATAATGGTTTATTGCAACTGTTATCCTATTTTCAGCACTTTTATAGCTTGATAACACTTTATTAATCTTAAGCTGACAACACTAATGGGGAATCCGATAACCCAAGTCGTACGTGCTTGTCAGGCGAATTCCCCCAAAACTGATGACCTAACCCGAACAAACATCGTACTAAAACCGTACGAAAAGCGACGAGGTCAGCTATATAACAACTGTTCCGTTCAACGCGGCCAACTGACTAACGGTTCTGAACAAAACGGTTCGCTTGGGATCGCTGGGGATTGAATCGGATCGTATCGGATTGTTTCAGGGCGTGCGCCAATTGGTCTGTGCGCCCACTCACAAAGTCGGAGCAGAATCTGATCACCAAGAGACAAAAACAGAAAGAGAAGTTGTCGAACAAAGAGAAAGATAGCAAAATACACCCGGGGAAAATTGCTTTATTTTTCACTAATAATTTTTTTTTAAATTATAACCGAATTTGTATTGACGTTCTGTTCATTCGGATTCTGTTGCATCCCGGATAACAAGCCAATTCTTGAATAGTTATAATTTGTTTCTCATTTTTAGTACCCAATTGATAAAAAGAGATTTAAGGATCACCTTTCTAAAATATATAAATATTTTTTTATCATAAATAAAGCTATAATATATGTTTAATTATTGAGATATTTAAATTAATATATTTTTTTTTCAAAATTAAAAAAAGACTAAAGTTCTACTTGTGTCTTTTTATACCCTTGCAGAGGGTATTATAATTTTGGTCAAAAGTGTGCAACGCAGTGAAGGAGACATCTCCGACCCCATAAAGTATATATATTCTTGATCAGGATCAATAGGGGAGTCGATATAGCCATGTCCGTCTGTCCGTCTGTCCGTCTGTCCGTCTGTCCGTCTGTTTCAATACCGTTTGCGAGCTCAGTTTAAAAGCTAGCGATCTGAAACTTTCACAATCGTCCTAAAACATGTGTACGCAGATCAAGTTTGAAAATCGCCCCGATCGGACGTCTATATCCTATAGCTCCCATAGGAACAATTGGATATATCTTGCAAGAATTTATGATATTTCGCGCAGTGTAAAAGCTATTGACATTAATCTTTACAAATCGTATTTTTTTATGCATACCTTGATCAGGGTAAAAGCGCGTGGCGATCGGACGTCTATATCCTATAGCTCCCATAGGAACAATAGGGTAAAATCGGTTAAAATTTAATGATTTTTAGGATATTTCGCGCAGTGTAAAAGCTATTGACATAAATCTTTCCAAATCTTATTTTTTTATGCGTACCTTGATCAGGGTAAAAGCGCGTGACGATCGGACGTCTATATCCTATAGCTCCCATAGGAACAATAGGGTAAAATCGGTCCAAATTTGATGTTTTTCAGAATATTTCGCGATGTGTAAAAGCTATTGCTGTACATTTTTTCAAATCGTATTTTTTATGCATTCATTCATCAAGGTAAAAGCGCGTGCTGATCGGACGTCTATATCCTATAGCTCCCATAGGAACAATACGGTGAAATCGGTCAAAATTTCATGTTTTTTAGAATATTTCGCGCAGTGTATAAGCTATTGACACACATTTTTCCAAGTCTTATTTATTTACGCATACCTTGATCAGCGTAAAAGCGCTTGCCGATTGGACGTCTATATCGTATAGCTTCCGTAGGAAAAATTGTTAAAGGCTGCGAAAATATCCCTTTTTTCCCTATTTGTATATGACAATTTTGCAGTATAAAAGCTATTGGCATGAAACTATGCAATTTATCTATTTTATTTATGTACACCTTGCTCAGGGTAAAAGTTGCTGCCAATCAGACAAGTACATACTACATCCGCTATTTAAAAATTAAATTAATTACGTATAGCTAATCTTTTTTTTATGTATAATTATAGAAAACTTAATTTTTATTCCCTTGCAGAGGGTATTATAATTTTGGTCAGAAGTTTGTAACGCAGTGAAGGAGACGTTTCCGACCCCATAAAGTATATATATTCTTGATCAGGATCAATAGGGGAGTCGATATAGCCATGTCCGTCTGTCCGTCTGTTTCAATACCGTTTGCGAGCTCAGTTTAAAAGCTAGCGATCTGAAACTTTCACAATCGTCCTAAAACATGTGTACGCAGATCAAGTTTGAAAATCGCCCCGATCGGACGTCTATATCCTATAGCTCCCATAGGAACAATTGGATATATCTTGCAAGAATTTATGATATTTCGCGCAGTGTAAAAGCTATTGACATTAATCTTTACAAATCGTATTTTTTTATGCATACCTTGATCAGGGTAAAAGCGCGTGGCGATCGGACGTCTATATCCTATAGCTCCCATAGGAACAATAGGGTAAAATCGGTTAAAATTTAATGATTTTTAGGATATTTCGCGCAGTGTAAAAGCTATTGACATAAATCTTTCCAAATCTTATTTTTTTATGCGTACCTTGATCAGGGTAAAAGCGCGTGACGATCGGACGCCTATATCCTATAGCTCCCATTGGAACAATAGGGTAAAATCGGTCCAAATTTTATGTTTTTCAGAATATTTCGCGATGTGTAAAAGCTATTGCTGTACATTTTTTCAAATCGTATTTTTTTATGCATTCATTCATCAAGGTAAAAGCGCGTGGCGATCGGACGTCTATATCCTATAGCTCCCATAGGAACAATCGGATATAACTTTCAAGAATGGAAGATATTTCGCGCAGTGTAAAAGCTATTAACATAAATCTTTCCAAATCTTATTTTTTTATGCATACCTTGATCAGGGTAAAAGCGCTTGGCGATCGGACGTCTATATCCTATAGCTCCCATAGGAACAATACGGTGAAATCGGTTAAAATTTAATGATTTTTAGGATATTTCGCACAGTATATAAGCAATTGACATGAATCTTTCCAAATCGTATTTTTTTATGCATACCTTGATTAGGGTAAAAGCACGTGACGATCGGACGTCTATATCCTACAGCTCCCATAGGAACAACAGGGTGAAATCGGTCCAAATTTGTTGGTTTTCTGAATTTTTCGCGTAGTGTGTAAGCTACTGACATACATTTTTCCAAGTCTTATTTATTTACGCATATCTTGATTAGGGTAAAAGCGCTTGCCGATCGGACGTCTATTTCTTATAGCTTCCGTAGGAAAAATAGTTAAAGGCTGCGAAAGTATCCCTTTTTTTCCATTTTTATATGACATTTTTGCAGTATAAAAGCAATTGACATCAAACGACGCAAATCTAGTTTATTTATGTATATCTTATTCCTTTCGCTACTTTTTCAGTTTTAGCAACTTCGGCAAAGTCTGCAAGGGTATTAAAACTTCGGCTTGCCGAAGTTAGCTTCCGTCCTCGTTTGTATTAACAAAGTAGGCCGTTTTGAAAGGTTGTGCGTCAAGCATAAATCCGGGATATATATACATTTACAAGGGGTGTTCTAGCTTCAGGATCAAATATGTTTTTTTTTCTTTTTGTTTTGCTTTGGAATTAGATTCCAATTGAACCAATTCCACCAAAGTTGTGTAACTATTAATATACACATGTAATACCTATTTAAATTTAATGTGATTATATTTTCAGTGCATGGAGAGACCGAGAGTGGGGGAAATATGGAGAGGGCGCGTTCTCTTTGTGTAATTGTTTCGACATGCTGGAGGCGTCTTGTTATCATCGTCGTTTCATTTGTTGACGACACGACTTAACTACAACCTTATATAGCGTACACGTCCGGCCGATCGCCCAGTGTTAATGAAAGCGACTACAAAGACAACAAGGGCGACACAAAGAGCAGCGACAATAACCGGTAACGGGCGCCGGAGCGAGCCGATAAGACTTCCAGTGATAAGGGTTCTGCGGGTCTTGAAGCAAAGATCTCCCAGAAATCCGCCTAAGCGCCAATTGGCCAAGTAAATAATTGCTCTATATATAGACCCAACCGATAGAGATTTTTAACAAATGCCATTCGAAATGATCTTCCCGATCAATTACCACCTTTCATATACATGTATGTATGTATCTTTCCGAGATACGTATCTTTCTAAGACTTCCATTTGTATTTCAAGATGGAAATGAGAAAACTGAATCACGATTCCTGGGTACAATGATACAGGTGTCATTTATTACGGCGACAAAACTTTCTGACAGAACCGAAAAGTAATGTGTTCGGAACATTTGTAATGTTCTAAACATTTAATTAGGTGTTAGCTGTATTAAACTGAAGGCTTACACTTCAATGACAAACTTTTAAAGCAAATATAGTTTGCTGAATTTTCTTGAAATCATATGCACCTGTTCAATACAAATAAAAATGTACTCGGAAATATGGTGGGTATTTAATACCAACGAACCAGACATTTTTTTCTTTTACAAACTCGATCTGATCATAAGTGTATTTAGTTTTGTATACCTTTACCTACGTATATGCGGGTTTTTGCATAATTATATATTCATTAAAACACATCTTAGCGAGGAAGGATCGAAACAAGCATTAACAATTTCTGATTTTAAATGTTGTGACGGATATATTTAAATTAGAAAATAACAAACTGCAAAAAAATAGTTTCTAATTTAGCACGCTGTTTATTTGCAAATAAGTATCGAATACGAAACTAGTTTAATATTTTGATATTTATTAATTCAACTATAATTTGGAGCTGTTGCCATAACACATTTAGTAAAAAAGGATAATTTGTAGTATTTCAATATTGTTTTGGCCAATTTATTGAACCAATTTGACCAGTCACCGCTTTTTCTCCTATCACATATATTTTGATTAACACATTAATCAACCACTTTATTAACTTTCTATAGTTTCCATAACGCCAGTCAGTTGAATTTCAATAATTTTCTATAAGAAAATTTATAAAATTCTGGTAACGCTCACCAAAAAAAAAAGTGGATAAAAACCAATCGGGAAAGCCAATGCGGATACTTTTACTACACCGTTCGAAAGTCGGACATTAACTGCGGACCTGGAGATGCAATTGGAAATGAATCGGGCCACCCGAGATTCCAGAGCCAAAACAAAAACAAACAAATTGAACAAATAACTGGTATAACTGGGTAATTAATTAATGCAGCGAAGAGGCCGAAAATTTAATTAAAATTTAGAGCGCTTGCAAATTGAGCAAACAATCAAAACGTAACGAATACAAAAGAAAACTACATTGTTAAAAAAATCAGTTAATAAAGCGAGCAAAGGAATACAAAATAACGAGAACGAAAATGAAAACAAGTGCAAGAACTAAAAAATCACCGGATGGGAGAACGATGAAGAGCGCGGCTCCAGAGGCTCCAACTCGCTGACGTCTGTCTCTGGATTTTCGAGGGGGCGGTAAAAATAGAAGCCGGTGGGCGAAAGAAAAAGGATAACAGAAAATGAACGAGGGAGCTGCGCACAGAAATAGTCAATGCACTTAGAGAAAATCAACTGTTTGGATATTGTGCAATCATCTACGTAAATAATCATCAACATTTATATTAATGTTACCAATGAGTTTAAAAGTACTATAACACATTTTAAACACAGTTGTGTATAGAGGCCTGTTTACACACTCTGATGTTAGCTTTTTTAATGTCTTCTCAGGTCAGCCAGCTGAAATGCTGTTTTAAATGTACAATTTTTAACTCAGACAGGTGTTTTTACACTTCTGAGCAAAAATTAGACAAAATCTCAAATGAGAAATCAGAATCTGTGAAGAGGCTCTAAGCACTACAGACTTTAAATTAAATTTAGAAAATTAAAATAAGTTGAGGAAAAATTCGATGAATTTTATACCTTCTTAAAAGATTTAATATATTTAAAAAAGAAAAGAGTTCAATTATTTTGAAAGTTTATTCTTGTATCAAGAAACACTTATGTATCGCTTTAAAAAAAAAATATATATATATTTATATTTTTTTTATATACGCTAATAGTATGAAACAAGGACGAGGTTGTAAAACCAGAGAACCAGAGTTTAAGGTATATTTAAGACATTTAGTTGTAACTTTTCTGGTTATCTGGTGCTTTTTTTTCGAGTGTAGGAGGACACGCACCGCCCAGATTCGGAGTGGAATTTACGTGCGTCAGCCAACGGCGTCCTGCCGAGGGGCCTCGCCCACCGCTTCCGAACTTATCGAAGCTGTTGCCCATTTGTTGGTTTTACTACGATTTTATTTTTTTGCGATAAGAACATAATTAATATTTATTCGAAAACCACAACACAAACACACGCGTGGAAAGAGAAAAAGAGAGAGAATCTTGAGGAGAGCGAAAGCTTTTGGCATTGACATTGAATAGTCAGCTGTTGGGGGAAGAAGCTGAATAAAAGGGATGGGAGAAGAGGGAGATAATGAAGGAGGTGACGAAGAAGAAGCTGCCACTGCAAGAAACCCGCAAAAAAATCAGGGTCAGCCCATGCATGCAAAAATCTACAGTAGAGTGTATCATAATAGCACACAGGATAGAAAAAGATTTTGTAATCATACTCAGTCTTTATATTCCAAATTAAAAAACTATTGTTCTTTGCAGAAAATTTAGAAATGTATACTAAGGCTTTTTCAGCATTTATAATAGTTTAGAGTTACAATTAATTTCAATCATTTCTTGATTTCTATAAATAACGTAAGTTATTTCGTGTGATTTGTAATACCAACAACTTGTTTTTTAATCAACATTTCTACATTGTATTCGTAAATATCATTTAAAAATATTTTGTATAGTCTGATCTCAGAAATCTACAAAAACTTGTTTTTAAAATTCGTAATCGCCTTTCCATAATTTTAATCAAGATCATCGAATTTATCCGCATTCAGTGCTATTATAGCAACCTCCACCATAGATACATAATATCCTACCTATGTACATATGTACTTATGTACATATATAGAGCATTTAAAAATCAAAAAATGCATAAATTTAGTTGTTAGAATAGGTGTTAGTGGTAAAAAATATAGTGAAGCGCATACGTTGCCATCCTGTAGTCCCAAGTAGAAGCCGACTCGCTGCTGCGGCTGATTTTGGTGCGGATTTTGCTGCTGTTGCTGGGATATATCCTGGTATCCCGATTCCAACTCGGTATACGACATGGTTATCTTGTGTGATGGTGTTAGTGCAAGTTAAATAAGAAGCAAACAACAACACTGGGCAATGTTTTTTTTTCTTCTCTGTTTTCTTTACATTTTACACACGCACACACACGTGCAAACCTTGCCGCGTGTTAAAACAGCAGTGTGTATATATATTTTTAATAACAATTCTTTTTTTCTCTCACTGTCCTTCGATTTCACGAGTTACGAAATCAGTTTTCGCTTTGGCTTTATTATTTGTTTTGTTATTATTTTTATTATAATTTGGTAAGTCCTGAATTTGCCGTCGCTGGGAGGAAGAAAGTGGACGGGTGAAGCGCGCGGGAAGCTGGGTGAGTGGAGGGGTGGGCGGGCTGCTGCTACGGGTTGGGTTATTACTAATAATTAATTGTTATTAATTAGGTTTCTCTCGCTTTATATTATTTTTTAGAGCCAGAACACGCACACGCACACACGTCCGCACGCTGCAAAAATTCCGTAGTTTGGTCGAGAACCAATAAATACCGCACTTAACTTACCAAGAGAGCTTTTAGCTGTTAGAAGAGCTTTTGCGAAACAGCTGTTCAGCAAAACGAAAGTTCCAAGTTTTCAAATTCAGAAATGATTAATTTATAAACAAAATATACAAATGTTTATGTAAATATGTTTTTATTTGGGTAAATATTTTAAAATACAAAACAACTACTATGCAATGTGTTTCACATTTCCGCAATTTTTAAAATTTGTATTTAAAACACAAAAAAACTAATTTTATTTTTTTTATAATAAAATTAAAAAATAGTTGTTATTAGATAAGGGTTTAGTAAAACTTGACAACAAAAAACACGTATTCACTGAGTTTCATTTTCCGCTTGACAAATAACCGTTATTATTTGAGTTCTACATTAAAAATAAAAATAAAAATAAAAAAAAAATTTTCCTTGACTTTTGTTAGTTTGATGAAAATTTTACTTTGTGTGGAAGCTAATAATTATAAATAATAGCTTTGACAATATTTATATTCTTCATGCATTTGAGAAAAAACAGATTTAAAACTTCTGAATGTCAGGCGTGACATTTCTTACTTTCTTTTTAATCCCATAAAATGTAATTTTAAAGATGTTTTTTTAGAGAATAAATACAATTAAATCTGAGTCTTGTGAGTATATGGAAACAGTGAAAACAGGAACACTTGATATAATAGGTGCTAGTAAATTTAAGGCTGGGAATGTTCGTTTATCGTTTCCTCCTCTTTATTATAACCCTCGAAATCCGAAACGGATCACCGGTGTTTTAAAAGGAGCTTGGTCTTGATCCGCTTGCGATCCCGAGCGATGATCTCCATGCGCTCCTTTGTGCTGGTCTGGAAGAAGATCAGGTGCAGAGTGCGGCTGGCCGAGCAGAGCTGTTGGAAAACCCATGAAAATAAGTGGACAATCAAACATACAAGCACAACCATACATATGTACATAGATAGTTTAATTATAATATGGTTTAATTATAATAATCGTAATAGTTCAGTTAATGTTTTAACATATCATTTTTGATATGTTTGAAAAGTTATATCATATCAGTTTTGCAATATTTGCAATTAAATATCTACATGGTTTTAAGAGTGGGATGATGTAATCCTGCACCGTTTACAACTAGGCTACGAAAACAACCCACCTGTTGAAGCAGTCGCGCCTTAAGGCGCAGATTAGCGGGCTCCTCTGCATCCAGGCCATGACCGCAGGTTTCCAAATGTAGGTTTAGCACGAATATCAGTGTGTCCCTGATGGTCTGGACAATCCGCTGCACCTGCTCGGTTGCAAAGAGACGGCGGACCAAGAATCCCCGCACACCGGCATTAATACGCGAGGCCGCCCATTGGCGCTCCTCCTGCTCCAGATCGGTAAGTTTCTGGCGAGGATCAAAGGGGGAATTAAACAGAGAACGAAGGCACTTGCTGAATGTGTTAGTAATTAGGTTAGCTACGGGTGCTAGAGGTTTGGTCCCTCGATTTCCAGACAGTCTTTGTTAAGGCACTTGGTTAGCTGGCAATCCAATTTGCTATGGCTTCTTGCGCTGCTTCTTTAGGGTAAGTGGAAATAATAGAATAGGAATATAGAATAGAAATTTTATAGATACTACAACCCCAGTTTTCACTGTCTTTACAACTACTTTACTGATTTTAATTTGTTTTCTGTTAATAACAACTTAAATTGTCCTCACATTAGACAATGCAGAATTCAGTTTTTGTATTCAATTGAATTTAAAAATAAAAATTGCAATAGATTTAATCAAAATTTCAAAATAAATAAATTTAGTTTTGTGAAAGTGAAAACATCTGGGGTTCGGAAAGGAAAGGATGTAGAGTATCGCTAAGATTCATTTGGTCCACTTACATGGCTCAGTCGCGGTGAGATGCTCCGTGCTGGTACATTGCCCTTTTTCGATTGAGTAGAGCTGCCACTTCCTGGGGAACTTTTCGGTCGTCCTCCTCCACCACTAGCCTTTGCCGGTGACTTGATCACCTCGCGTACCGCAGATCCTATTAATTTCCTCGGATTACTGCCCACGGTTTGGGATCGCTTCCTCACAGTTTGCCCGCTTCGCCTGCTGTTGGACAGACTGCTGTTCCTGAGTGGCAACGATCGCGGAGTGCTGAGCGCACTAGACTCACCACGCTGCTGCGGTTCCGATTCGTAGCCCTGCGAATGTTTCGGACTAAACAACCTTTTTCGAGCGGAGGAAGAAGCCGCCTTCATTCGGCAGCTGTCCTCCGTCGTAAGAAATTCATCGAGCTCATGGGTAACATCCAGTAGGTCTCCCGTACTGGTGCACTCCGACACCATTCCATCAGGATTATCGGTGCCCGAGGGACAGTCGATTTTCGCACACAATTCCTTGATGAGCTGGCGCTGCTGAAGGTCAAACTGCGATTGCATGCGACGACGCTCCTCCTCCTGATGGATGACCAACTTATTCATCTGCTCCTGATGGTCACGCAGAAAGTTGCGCACATCTGCCTTCTGGCCTGCCTCTAGGGGAGCAAGTTGGTCCAGCGCTTTTTCTATTATTCGCTCCACCTCGCGATCTCTCCTAGAGCAGCTGCTGCTGGCTAAGCTGCCATTGACTGTGGTTGTGGTGGTGTTGGTGGGACTGCGATTAACCCGCTTGGCCTGCGACTCGATGGTCGGCCTCTGAAAGTTGGCCAAACTCTTGCTGGGCTTAATAGCCAGGGCCTGCCTCTGCATGTGCTCTACGAGAACCAGAGAGGGCTCCTCAAGCGTGAAGCTCCTGGAGCGCTGAAAGCCAGCTGGCTCTGGCTGTGGAGAACTCATTAGCTCCCTTTCCTTTAAATCCAGTGGTTGCTTTTTGGCTGCAGCGATCGAAGGACTTGTACTGGAGCGCAGGATCCCCTTGTCCTTATCCTTGGGCAACAATCTTCCAAGTCCCGACTGCTCGAACTGTAGGATGCGATCGGTAATGCGATTATGACGCCTGGGCGACGAGTTCTTCACTGGCTCCCCTGGGTGGGGCGTGGGAGGATCCACCTGTATGGTCGGCAGCTGTAAATCCAATACCAGGGTTTGGGGACGTGCCTGCCTTTGTGTGCTGTCGTAGATAAAGGTCTCCGTCTGCTGTAGCTGAGACAGCCTCCTTCGACTGGCCATGTCGGTTCCCGTCGAGTGTCTGGCCAGGCGGTAGCGCTCCTCCAGCTTCAAAGCCATCTGACGGGCTTGCTGCACCTCACGTCTCTTGGCGCTCGTCATCTGGAACATCGTGTGAGGGTTACGCTTGAGTGAATGCCACTCCCTGCCCAAGAATTCAACTTACCAGCGGTGGCAATATGGTCTGGCCATCCAGCCGGAACCGGAAGGAGGCGGGATCTATAGAACTGGAGGCAGTACCCTCGGAGGGGGTGTTCCAAATCGATACAGTGGTCGTGGCCGTAGGCGTGGTGGCCTCACTGTGGCTGCAGCTCAGCTCCACGGCCGCCAGCAACTGCTCCATGGCCTTACTAAAATAGGGAAACCATCAGTTTAAGCGAAACCAGGAATTCATACATGAAACCTATAAAACTCGTACTTACCAAGTCGCATCCATTGTTGTTTTGCTACGGGGAATTTCGGTCGGGACGTCAAAAAGTAGAGAAACCTATTTAAAAGGAAGCTAAACCTATTTGTTTTGTTAAAACTTCGCTCACTTTTCCTATGTTTCAGTTGCCATTAGAGATGACATCTAATGATGGCACAGCGCGAGCCATCGATTTCCCGCCAAAAGCCAATTAAACCTTGGAAAAGCTTATCAAATAAAACATTTTACGCCTAAGATGTTGTTTATTTCGAATTCAGTTAACAATTTATCCATTGCCAATAGCAAATACTTACAAAAGCCAGTTACAAAGACTTTATATTAGAAAAGAGAAAGCCTTTTCAAACGGAAATTTAAAAAAGAAAAGAAGTTCATGCAACCCTTACCTAAGTTATCGATAACAGACTGTCTTCTCTAGATTCAACAGATAATAAATATTAATACAAAATTATATTATTATTGACCTTTTGTTTATTTAGTCGAAGCTATCATTGGGACCAAACAGTACAAATAGTTACATCATAGATTTGTAAATTAATTATTAATTTATATATTAAATTGCATTTGTTGTTGAATTGCTGGGAGTACAATTTGAATGGAAGAGATTTAAACAGCTTAACGAAATAATCTAAGCAACACAACAGTTTACTGAATACCATAACTGTGGAAATAAAGCCATTTAAACCCGCAATAGAGCCAATTTTGATACGGAGCGATCACACAAGCAGCCACTGGTGCGAAAAGCTAAATAGCCTGCTCTGCTTAATATGAATTTATATTCAACCACTGTATAAAACTTTGCTTTGTCAGTACAGTGAAATTCTTAAAAATTTTTTTTTTTACCACGACCAAATTTGTCCACTAAAAATATCAATTCATTTCGCAAAAATTTTGAATACCGTCTTGGTTTTTCCACAAATGCTGATATGTCTGAAAGTTCTATTAAGTGAAAATAGTTGATGGGTGCACAGAAAATATCGAAATTTCCGGAAGAATCGATATTAACGAAGAAGAATCGATTTTTGTTCCATCACCATTTCTCGGATGTGTTTTTCATTGCATTGTTGTTGTGGCGCGATCGAATTTGTTTGGAATTTTGGAAATCGGCATTAGATTTTTGAACGAGTTTTATGTTTGGATACCACCAGCTATAGCGAAAAGTATGCGATACCTTTAACTGTTCGTTGTTGCTATTGCTGAATATTTGTTTGCGTTTGTTGTGTGTATTTTTTTATTTAGTTACAAAACGATTTCAAAAACATTTTAGATTAAAACGTGCTGGAAAACGTGTTGTAACTTGACTTTTGATTCATTCGCGGTTTCTGTTGCTCTAAAATTATCTATCTTGAAAATTGCGTTGTAAATGTGTGTAAAGTGCGTGAGTGCGTGTATGTGTGTGTGTGCAAAGGGGGTATAATTTCTGCGAAAATAAAAAGGATTTGTCAGTATTGTCTGTAATTTTTTCAGTGTAATAAAAAGTCATTATGACCCCCAACCTTCCTCTCTCTTCCACGCCCTGCTTTTACTTAATGAAAATAAGGTACTAGTGTAAAGAAAACAAAAACAAAAGCGCCAAGTTTCGCACATATGTGTATATACACACGTTGTATGTGTGTTTGGTTGTGTTTCTGCTTTTTTTTTTGTATATCATTCTGCGACGCAATTGAAAAAGACATCGAAGGCCAAACAACTTTGTTTTTTATACGTTTTTCCTATAGCATTTGTTGTTGTTGGTGCTGGGCGTTAGTTTTTGGCTCTGTTTTTGTTATTATGATTATTATTACTACTTCCAAGCTTCTCCACGCGCTCCGCTCTCTTCTCTCTCCTACGCGTGCTCCCTTCGTCACCCACGCTGAAGTGCCATCTCTTTCGCACGCAGCCGGTAAGCAAAGCAGTAAACAACAACAACTATTGAGGAAAACAAGAGAATAAAGAAAAAAATAAAGAATACTAGGGAACAATTTTCAAAAATAAGTATTACAAATTGAATGGTTAATCACTGGTTGAAAAGTCGCAATAACATGGCCACCTTTTCCATGCTGCACAACGCAGTTTTCTTTGTTTTTAATTGTTTTTCCATTTGCCAAAAACAAGTTTGCTTGTGTGAGTCAGACAGGCCCTCAAAAACAGAAAAACATGGTAAAAACATTTTGGTAAATTGCCATGTAGCCGCAAAATTGCTCGTGCAACAGTAATAAATATTATTATTTTATTTTCTACGCAGCAGTCGCGTATTTTCAACAAAGAGCAAACAAAGAGAAAGGATAACGAAGAGGAAGGAGAAAGGAGGAGTGTGGGAAATCAGTTACTCCGCCCATGCGCACAGCTGATCCAGAGCCTGGCCTAACGGTAAACTGATTGTCTCTGGGCTCCAAAAGCGGAAATCGAAAGCGAAACGGAAACGGAAGTCGCCTGGAATAGCGAAGCGGAAAGGAAAACAACCCGCTAACCGCGGGAGTTGGAATCCAAAAAAACCGACAAAAGACATAAGAATAGGGAACAAAACTTAAGTCATTTCAATATGTTTCAAGCTCTGCCCCGGCCGTCAAGGTCCACGCTGCACTGTGGAGCGGCAGCCATCGTCACAGTCATCCTCATAGCCTGGTAAGTCCCATATCTATATACATATATCTTCTATAACTCAGTCGCCGTTAAAACTAGTTGCATCACCTAAGGGTAAACAGGAATTTTAGTTATACTGAAAGATGGATTACGGAAATATGTCATCGTAAAAATATAACTTATGTTTTGGGTGGGTGGCAAAAGTAAAATATTAACCATAAAAACGAGAAAGGAAAGCTAACTTCGGGCGGAGCCGAAGTTGATATACCCTTGCAGAATACTCTGTAAATTATATTCTTCAAAATTATTCATAAGATGCATTCTTAATACTCATAAAAAATCCCAACTTCCTAACTTTAAAAACACCAAAGTTATGGCATTTTCAATCGTTCAGTTATATGGCAGCTATAGGATATAGTCGGCCGATCCTTATGAAATTTGGTAGGTCGGACTGATTGGCCAAAAATAAAGACCATAGAAAATCCCAACTTCCTAACTTTACAAACACCAAAGTTATGGCATTTCCGATCGTTCAGTTATATGGCAGCTATAAGATATAGTCGGCCGATTCTCATGAAATTCGGTAAGTCGGATTGATTGGCCAAAAATAAAACCTATAGAAAATCTCAACTTCCTAACTTTACAAACACCAAAGTTATGGCATTTCCGATCAATCAGTTATATGGCAGCTATAGGATATAGTCGTCCGATCCCGGCCGTTCCGACTTATATACTGCGTGCAAAGGAAAGAAGGGTGTGTGCAAAGTTTCAATTCGATATCTTTAAAACTGAGAGACTAGTTCGCGTAGAAACAGACAGACGGACAGACAGACGGACAGACAGACGGACAGACAGACGGACAGACGGACAGACGGACATGGCTATATCAACTCAGGAGGTGATCCTGATCAAGAATATATATACTTTATAGGGTCGGAGATGTCTCCTTCACTGCGTTGCACACTTTTGACCAAAATTATAATACCCTCTGCAAGGGTATAAAAATCCAGAGCTAACACAAGAAAATACAAAGGCAAGGGAAGCAGGGGCGGCATTCAGGCACGAAATTAAATATTTACGTGTACAATTAGTTGTTAAAAAAATGTAAACAATTAAAAGATCAAAAGCAGAGAAAAGTCTGCCCAGAAAGAAGGAAATGTAAACGTGCTTTCTACAAAGCTTATAAACTCTCTTTTAAACAAGAAAGGAAAGCTAACTTCGGGCGGAGCCGAAGTTGATATACCCTTGCAGAATACTCTGTAAATTATATTCTCCAAAATTATTCATATGATGCATTCTTAATACTCATCAAAAATCCCAACTTCCTAACTTTAAAAACACCAAAGTTATGGCATTTCCAATCGTTCAGTTATATGGCAGCTATAGGATATAGTCGACCGATCCTTATGAAATTTGATAGGTCGGATTGATTGGCTAAAAATAAAACCCATAGAAAATCCCAACTTCCTAACTTAAGAAACACCAAAGTTATGGCATTTCCGATCGTTCAGTTATATGGCAGCTATAAGATATAGTCGGCCGATTCTCATGAAATTCGGTAGGTCAGATTGATTGGCCAAAAATAAAACCTATAGAAAATCTCAACTTCCTAACTTTACAAACACCAAAGTTATGGCATTTCCGATCGTTCAGTTATATGACAGCTATAGTATATAGTCGTCCGATCCCGGCCGTTCCGACTTATATACTGCGTGCAAAGGAAAGAAGGGTGTGTGCAAAGTTTCAATTCGATATCTTTAAAACTGAGAGACTAGTTCGCGTAGAAACAGACAGACGGACAGACAGACGGACAGACAGACGGACAGACGGACAGACGGACAGACGGACATGGCTATATCAACTCAGGAGGTGATCCTGATCAACAATATATATACTTTATAGGGTCGGAGATGTCTCCTTCACTGCGTTGCACACTTTTGACCAAAATTATAATACCCTCTGCAAGGGTATAATAACGAGCTAGAAATACAAGTCCGCATTTCTAGAATCGCACTTATTTCATACTTTTCTTAAAATATGGTCCAAATTTACGCTTCTCGAAAAACCCAAAAGAAAAATCAGTTTAATACAGATAATTCGTTCTTTAAATCAGGATTATCGTTAAAAGGCATGCATTATAAATAACAATCAAAATATTTTTTTAAATAAATGTCAGGAAGCTTTTAAGTAAACAGATGACAATTGTCAAGAGAAATTATTAGCGTAGGATTTTTCGTAATTACCGGGCCCAAAATGCTCTCCCATTAAGACGCCTTAATTGCTCTACGCACTGAAAAAATAAATTGGCAATTGGGTCACGAGACTCTTTTGTTCGTAGACATTTTAATCCCATTCCTATCGAAAGAATGCCCCCTTTTCGTAATGCAAATTAAAATTATACTATGTAAAATTGTATATTCGTTAAGACAAGTCAAGTTGTGAGAATCAAGTTGTGGGAATCAAAGAAAGAACATCGCGTCGCGTGGCCAATTTCAAGATGAAAGTTGCAATGTTTTATTTTAGGAATATATGTGAGCACACATATAGATTGTTCCACATATGTAAAAAGCGCACCGAAACGAAGCTCATGTGCATGCACATGACCATTTAAACACACTTGTGGTCAAAACAATAGTAGGCGATTCGAAAAACTAGTCTAAATGACTGTCAGAAAATGTTTAAATGTCTAATTTAAATAAAATATACTTGAAAGTTTTCAGTTCTCTTTAATATGCTTAACTTATGTGTTTAAAATTGCGCTAAAATGGCCCAACCAAATGCAAGTTTATTTATGATCATGGCAAATATTTTTAAAAACAGTAATAACGAGGTATTTATATAATGTTTATTCCTTCGAATTTGATGGAAAATACACTGATCCAATTCTGTCATCAATACTTTTAACGTAACCCCCATTGTAGTTTGCTGTGTGTATGTCGGCGATCTCTTTGTACGTGCTTACACCTTCGTTTTGGCTGAGTAAAGGCCCCCAACCTTTCGCCACCGCTCCGCCGTCCTTCCTTTTTATATATAAATACTCACTCGTACATAAAAATGTCACTCCATGCCCATGCACACCAACCACACCCTCCTCCGTCCATTTAAAGCGTTCTGTGTGGCGCAATTAACCAAAAAAGAATTAAATGAAATACAGAGAATGAATGCACGCAGCCTTACCGCAGATATGTATTTATGTACAGTGGATAAATGTTTCGGATAATGTAATCGGAAGAGGGATTTGTGTTTAGGAATTCAATTCGGCAAGCCAAAAAAGGGATTATATGATCATTCCCAATGTAGTTATTGCATATCGACGTCAAATTCACATATATAACCAATTATAAGACTAGTTGACAGTAACAAGGTAAACCTGTAGCCAAAAGATAATATTAAAGCAGCTAAAATGTTCGAAGGTCTTTCTAATATTTTGTAATAAAAATAATGTAGGAATGTTCAAATGTGTTTGAATTTGCTGTATATTTTTAGCTCTCTTTAACTTTATTTTTTATGTGTCCGTTTGAGTTATCAAAGCAGTCTAAAGTTTTAAAGGATTAAACATATTTTAAGATATAAACCAGCACCTTTTATCGGGTATCCACTGTACGTACGAACATGTAACGCTCTCCGTTTCCGTATCTAAACGGGACAATTGTGCGATATTTGCTTTTTGCCTTTAGCTTTTCCACTTGCAGCTCAGTATCTCAACCACAATAACTAAAAAACAAAACTATAGAAAAGCAAACTAAACGACAACAATAACAAGAGTGTTATGCCATTCAATTGCAGCAAAAGCTGTAGATCAGTCGACTTTCTGTCCAAAAAAAACCGCTGATCACTCCAAAACTTCCCGCAAGATCCCCACGTAACGTCCCGCCCATCAAATCAATCCGAAGTGCAAATTAGCAACAACAAAACAGGGAGATAATTAATTATATGTTTTTTCAAGAGCAAAAACATGTCGTCAGCGTTTCGTAGGGCGAGCAAATAAAAAGTAAACACACCAGCGCAAAGCACAAGTCAAACGAAAACAAAAAACAAGCGCTACACACAAAAAAATATTCTCTCTTTACTGGATAGACACTGTGTTATATTAAAAATATTAAATTTGTAGAGTAAATTCAAAATATTAATCTCATCTAAAATATAAATATCATTAAAAGTCACTTAAATTAATTTAAATTTAATAATATGACTTAAAAAAAATTTTTTACATGGGTTTTATTTACTCTAATCAAAACGGCCTTTGTTCCAGTGTTTGTTTAATGAGTTAATAGCAAATATATCATTATTTAAGGCCCTTTTCTCTATGTACGACAAAGATAAACTACATCCAGACCATAAATCATCAAATGGTAGCTTTCAAGCCGATAATACTTTCCAGGGTTGGGAGTTTATTTCAAGTTCCTGTTAGTTAGAACCGAGTGGTGCGGTGCTTGAATAATTAATCAGCCAGCTACTTCTGTCTAATATAATCACAGTGGTCACTCTTTCCGGTGGACGGATGGTGCGTAATAAGATAGCGCCGATAAAGCTAAAGATCAGCAGAGACGAACCCGATCAATCGATTGCCTTCGTCAGCTGTCTGGAATTTGTTTGCTGTTTTGTTTGTATTTCATTTCGCACAATTAAGCAGAGACAGTGCGTTTCGGTAGTAAAAGAGGTTCATTTTATAGCTTCTTTCTTCTTCAAATAAACAATAATAGAGATATAACCCTTTTTCTCCAAATAAACAATAATAGAGATATAACCCTTTGAGTAAAGATAAAAAAACATGCTAAATGAGGAATACAAATTTAACCATTCATTATTGTTTGTATCTAATGATTAGATAAGTATTTTTCAACTTCAGATAAAAACGTTAAAATAAATGATGATCCAAAAGTTAAAATGTCATTTTTCACCATACGATTTCAAACTATATTTCAAAAATTTGTTTCGAAATAATTCAAATAATAAACATTTTAATTCACTTAAATTCTGAAATTAAGGCAATCAATTGTAAAATTTCGTTGAACTTTCTAAATGGTTTTTACTTTTTTTAAATTTAAATATTAATTGTTATATTTTATTGACTTATTCATTTATGCTCTATTTATACTATATACATATTAAGGGACGGAAAACCTACTAACTGAATAATTCATTTCAAACACTCATAAAATCACGTGTCAGCCTTACAATTTTGAGACGCACTGTGCAAACATTCTCGCGTTCAACGCAAATCAAAAGTCCAAAAATACACTTGCCCGTTTGACCAGGTTTGACCAGCTTTTCGGTTTTTTGTTTTTGTTGGAGGGGAGAGGAACTGGGCAGAAGAACTGGGTATGATTCTGCTTCCTGCTAGAACATGTTTCGCCACTCGCTCAGCGATTATTAATTATTGCCCTAAACGTAATAGACTTCACCAAGATTCGGGGTTATCTCAGCAGTCGTCATTAAGCCTTGGTCCCCTGCAGTTCAGCTTCATCTAGAACTATAAATATATCCACCAGCACTAACCTCCCACCGCCACTTGCATTGTGATTTATCCAGGATCCGACCGTTGGGCGTGCTCTTCCTGGGATTGCTGGGCTATTGGATCTATTGGACGCGCTGCAGCTTCCGGATTGTGCCCACGGACGAGCTGCGCAACAAGATCAACGCCTGGCTGCAGAGGATCGACGACTGGCGCCACACCAGCCCCAGCATGTTCTGCCTGGCCAGCACCGGCTGCTTGGGCACCCTCGCGGTGCTCGGCCACCTCATCTCCGGATCCACGCTGGTCCTCACCATCCTCGTCGTCTCCGCCCTCGTCTCCACCAAGTACAACTTCAAGCTGCTGAAGATCGAGCACAAGGGTGAGTGGTCAGTGGTTAGTGGTCCGTTTGAATTGTTAGGCAATTTAGTTTTCATAGAACTTTCTAAATTTAATTATAAACTTCAAAACTTGATCTCCCTTAAACTATTATTTTGAACAATATATTATTTAAAATTTAATAACAGTTGACCAAGAATATGATTTTTAACCAAGTTTTTGGTTTTAAAAAAATTTAATTTTATAAAAAATTAAAAATAAAAAAACCTCTATCAAGTTCCAAGTTTTTAACTTACTAACTTTTAAAAAATCAGTTAAGAACCAAGCTCTAGTCATACAAATTTTGAATATTCTTTTTTTCAAAATCCTTAATTAAAAAAATTCCCTATAAACGTTAAAAAAATATATATTGAATTCATTATTTGAAGCCAGGACCCTTAAATCAAATTATATTTAATTTAAGCCGTTTCGGTTTATAATCGGGTTATGGCTCGAAGCTGCATCACGTAATATGAGAGAGGAGATTTATGGAAATATCTTTAAATAACCAGAATCGAAACTCCTTTAAGAAAACACTATTATAATCGGGGATAACATTGAGTTACAAAATAATAATGAAAAATGTATTTTTTGCAGACTTCCAGTGGTCGGAGAAGCTCAACTATAACAATTTGGAGGCCGAGGCGGAGGACGAGTTCCTGCCGGACGTGAACGAGTCAAATCTGTTTGTGCTGGAGCGGGCTAGCGATGTGGCCACCATCAGTTCGCCCACCGATGCGAACGACGAGGAGGATGACGAGCGCAGCGACGACATTCCGTCGGAGCTGCTCATTCCGGACGTGATACCCGAGATCGATGAGCACTCCACCGACGAGGACGATGAGCTGGCCCCACTGGCGGCCAAGAAGCTGGAGAAACAGCATCAGCAGGAGCAGGTGGCCGAGGAGAGCGAGGATATGAACTTCCGGAAGGGTCACTTCAAGCGCGACTCGTCGCTGTCCACCACCTCCTCCTCGTCGGAGGAGAGTCTGTCCAAGGGGCTGCAGTTCCCCGACCACACCACCGTCGATGCCAGTGGCAACACTCAGTTGCGTCAGATAACCGCGGGACCGGATCCCGCCGGCGAGCTTATGGCGCTGGCCGTGAAAACCCAGGCCCAGGCGCTTCTGGCCAACAGCGGGAAGCTTCTGCCCAGCCTGGTCTCCGGCCTGGTGCAGTGGGGGGCAGGTGGTGCGGCCGCAGCCAGTTCCGGCGGAGATGCCACCGATGCGAGTAGGGATCGAGAGCAGCAGCGCATTGTTACCGCCTTGGATTCGTCGGATGAGAGCGACTTTGAGATACTCGAAACGGATGACTTCAAGTAAGGATGGGATCGAGTCGGAGATCGCTCCGATTTGTCGTATTATAAAGCTATTATCTTAACATACATATGCTACACACACTATACACACACACACACACAGAACACGGAACACAACAAACCGACAGACGACACGACACGGACAGTTGAAACGGTTATATTTTCCCAGGTGGAGATCAGTTATATATTTTGCTATACTGCTATACACTAGTGATCGGTCTGCTAATATACATATACGAAACTAAACTAAATTAAACACCCAAAACTACCCTAAAATTAAGCCAAAAGATGTTTTCTTTGTTTTTCGTTTTCTTTCGATTGCTTTGTACATTATTGTGTTTATATATCCTTATGCTTATTCCTATTTTACTGTATGACTCTAGATTGTATTTGCCATTTTGTGTTTATATCCACTGACCACAAACAGAAACAACAACGAGCGACGGCATGCAACATGTACATATACTACAGATACACTCACCTATATATGTATGGTTTATATAGATGTCGCTGTGAGGGCGTTAAGCTACTTAATCTGAATCCAAATCAAAAGCCTAAAGCAGCAATTAAAAAACCAAAAACAAAAAAAATGACAAATATAGTAAACAAACGAAATTATGAAGAAATCTGGTTCGGTGCTATTTTTAAACCCATTCGCCATATGACGTGCACAAATCATAAAAACCAAACAAAACAATTAACGAAAATTACAAGACGCTATCGTTTTACCGGCGATTTTTTTCGCTGCCCACCATCGTACGTTGTAGAACATAACTGAAACATAAAATCAAATAACACACTTTTTTTTTGTATTCTAATTATTATTTGCGCTATGTATTTTAAGTTGTAATTTAATTTGCGAAACAAAACTAAATGTGATTTTGTAAAAACAAAAGAAACTGAAATAAAAATCAAAAAGACCTCGAATTGCGATCTCGACTGTTGTCAACTGCCCAGCAATTGGTTTTCGGTTTCGGTTTCCGATGAGACGGTTGGGATTGGTTCCTTCACCTCAGCCTCCTGTTTCTTCTCGTCATGCTCCTCATCGTCGTCCTGCTCCAGATCCTCGTCTTGCACGAGAAGCTGCCCCTGCGTTTCCTTTCCATTAGTGACCTTCGCCTTGGCTCCCTTGCGCATCGGAATCGTGTCTAGGATGGCCGATGTCCAATCCTGGCCAGCAGCCACCTTGGTCAGCAGCTCAAAAACTGAAATGAAAACGGTCATGATAGAATGGAGTTCGAAAATGTATGAAATATTCATTCAAAGATAAACAAGTTGGGAACCTTTTTAGCCAATTTACACATTTTGTAGAACCTTTGACATTCTGATAAATTTAATTTGCGATCTTACTTATTATTCCAGTTAAATTTTAGGTATTTTTACGTTAAAAAACAAGGATCAATCCGACTTTAAAAATGTGCAATACCTGATTAATGCGGGTTCTTTTAATACACTCGATCAGATATGTAGTACGCAGGTTGATTACAACAATAATTTAGCTGAATTACGTAGTTCATAAATATGTTTCAGATTTGTGATATATTTGACCTACTCATTTTGATTCAATAAAAAGCTGCACATAATCAACAAAATTTAGCCTAAGACGGTTAATCAACCCTAATATGCATCTTTCCGGGAAAGTTAGAGCATCTTTATTCGGCCACTCACCGTGGTATGTACTGAGCACGGCCCTCGTCTTCATGTCCACGTGCTCGCTGAGCGGCAGGCGAGCGGTGGCCAGGCCCGCCTCGGTTGCTCGCGAGTGGCACAGGCCTTTGAAGTGATTGTGGTCCACCAGGCCGCCGATGACGTAGGTGCAGCCAGGCTGCAGCTTGTCTAGCACCTGGTCCGACTCGCAGGTGAGATAGACCAGCTGGCTGGTGTCGAAGACATCAGTGTGTCCGCGGTCGAAGTGGTACTCCACGTGCCAGTTCTCCCAGCCGTCATTCTTCCTAAACGACTCGTGGATATGCCCGTTTCGCCGAATGCCCGTGAAGTGCAGCTTGCCCGGCTGCGCACTCCGCCGATTGATGGTGTAGATCCGGAGGCACTGCTTCACGCACTTGGCGATGTCCCGCTCCTGCATCAAGTCATCGTACTCCAGATCGATGGCAACGGAGAGTGCCGACTGGCCGCCGTCCACCGCCTGGCGTTTCTTGAGCTCCTTGCGGGATGGACCCGTCCGGATGGGCAGACCCTGCTCCTTGGCCTCCCGCCGCTTCTGCTTCTTCTTCTCCCGCTCCCGTTCGCGTCGCAACTTCCGGAGTTCCGCAAACTCCGCCAGTTTGCGTTGCTTCTTCAGCTGGTTTTTGCTTTGCGGCGTGCCGGGCGTGGTGCCTGGGCAATTGCTCAGGCTGAGCACTGCCGGAGGCACCACTTCTAGCTCTTTTTCCTCCGTATCCATGGGATGTGTTTGTAATGATAAATATTAAATAAATAATTAAATGCCAATATCTCAAACAGCTGTTTCGACAGAGTTGTCAGAGTGCTGCACTTAACAGCACTGCATTTAACAGCACTCTGTTACAATCACTCCCGTTTAAGCCCGCCTACACTGGAATCGAGAATGCATTAACTCCACTACTATCACCAATAACACGCGAAACAACAGCTATTTTAAGCAAAATAATTGTTTAGCAATATCAAGCTTAACGTTAAGCATTGCAACTATTGCAATCGGACTTTAAGCAAAGTAATCATCATTTCTGATCCTTATTTATTCTGTTTACAAATATTGATTATATGCAATTAGTAACAATACATGGACATAAGTGGTGTCCAAATTTATATCTTAAACGTGAATGTAGCACTTTTGACTGGCATTTGCATTATAACTCATATATGTTTTTTCCTAAAATAATTCCTAAAGTTTTCAAATTAATCGGTTAGATTTCGTGATTTTGAAAGTGAAGTCACCATATCAACAGTCAAATCTACGTTCGTCAGCCCTGTTATTCAACATCCAGAGCTTTTTCGATAACGCTGTCGATAACTCGTCAGCAGGCCAGGTGAAATCAGGAGATATTTATTTGATTGCATTGCCGGCTGTGCGTGGGAATGTGCGTTGGTCAGAGAAGCGAGCGAATCAACTAAGGTATCCTGCTACTGCTGCGAGTAAACCGGCACCCTCGGCGAGCAACAACAAACGCACCTTGCACCGCATATATAAGTTTTCTGGAGGAGATTGGCCGATCTCGTGTTAACAATGGCAACGGTGGCCCTGCTCTCGCGGCAGCGCATGCTTGCCTGCTCCTTGCGGATGGTAAGAGGTGCCCACTCCAGGTGCCTGACGGTGATGCCCAGAACTACGAGCCCGCCAAGCCATTCCTGGCCCTTCGCGGATCACCGAGGCCTGCTCCTGCCCACCGCCTCCACCCGCATCAATCGCTTCAGCCACAAGTCGGCGGACCCGGCGGCGGCGGCAGCTCCATCACCCGCGGACAACAAGGATGCGAAGGCCGTCAGTAGCACCTCGTCCACTGATCTTTTCGGCGAGGCGGCCAACATGGGTCTGTTCGCCAAGTTCAAGCACATGTACAAGCAGTACTGGTACGTGCTCATCCCGGTGCATGTGCTCACGTCAGTGGGCTGGTTCGGAGGCTTCTACTACCTGTCCAAGAGGTGGGTACTCGGCACACGATGTCTTCTATCGAAGTAAAATATGAATCTCTCTTTTTGCAGTGGCGTCGACGTGCCCGCTCTGCTGCAGTATGTCCACCTGAGCGAGAACATCATCGAAAAGGTGCAAGGCTCGGATATGGGCCACTACGCCATCGCCTATCTGTGCTACAAGGTGGCCACGCCCCTGCGCTACGCCCTCACGTTGGGTAAGGTTCCTGCGGTTTGGTTTATTTCGGGCTGAAGTCTCTTTCTGTGCCACTTTTAGTGATGATTCCAGTTCTCCACTTGTGAAATATGTTTTTTAGTTGTACCTAAAGGTGTAGTCTTTAAGTTATCTACCACCTAAAAGAGTACGATCATTTAAATTCTTTAAAAGGGTAAATTTAAGCTAGAGAATGCCTTTAGGAAGATTATTAATTTCTGTAATCAGATAGTGAGCCAATCATACAAGCTATTAAATTAATCTACTTTATAGATAGATGAATTCAGAGTGCAAATATTAACGACTCAACCTTTTCGCAGGTTGCACCACCGTGTCCATTAAGTACCTGGTGCAGCACGGATACATCAAGCCCATGCCCACCAAGAACGAGCTGATCAAGATGTACGAGGACAAGAAGGCCACGCGGGCCAGCGCCAAGGCGGACAAGGCCGAGAAGGACGAAAGCAAATGATCCACGGCCACGGGCGAGGACACCGCCTATTCAGCGGTGTCGTTGCCGTTACCACAGTCACAAGATCCTAAACCGCCGCCACCGCTGCTGCCATTGTCAATGCCCCAAAGGATCGGCGACCAGCAGCGATCGGCCGCCGGCGAGCGGCGAGCAGTTGACCTGTTGTCTTTTTTGTTAAACTGCCGCCGCTCCTGCTGGCACTGGTGCTCAACGAACCTAACTCTTGTCCGGAATCACAGTCGATCACAAAAGCAACAGCCGCCGCCGCACTGAGTTGCCGATGCATACACGCCCACAATCCACATTTAAATTCCCACAATCCCACCCATCCCACGGACTCAGATTCAGATTCAGATACTTCCTCGGAGTTGCATATGTAATTTGCCTATAGTTTCTGTTGCAGTTACGAAACCGCTGGACGTCGTCAATAAAAAACCAAAACATAATACACGAAGAAACATAAAACACAGATCCGTAGGACGTGGAGTTCAGTAGTAGTTATTTATAGATATATTTTGTAAATGTGAGAAAGTTGTCGCAAAACAATAATAACTTAACTCTTATTATATTAAAATACAAATAAAAAGAAGCAGAGGCCTCAGTTCAAGGGCGTAATCCGAATCGCCCGAACGGGGGTCCAAATTGTTGACAAATAATCAAATGTTTTATTACGTTAATTGAAAACTATGACATACACTTTTTTTTTTAATTAGGATTAGAACCATTTTAAATTTATATAACCAAATTGGTTTACAAATTTTGACAAATCTGCTAGTTTTTCAATTCTGGTCAAGTTTTTTTCAATTCTCGAATCAAATGTTTTTACTATTAGGAATAGTGTTGTTTAAATCAAACAGATTTCTGGAGCACAATAGCTGGAATTTATGTTAAAGGTTTTAAATCACAAATTTAGAAGCTGGTGGGCTGTTTTTCCTATAAAACAAATATGAAAAAACGTATATAGAAATAAAACGAAATATACCATTCTTAAAAAGCGGCAAATTAAAAGAAAGAAAATAATTTTGTATATTTTGCACTGCAAATTAGAAAGGTACCAAAATTAGCCAATCTTTATATCAGTAAGATCTTTAAAATTACATTTTTTAAGACTTGTTTAATAGGGTTAATCTACCCTGTTTGGTACACCCCTGCATTGATCCCAGCCCTGGTCGATTAAGATATCGAAGCGATAAATAAAACAAATTTCAAAAATTTCGTTTTTCAATTTTATTTTTGCGTTTATTTTTCAGTTTTTTCTCTTGCTGTTTTTTTTAATTTTTTCTTTATTTTGTTTTTCTTTAACGTTAGTAAAATATCCAACAATTATACTTGTAACTAATAGTTAAGCCAGAAAAAATATAGAAGTCGCATTTTTTTTTCATTTACAAATAAATAAATAATGTGTCTTGTTTATTTTTATTAATATTTCATCGAAATTTTGGTGCAGTGTAGGCGTGGTTGTAATTTTTCTTTAGCTGTTTTTGGATCTGCGAAAACAAGTTACATTATGTACACATTAAGTTTCGCTGAGTGTAGGTGTTTGTGTGGGGTGTCTGTGTATGTTTATATAGCATTTACATAAATACAATAAATAAATAAATTACATAATATATATTATATATGTAGGTATAAAAACAAAATAGGCAACAAAAAGGTATTTAGCAAGTATATGTGGGATTGCTGAGGGTATTGGAAAAACGCTCGACTTAAACTACAAATTACGCACAAAATCAAACAAATAAAAACAGTGTTTTGTTAAGTAGCTCTCATACATAACTCTTCTTTTTTTGAGACTAGTTTTGGTGGCTTTTTGCAAGCCAATCAAAAAACACAAAAAATTTTATAAATTTTAAACGAACTTCGTAACGGTCTTTTATGCCCTGGGGAAATTCCCAAAACTGGGTTGGTTGGTGTTCTGTCTGGGGAATTTCCCTTTATTACATGGGCTGGATGGTTTTGTTGGTTGATTGGTGTCTTGGCTAAAGGATAACAATGGTTTTTTGGTGTTGTTGTTACTGATCGTTTCCTCATTTTTAATTTTTAAATTTTACTACTAGCATTTATCATAAGTACGTTTTCACAATGCAGATTTCAGCTTCACTTCGCGTCCCCCTTTCATTAAATTTGTTGCTCATTTATCAATTATTTAATATTACATTCTATTTTTAGTTGCTAAAAAGCCATTTCTCTTAGCTAGTGTGATTTTTGTGGTGCGATTGCGGTTTGTTTGGTTTTAATCGTCTTTAGTTTTAAGTATTTATTGCAGTTATTTTGTTTAAATATTTTTTTATGAAATATATTGCACAAGAAAGACGAATTCGAAATATATAATTAGTTTTCCTTTCCCACGTTTCATTTTGTTTGTTTGTTTAATTCTTACACACAACCAGAGGACACTATCCTTCGGCAAACCAATAGAGTGTGAGTAGGAGAGAGACGGAACGAAAGGAGAAGAAAGAGACAGTGAGAGTCGGCCGATGCAAATTGCAAATTTCGTTTTAATAAATAACAATTAAAAAAGGCCGAAATATTGAAACATTGTATCTTCGCTTCTGCTGATTGCTTTCTGTATCCTTACAAAAGAATATCTTGTCACTAGTTAGTATTAGTATCTCTTGCGTTAATCCTGGGTCTTGAGGTTTTTTGGTTTGCCGAAAATTGTTATTGCATAGATTCATTGTTTTCGTCGGAGTTTTCTTTTCTTGTTTTTTTTTAGCCATCGAAGTTCGTTTTCTATATATACATTCATCCTTGTTTTGTATGTACTTTTGCTCCTTCTTTGTATTGGTTTCTGTTTTAAGTTTTATTTTGCTTTTGAGTTAAGTTTAATTAAGTACAATTTTTATACCCTTGCAGAGTGTATTAGAATTTCAGTCAAAAGTTTGCAACGCAGTGGAGGAGACATTTCCGACCCTATAAAGAATATATATTCTTGATCAGCATCACCAGGAGGGTCGATCTAGCCATGTCCGTCTTAGTTTTAAAGCTATCTGCTTGAAACTTTCCAAAACATTGTCTTTCTATTTCACGTAGTATATAAGTTGGAACGAGCCGGATCGGGCGACTATATCATATAGCTGTCATATAACTGAACGATCGGAAATGCCATAACTTTGGTCGTTGTAAAGTTAGGAAGTTGCGATTTACTATGGGTTTTATTTTTGGCCAATCAATCCGACCTACTAAATTTTATAAGGATCGGCCGACTATATCCTATAGCTGCCATATAACTGAACGATTGGAAATGCCATAACTTTGGTGTTTTTAAAGTTAGGAAGTTGGGATTTATTTTTGGCCAACCAATATAATTTACAGAATATTCTGCAAGGGTATATAAACTTCGGCTCCGCCCGAAGTTAGCTTTCCTTTCTTGTTTGTTATGCAGTTCTACAAAGCGTTTTCTAGAGTTCGTTTGTTGGTTGTTCCACTTTCTCACGCTCTCATCCTGCTCCCAAAGTAGCGGAATAAGACCGAGATCAGCCATTAAACAAACAGTTACTGCATGTATTCCAATTTACTTACTTCAACTCAATTTAAAAGCAAAGCAAAACTAACTACAACTCTTTACGGTGGCCGTAGCGCACGGATTAGGTCTTACGCACGCTCGTAGAAAAGTATATAGGCACTGGATGAAACGAGATGGTTTTCGGACAAGGCATCGCTGACGCTGGGGAATTAAAAGGTTTTTAAAAAGGTTGATTACAAAGATTCAATTCAGTATTCAAGATCACAGAATTGCCAAAAATATAGGACTGGGACTCAATTATCAGCATAGTTGACATATTTTTACAGCGTTGCCTTTTAGCGCCAAAAGATTGCTTTAAAATTTTGTAAAGAAACACATAAAAGATAATTTTTTTTTGGTATTTTTGGCAAGTATGTGGACTGAACACTAAGGATATTAGACGTACATATTATCATTGAACTCGTGCCACTTGCGGGAGACGGGATGCTTGCAGAGTGCCACATAATGACCGCCAGCCGTTGAGCCTATCGGGTGAATAAAATATATATGAGTATATTATGTATTAATCAGTGTAGTCAAACCCAGAGGAGGGACGGGCACTCACCCATATGATTGGATATCGCATAGAGCGAGTAATGCACATTCGAGTTGGAGTTGGCGCCATAGGAGCCCATGTTGAGCTCGCTATCCGATGTGGGGAACTCAACGATATTCGACAGCTTGCTCCAGCGCGTTTCCGAAAAGCGTTTTAGGTCTGTAAGTACACCAATTATTACTAATTATTATAAATAATTTCTTTGAAATCCTATTAAATATATAGATTCAATCTAACCAGACTATTATATAAATAACTTAAGGATAAGATACTTACGTATAACCAGGTATTTTGGGAAACGCTGTATGGTGAAGCTCTTGGTGCATTTCCGCCGCGTTTTGCACTTGGCGCACGTGGGCATCTCGTCGCCGTCAAGGACCTCCTCGCGGATAAAGAGGTCGAGGCAGGCCTCCAGTTTGCAGCGCGACGAGGATGGCAGCGGCACGCTCAGATCCCAGAACGGATCGAAGGTAACGCTGGTGTTGCCGCAGGTGGTGCACTTCAGCGTGCTCTTCAGCTGACCCACGAAGAGGTCGCGGACCAGCGAGTTCTCGTGCCGCGTATACCACTCCCAGGTCAGGTCCGCCTTCTTATTGTCACTGCGTGGAGATGAACATTGAGCGGGTGAGTTTATTGTCATTAAATTTTGCCGCAAGACACACCTCAGATTATCGTCAATGCTGAGCGTCTCACCCTTGACGCCCGAGTTGAGGGCCGAGTGCAGCGAGTCGAGGAAGAAGCGCAGGAACTCCTGCGCATCCTGTTGGTTATAGTCGCTGTACATGCGGTGCTTGGTGGAGAAGGCCCGTTTCAGCTCCATGGGCGTCACCGTGTGCACGTTCGAGGTCCACATCTCCTGGATGAGTTTGGCAAATTCTGCGGCGTCCAAATGGATATTAAAATATGAAGACATATAAGAAGGAAATATATTTAAAACTCACCATGGAGTATCTGCTGATCCTTGGTGGAGGACGTGCGAGAGCCATGGTGCGAACGCAGGAAGCGGGTCAGCTCCTGGGTGTGGCTCAGGCACTGGATGACCGAGTTCATGAAGCAAGTGTTCCCGATGTTTCGCAGTCCGCACAGACCTGTGGATGGGCATTTAAGAGAAAGGGGATTCGGATTAATTTCAATAGACAGAGGGTACGGCACAGCCGCGGTCACTACTCCCCAATTGGGATGCGTGGGCTTGCATTCGCTAAAGGAAGGCTCTACCATCCTCGCCCAATCCTCAGCCTTCCTTTGTATTTTCCGTGTAAATAGAGTTTCCAATTTTTTTTTTTTTTTGATCTTTTTTTTTACTGAGAATTTGTTTACAGACTTTTAGAAAAATGGGAATGCTGTTTGAGACTAGGTGTGGGTAGCTATTTGATTTGTATACTTTTTAAATTTGAAATGACAAAGAAATGAAAAGTAACTTTGATTAAAAAAAACGTTGACTATGTACAAAACCTTGTAAATATGTATAGAAAGTTCATTGCCTTGTTGCTCAATGCTCACAATATAAATGACAAAAATTAAATTACTATCTTAAGTGTAATTTCTTTTTAAGTATCAAAAATGTAATTTAATCAATAAATAGAAAGAAACTTATTGATTTCAACAAGTGTGGACTTAAAATTGCTTATATAGTAGTATACAGTGCATATCTTGTGCACCACTGGGGGAACTGAAACTGGAATATCCCCCAATGTGGACTTAATCCTGGATAACTCACCCTCCGATTTCTCATCCCGCGACGAGGAGGCGCTCTTGTAGCCATCATCCGAGTTGTGCTTCAGTGATGACGAGTTGAGGGTGGAGGAGGTGCTGACGCTGCTGCGGCTGGTGCCGCTGTCCCGATCCCGATCATAGTAGCGACTCGAAGTGGGCGTCATGGGCGGCAGGACGCTCCGGGCACTGCTGATGCTCCCAGTGCCGCTTCGCGCCGTCGTCTGCACAACAGAGAAAATATCACATTTGAGTATCATTTGCAAGTTAATGGCGGTTCCCGAACTCGAATGGCAGCCTATCGATTCCTTTCCAGTGATGTGAATTCTTTTGAATATATATTTAGATAAGACTTCTTGTTATTTAGAAATGTGGGGAAAGGAAATATAAAACATGTTTCTTCAGAATTTCTCAATAAGATATGTATCTTTCAATATTTTTAATAATTTGATCTATTTTAAGTCTTTAAATAATTTATTTACAATGAATTCTATTCTGTATTGAGTGTAGCTACAATGTTAAACGCTCTTTTAATTTGTAAATCGGAAAAAAATATCACGAAATAATAATTAACAATATGTATATATTTATCCCATCACTGAAAGCCTCGGTAGCTGCACATCGGCTCGGGCGTTAAATTACTGGTTAGTATTAAAGTAAAGTTAAGTTAGTTAATCAAAGCAACTAGCAATTGAACAGTTGGAGATTAAAGAAGAAAAACAACAATAAAGTCGAAGTTAGTACAGGTGTTTTGTGTGTTTCATAATGCGGATGAGAAGAGTGAGAAGAGACAGCGACAGCGATAAAAGACCAGCATGCAAAGGATAACACAAACGAAATGGTGCCTTAGCGCGACATATTGTAAGCGAAATCATATCAAACGATAGACGATAACAGAGGAGTATAGTGTGCGGGATGAATCCAAAAGATGAATGGAATAAATATACGTTCTAGCTACAAATTGCTATCACAATTTCAGTTGCTTGCTCTTGCCAAGTGCAAGAATTTCATATATCTTAATATACATAAGAAGAAAACGGAATGAAGACGGTAAATAAAACTAAACTGAACTGATCGGTGACCTGGCCAAGGACCGACTTACACTATCACTGGCGGAGCTTGAGGCTGTGGCGGTGACTGTGGCTGTGGCTGTGGAGACGGAAGACGTGGCTGGTGTTTGTGGTGTTGCTGCTGTTGCACTGGCAACATTGGGCGTTGCTGCTGCTGCTGCTGCATCGTTGTTTACCTTGGTGATTGTGGCCAGGCTCTCGCATTCGTTTGCCTGCCGGCCGCTGTGGGCTCCCCGCACCGACACCTTGTTGATGGGCGATACCACTGCCGTGACGGCAGCTCCTCCTCCGCCTATAGGACCCCCCAATACGGATGTTGCCGCCACCGCCGTGCTAACGCTATTCATTGTAGCCGTTGTCCTATAGGCTGCTCTGGTCAGGGAACTACTGTAGCCCGCCGCCACTCGGATGTTGTCCAGGTCGCTGCTGTAGCGCTGCTGCAGGTTGCCACTGCTCCCGCCTGCCTGGGAGGCATGATTGCTGCGACTAGTGCCGGCTCCGGCTCCGACTCCCACTCCCACTGCAACTCCCGATCCTGTCCCTGCAACACTGCCGGCTCCCATTCCCGCCCCAGAGCTCGGAGTTTGCCTCTTCTGCCCACTGAGATTGTTGAACTTCTCTATGGAGGCCTTAATACTCAACGAATCAATGCCATATCGCCGGGCATTGCTGCTGTTCCTGCTTTCTGGGTTCACCTCGCCGTTGGTATGCCTATGGCCACCACCACTGAACTTCTCATAGCTGGCTGCGAAATTCGAGTGGGCCGAGGCTATAATGGTGGACTTGGGTCGCGGATAGCGATGGCTGGCTGGCTTCGAACTGCCGGGTTGCTGCTGCTGCTGGTCCTGGTGCTGCAACTGATGTTGCTGGTGGCGCAGCGGCAGCGGCGGAGTGATGGGTTTGAAGTAGCATATGCTCGCCTTGGTGGCTCCTCCGGCGGATACCCCGCTACCTGGGCCACCTGGACCACCGGTGGTCGGCGGCTCATCACTGTCTATGTAGCTTATGTCATCGTGTTGCTGTTGCTGGCGTTGCATGTTGTTATTGCCGCCGTTGTTGAGGTTGTTGCTGCTGTTGTTGTTATTGTTGGTGGTGGTATGGCCATTCATCGTAGCTACTCCACCGGTCGATTGGTTGTTATTGAGCGGCCTCAGCTTGCCGTAGCTCCTGGTAGACGTGGAAGTTGCTGCTGCTGTTGCTGTCGCTGCCGTGGAGCGGGCACTGTACTTGAGCACTCCGTTGCTGGTGGTGTTCCTGCTGGTGGTGTTGTTGATGGTGGTGCTGCTGCTGCTGGTGGCGGTTGGTTGCTGATTGCCATTGAACATGGGCGTGCGACGCATATCAACCAGCGTTGATGCCCGGCTACCGTTGTTGCTGTGGTTGTTGTTTCTCGAATCCTCACCTGCTCGACTCCGGCGGTGCGCCTGCGACGTGGTCTTCACCTTGCTGGCTGTCACCTGGGCATGGGCCAATTCGCATTCGGCCTTCAGGAATGTGGGATCCTTGTAGCTGGACACTAGGAAATAGCGCTGATTGGCCGCCCGCACTGGATTCGATTGGCTAGTGCTCGTCGTGGCCGCCGGCGTGGAGCGGACCTGTGTTGCAACTCCGCCGCCTCCGCCGTATTTGGCTGCCGCCAGGGCGGCGTGAGTCTTGCCCACAGCCACCGAGTTTCCAGGAACTGTCGAGTGTTTGCCCTGCACTGGGTTCCTCAGGCGAGTGGCTAGACTAGTACCAGTACCCCGTCCCGATAACGATGATGTTGCTACTGCTCCTGCTCCTGCTGATCCTCCTGCTAATGGCACTTCTGTTGAACTTGCTCCCGATGTTGCTACTACCGACGCTGCTCCGTTTGCTGGCTGTAATTTGGATGCCTGTGGAATCTTATGGAATCCTCTGGTCTTCTTAATGTCTAACATCATTCGACGGTATGGTCACCGAACGCTTCTTCTCTCACTGCTGCAGTTGCTCCTCTTCTGACAGTGGTATGCTAGCGTTTATTTTTGTTGCCTGCCTACGGTTGAGTGGATACGATATTTGTGTTGTGTTTGTCTGTTTCTTCGTCGCCTGCTAGGATTAAACTATTCTCGACTAACCAGATGATCCTGTCCTGCTCCACACTCTATCCTAAGCAAATGGTTTTTGGGATGATCTTATGATGATTTATTTGGGGAATTTGAGTTTAGTTAGGAGTATTAATAGCCTGGCGTTTAGTTGGACTTGTTTCTTTTTTTTCTGAGTTTAGTTTAAGTTAGAAGGGTCGCAATCTGCAAGAGTTTAGCTAAAAATACATAGAAATGTAAACTTGATTAAATGATCGGCTTTTGCTGGGCTGGCTGACGAACACACAGGGGGTGGAATAAAATGAGGTACATGGGTCAATGGTTAATGCTGAGGTGGTGGGGGCGGATAGGATTAATGGTTTCTTATTTTTTCGCATACGCCATTTAATTGTTTCGGGTTGTGGCACATGCAATTAGTTTGGTTTTCGATTTCGGGGGGCAGCGCTTCTAGTCTCCGTTTAACTTCTGGCCAAAGTTTTTACCTTGCTGCTGTCGTTTAGCTTAAACGTGGCCGAGGTGCTCACATCGGCATTGTCCGCATTATCCTGGCTAACACCAGCATCGTCGGTGGTGTCCTGATTTCGTTCGTAAATGGCATTTCTTTTGGGCGAAGCCGATAGCAGTGACAGACCATTCATCTTGGCCTCCAGTCCACCATTTGACGACTCGCTTGATTTGTAACCATTTGTGGGTGGAACTGAAACCGGAGGTGGAGGTGGTGGTGGTGGCGGCGGTGGAGCAGCCGCTGGCTCTGCCGGTGTGGTCGTGGGCGCCTCCTCCACCTGGCTGCGGCGCGTGCGGTTGCTGCGGAGTGTGAAGGTGGCCGTGGGCACATCGCCACTGCTGCTGCTGCTGTTTATCGAGTACCTCCCGGAGCCCGGTCTTCCCGTGGAGCCCGTGGAGGAGTCCCCTCCTGCATCGCTGCTGTTGCTGTAGAGGCGACTATAGCGACTGCTACTGCTCCGTGGCCTCTCCAGGGTGACCGTGCGAGTGGGCGTCGCCTCCTTTTTGCTACCATTCTCCAGATCCGCCTCAGAATGCCCCGACCTGGAACGTGACAGTTCACAGTTGGGTTTATAGTTGGCCGGACTGTACTTTTCGTATATGTCCAATCCGGAGGTGGCCACCAAACGGGCCAGCGATGGGGATGAGGATGAACTGGACAGCCGCTTGTTGCCATCGCCTTGGGTGTCTCTACTGCTACTGCTGCTGCTGATGCTATTGTGGCCACCACTTCCTCCGCTGATTGGCGGTTTCTTGGCGGGATCTTGGCCACGGCGCAAGCCGTACTCCTCCCTCTTGGCCGATCCGCTCAAGCTATCGCCGTTGGTTGTAATCTTGGACGCCGATTTGCGCGGTAACTTTGGTTTTCAGTTTTCGGTGTTCGTTTTTTTTTTTTTTGTTGGATTTTTGATTTTGAATATTTGACAAGTGTTTTTTGGCGAAACATTTGTCAATGAACAGGTGTCAATGAATTTGTGGTGGAGGTTTTTTTTTGATTTGGAGTAACGGTAGGCGATAACGTTTAACGGTAAACAGTTACGGCAACGGTAAAACATGTTTCATGTTCATGTTTTGAATGTCAAAAAGTATACAACAAAAACAAAATGTAAAGAAAAGAAACATCAATGATATGGTTAATGGCTGGATTGTACACAAATGAACAGCAAATGATTTAAACAAAATAATCACAAAGATGAGGGACCTAGAAATGCGTCAGTGCGTCGCACTAAAAATCACAACTCATTTACTGTGAAAAGAGTTACCAATTTTAACATATAGAAAAAATCGTTTTTTTTAAGTTTTAAGTTCTTGTTAGGTAATTTAGCGTCTCAAAACTACTTTTTTTTAAGCACATCCTAACTCAAAAAGTAAGATTCGATATTCAAATTTGGTACCCATATTCAAGACGATTATATCTATTAATGGTACGGGGAAATTTTAATTTTTTATATTTATATCTTAAATTTAACAACAGCAAAAACTAAGGTGAACAATTTGTTTACATTTTTTATGTATCTTTTTTTAACAATTAATTTTAATCGAAATAAGTCTGTCACACGTTATTATGATCACCGAATAGTTAAAATAATATAGGCTATCTTAACACAACAGCATATTTTCGATTTTAGTGTAAGCTATTTAAGACACAATGAATGAATCCTTTACATTAAGCCATTTGATTTTAAAAAAACTTTAAGAGAAAGCTTTAACCTTTACAAAAATGTACACTATTTTAATCAATCAATTATTTCTAATTAAATCTCGTCCTTTAAAAGAAAAATATGTAATAAAACACAAGTAAATTTTCCTATTTTGTTTAAATGTGATTTAAAAAATGCAACAACAATATTAAACCAGTTGAAACCAATTTTTTTTTCATTGAAATTTGGTTAACATTTCGAACCAAAAAAGGATTAAAAGTATAGAATATTTTAAACACTCGATTCGAAAGAACTTTTCTGTCGTAAAAGGTGCGTTTGAAAACTGTAATTAGCGCGCTAATAGAACTTTCCGCACCTACGGATTCTTGCCAATGAAACAACAACAGATGTTAACCGAAAGTTGTGACTAAAAGTGTGAAATGTCAAGGGAACGCACCACCGATTGTCTTTTTTCTTCCTCACCCTTACCCCAAAAAAAATTAAATATAGTAAACTTCACATGCGGTGTGGTGTTCTCTGGGGCACGCACACACACCCGCACACGGACACGCACAACCAGACAAAGACGGCGATAACGCCATTGCATTAACCTTATTGCGAATTTTCAAGGGGGCTAAAGAGGGACCGAGGATGACACAATTGTTGGTGTTGTGGCCTTTTGTTGTTACACTCCTGTTGTTTTAGTTGTTGTCATTCGGTTTTTTCTTATTTGTTATTGGATCTGTGCCAACAAGTGGTTCGCAGCTCGGTTCAGTTCAGCTCTGTTCACACACACGCATTCCATTCCTAGGACTATGGGTGTGAATGTGGCATGGGATGTGACTGTGAATATGACTGTGACTGTGAATGTGACTGTGCCTGGGCAATGACGCATCTGGCCATGTTTGTATACATTTCAACGGGTCTACAGTGATTACTAACTTATAAGGAATCCCTGGGTTAGGCGCACCGCCTGTATCTCTTTGCTATTATTAGAAAAAATGTATATGAATTTCGTTTTTCTACACTATATTCGAGGTTGATCCATACAAATTACAATCGAATTTGGTTGGGAAAAGTGTCAAGAAATCGATTTTGTTACACCACTGCATCTACCCCTGGCAATAAAAGTCCATATTTGAACTTTACCGAAAACCATCATGATCATAAGATCTAGGACACCGGTATAAACATGCAGATTCCAATCGCACAAAACTCGGTGGCACTCAAAATTGGCAATATCTATCGATCACAACAAAAAATGTTCAAATCAAGCAATTATTTTATAATCTATTGACAAATTAAGTTCAGAATCAGCCAATAAAATTGGATGTACGCCATCTGCTGGAGGATTTGAAAAACATAAATAAAGGGATATTTATTTTGAAATTGATTAATAGAATAATGGGTTACAGATAGTCAAGACACTCAACTATAGCATGCCTTCTTATTACACCTAACCGAGTTTGTAGTTTGTAGAGGCTGTTAATTGCCTTGAAATTGAAAGGGTATAAACAACATTGATAAACTGGCCGAGTCCGTTAAAGTTTAGTCAAAGGCCGACCACAGTACCGGTGTTCGTTATCGCAAGTATAAAATGCGGCATTGTCCCTCTGTTTGACACACGCTATTTGCCTATTTGCCTAGTGCGTGAGTGTTTGTCTTTATTTATGTGGGTGTGCATGGGTGGGTGGGTGTTTGAATTTGAATGGGTGGTTTATCGTTGTTGCAATGACAAAATACAACACAAACACAAACGAAATAATCAGCAAAACGAAAATGCCAAAATTAAATATTCTAAATTCTATCAAAAGGTCCAAAATAACACTAAACGAGGCGGGAAAATCGGCGGGATTTTTACGGGGTTTCGGATTGGTCGGGTTCAAGTTCTGGGGGCGGGAAAGGGATCACCACAAATCGGGGCGTGGTCGCATGAGCCATGAGCCATGAGTGAGTGTAGTCTTGTAGTAGTTTTGGGATTTTATTCTCGGGATCGAATGCAAATAACCGTAAGCGGGTTACCAACTAATGGAATGTTGGAGCTGCTTATAGCTGACAATACAGATATACGCATTACGATGCAGGTGCCAATGAAAGCTCTTGAAATGGGTTAAGGGATCTGAGTAATTGAGATATATATCTAGCCTTCTATTCTTTTGACAATTGACTTTTACATTTATAAAAATTATAAGGCAGCGATTTCAAAAAATATTGAACAAAAGACAGTTTTGTTTACCGACACAAATCCTTAAGTTGTTAATCGAAAAAAGCCTCAATATCGGAATTTTTAAATGACAAAAGATCTGGATATTGTCAGATTTACACCAAAAAAATATATAATAAACATTTTACTTATTAATTTGTATATGCCCTCTAATGACTATAAAGGACATTTAAACAGATATATTAAATCGACATTGGTTCACATTTGACTATATTGTACATAAAACATTGATGTCAATAAAATAAATATCTTCTTATGAAATACTACCTCATACTAATAAAATGACTACACCAATTTAACGAGCTTTCACTGTACAGAGACGATGGACACCTTTTAAAATGAAATGCGACTTCTTGAAATATATGCAAATACATAACGCATGATGATTTCGGGGGATTGGGTAGTGAGTAGAGTTATACCAAGGGCCCAGCATACAGGATACTTAATCGTATAGAGATATAACTGAAAACCGAGAGATCAGCCACCAAACTTAAGAGTAATCGACCATAGTAAGGATGGGTGTATCGTAAATCAAGGTAAATCTTAAAAGGTAGTAGTGAAACTTACTCCGTATCGGCTGTACGTAGGTGAATCATAGCTGGAGCCAGTCAGATACGAAGAGGTGGTGCGATAGGCGGACGAACTGGTGCCGGAACCGCCGCTCAGATACGAGGTGGACCCAACGCTGCTCTTTTGCAGGCTGGAGCGCGGCGCATACGAGGAGCTGGAGGAGCCGCTGTTGGCGGAGTACGACAAGTACGAGCTGGGATAGTAGCTGCTGCCGTAGCCCGACGACGAGCTGGAGCCGCCGGTCGAAGTGGGCAGCCACTTGGACAGGCTGCTGCCCCGATCGTAGCTGCTCGAGTAGCGGCTGTAACCGTTCGTTGTGGCGCCTCCGCTGGACCGATCCACCACACCACTGCCGTTGGTGGTGCTGCTGGAGCTGCTAATGTGGTGGCTGCCGCTGGTGGAGCTACCGCTGGTGGTGCTGCCGCTGGTGCCGGCCGACGATGTGCCGTAAAGACTGCCGCTGCCCGCCGCTGACGTTGACGATCTACGCGGCGGAATTACACGCATATTAGTGGCAGCAGCGGCAGTGATCTAACCCCAGGTTCAGGATGAAGTCGAGAGTATCCTTAATTAGTTCTTATTGCAGCACGTAGTATTGCTGAGCGGCTGGTTCCTGTTGGTCTGGCTTCCGTTTGCTCGGTTTTTCGTCTTGCTATTAACATGTGGGGATTTAAGTTCCATTAATGTCAAATTTGTTTTTTACAGCTTTCTCTACGCACCTGCGTTCCTGTATTTACATTATCCTTGTATTACTTTAAGTTTAGTTTTAAACTTAATTGCTGCTTATCTGCTAAATCTAAGTTCCGTTATTGTTGCTGCTAAAGTTGTTAGCAAATCTAGACAGAAAATAAGTTAAGAAATTATTAGTTTCTATTCATAACACCTATTCAAATGGCCTTTAGAATTAATTGGTTTTTTCATTTGCAACCCACTTACAGCTATGGTCAAATAAAAAGCCCATTACAAATCCCACATCTAATTTAATGGAAAAATGTTGTCTCTATTATATTTGACAAACATTAGTTATTAATAAAAAAAACAATATTTAAACATTCTCCATCAATGGTTCCGAAAGAAAAACAAATTTTTAGTCGCACAGTTTTGGATTAAACCAGAAACTCTTTATTTTGCTTTGTTTTTAAATAATTGCTGTTAATAAACTATAATGATTTTAAATTTATCTCATTCATAAAAATCACAACTTGATAATTTTTCAATTAAAATAAACCAATAATTTAATAAATTTAATTAGTTTACAAAAATAAAGAAAGCAATTAGGCGGATCGCGACTTGGACTACACAATACAAGTCATTTGGGGTCGTTCCCTCGAATGCTTTAATAATGCAAATAAATTTCAAGGCCTTCCACTACTTTTGACCGTTATTTACATATAAACTTGTGGAAAAGTGAAGGCTTTAAGCCGCAAGGTTATCTAAAATTCAGAGAGATTCCAAGGATAATACTAAACTTTATCAAGGCGAACTCTCGCCCTTCCTCATCCCCTCCCCTCCATTGATTTTTCCCCAACGCTACACTTGCACACACACAAACTCAATAATCAATTAATTAAACACTAAGAATAATTCAAGCTGCTTGTTTTTTTTTACATCTCGAACAGTTTCGGCCTTCATATTGCCCCTGAGAATTATAAACAGTTAAGCGGAAAATGGAAAACCGATCAGCTGCTGCGTCACTTGTTTACAATTGCAAAATAACAATAAATAGAAAAAAGTTTTTCAAGTTTGTCATAACAACAACAGCAACAGCGGGGTGAGGGTGGTTGGCCTTATGCGGTAACACTAAAAATGAAGTTAAGTATGTGTGTGCCGCCAGGCAGTCTGCGTTCCCCTATGAGAAAACCGTTGCTTTTTCCATGCATGTTTGTGTGGGTGGTGGGTAGGCTTAACTATTATAAAATGGCCACACTATCACGAATCGATCTTTCGTTCATAAAATACTACAACCCATTCACACACACGCACTTAAAAAAACTAAATGAAATTCTTCAAGTTCACACACATACACACAAGCACACAGGTGCAGCTGAACTTTTTCCACGGTTACCACGTTTGAATAGCTTTTTTGGAAAAAAAATTCATACATCCCAAGCACGTCAAAAATCGAAATAATTATGATAAATCCAACAACAAAATATAAAACGAAACGAAATGAAATTCTATTTATAAAAGGCGCACACAACCACACACGCGCATGTTTGACAGTGAAATGTGAGAGGGAGAGGGGGAGAGAGAAGTGTAGTAGTAAATCAGCGACAAGAGCATGTGAGCAAGCGAGATAGCACTATTGGCGACACAGTCACACACACACAAGCACACGGCATGCAGCGTACGAATTACGCAAAGTGAAATATCTTTCTCAAAATGGAAAGTGGAAAAGTGACGACGACGACGACGGCTTTTGTGAATTTTTCAACAATCCGCTCATATCAAAAAAAAAAAAATTGTTCCTATGAAAATCACACTGAAGTAAAAGCGAGCGGGGGAAAGGGAAGAAAATTTGACCGCAAAACGAACATCACGAGGATAACGAGGTCGCGGCGCCGAAAAACCCGTTTCCCATTCGTACGCCCACAAACTTTGATGCCCGTCAGGCGCCAGCCTCGTTTCGCTTTGCAAAAGCGTTTTTTTTCGGCCGATTTTAACCAATTTTCAGCACAGAGCACAGCACTCACTTTTTAATCGGAAATTTTTTATTTTGGCCAGTGTGACCGCACGGCGAAAGCACCAGCACTAGAGCTGGAACAAAAGTCTAAGTTATTCGAACATCGATATCATTTAATTTTAAAAAATATTTCTATCGGCGATTCTAATCGATAATAATGTGCATATATCGATATAACTTATTAAGCATATGTTAAAAAACTTAACATAAAAAGTTAGTTAGATAGTTAACAGAAATCCAATTCCCCACAAAACGTAAATAATTACATATATATCTATAAAGTTTTATTTTAAAATGGAATAAAAAGATTTTGCTTTGGCGGGAATGTCTCAAATGATTGAAGTTCAAAACCATGTTAAGTTGCATTTCTCGTTTTTATTGTTACTGTCAGGAAAAATGCTATATATTTGTGTTCATAATATCATATTAATTGTTCTTTATTCAAAAATAAACGAACTCTATTTGTTAAAGCGCCTTAGAATTTCAAAACTCCGTTTTTTCACAGCTTTTATTTAATTATTTAGATATTGGACTAAAAATTTGTTAAAATTAAATTAAATTTTTAGATCAGTAACATCGATAACGGAATGTTTAAAACTATCGGTACTATCGCTGGTGCAGTCAAACCATCGGGTTTGACAGTTTTACCAGCTCTAGTTTTTGTGTGTGAAAATTCTGGCGAAAAAGATTCTGTTGAAAGTTTTTGCGACAACAATTCATCGCAACCCTTTTAAACCGCTACTGTGCCTCACCAGCGATTTGGCCAGTTGCGTTAGCCAACTACGTAAACCGAACGCCGTTCGCGAGTTAAAAAGGCCGCACAAAACAAATTGTCGCGTCGCATTACGTTTCAGTGTTGCCAACTTTTCCGGAGGACCGGGAACATTTCCAAGCCGAACAGACGCATTGCGGCCGAAATGTGCACACCGTTGGACTGATTCGCATGCCCGATTGATTGGGTTTACTCCAGATAGTCCGATCTGTAGTCTCCAGTCTGCAGTTTGGCCGGAAAAGCGCCGGCGAAAGGACGGATTTAAGCCGGAAAGCGGCCGAGCTGGCAACACTGCCAGAGAACAAAATGAAGTGAGTTTCGGAAAAAAAAGGCGAAGCAATAGGAAAAGCTAGAGGAAAAGCCAGCCGGTAAACTGTGCAAATGCGTGTGACCAGAGGAGACCTTTGTTTCCCGTTCCATGACGTTTTCTTGATTTATCCGCTGCTCTGAGTGGTCATCATTATCAGTCATCATCATCATTATTATCATCATCAACGGAGGTCGTCGTCATTTAGCCACCCGCCACCCAAAACCACCCACCAGCGAAACGGCCTTGAGGGTAATCGTCCGCCAGCATCTCGTCATCTGAGTCCTGATTTTCGCCGCCTTGATCTGGGTATCCCATCACACAGTTCAGGTGAGTCTTTGATCCCTATTCCGAATCCGATTCCCAGTCCTAAGCTTGTGTCCTAATGCAGATCCTTGCTATCCATAGTTATGTCATCGACCGCCGGCAAGCGCAAGGAGATCTACAAATATCTCGCACCATGGCCCCTGTACTCCATGAACTGGAGTGTCCGGCCGGACAAGAGATTCCGGCTAGCACTGGGCAGCTTCATCGAGGAGTACAACAACAAGGTGCAGATCATCAGCCTGGACGAGGACACCAGCGAATTTAGTGCCAAGAGGTAGATCGTGTACACAAGTTTAAAGTAATAACTATATTATGTAAAATCCCTTAAGAATCCATGGTAAATTAACTAAGTATCTTGTAAATCAATAATATTTCGTTCATATTTTAATGCTTACGTTTTTAATTCAGGAGTCTTAATTAAATTAAAATTTTACATAATAAAACATTAAAAATGATCCAAAAATAGATTTTGTTTAAATTGAGTAAAAAAACGATCAAATATGAATCAGCTTTGCTTATTTTTATTTAACTGATACACTTAATTACTTCCATCATCTATTGCTAAAACATTACATTTTTGAAAAGGAATTATGTTGTGGTCATTTTCGATTGTTAAAATCGGAAAAAGATAATATTATTATTATTTAACAATCGTAATTATGGTTTTCAGATCAATATCTAAATTAATATTTAATATTGGACTTAATAAATATTTCAGAACTGTATTCTAGGGACTTGACCATTTTAATTGTCTCATAAACCTTTTCCCATAAACCATTTTCAACGACTGCTTTGCTCTTCCCAAAACTAGCACCTTTGATCATCCATATCCCACAACCAAGATCATGTGGATTCCTGACTCCAAGGGCGTCTATCCGGATTTGTTGGCTACCAGCGGTGACTATCTGCGAGTGTGGCGTGCCGGAGAACCGGACACGAGGCTCGAGTGCGTGCTCAATAACAACAAGAACAGCGACTTCTGCGCCCCGCTCACCTCGTTCGATTGGAATGAGGTGGATCCCAATCTGGTGGGCACCTCCTCGATAGACACCACTTGCACCATCTGGGGACTGGAAACCGGACAGCCGCACGCCCGGGTCTATGTGGCGGGACACGTGAAGACGCAGCTGATTGCCCACGACAAGGAGGTCTACGACATTGCCTTCTCGCGGGCAGGCGGCGGTCGGGACATGTTTGCCTCGGTGGGAGCGGACGGATCGGTGCGCATGTTTGATCTACGGCATCTGGAGCACTCGACCATTATCTACGAGGTGGGTAGAGTGCAAGTTTGGTAGTTTTATATTTCGTTAAGCAGCAGAGACTTCAGGATTTGATACATAGACTGTAAATATTTAGACTTTAAAACCTCATATTTTATATTACCAATTTAGGATCCTGCCCACACGGCGCTGCTGCGCTTGGCCTGGAACAAACAGGATCCGAACTATTTAGCCACAGTTGCCATGGACTCGTGCGAAGTTATAATTTTAGATGTTCGTGTTCCTTGTACACCCGTTGCAAGACTGAGCAATCACAGAGCGTGCGTCAACGGTATTGCGTGGGCGCCGCATAGGTAAGACTTCCTTTGAAACCTAATAACTCGTCACAGATACTCATTGTAAATGTTGGATTCCAGTTCCTGTCACATCTGCACTGCCGGTGATGATCACCAAGCACTGATCTGGGATATACAACAAATGCCACGAGCAATCGAGGATCCAATTTTAGCCTATACAGCTGCCGAGGGCGAAGTCAATCAGATCCAGTGGGGCGCCACCCAGCCCGACTGGATAGCTATTTGCTACAACAAAGCGTGCGAGATCCTGCGGGTCTAAGAGTCCATTTTTTGGTCTGGTTCCTGGCCGTAGCACCTGGCTGCAATTGCTGAACAACGCACAGTCAACAGAAAAAACACACACCACCCACAAAAACACACTCACACTTGCTGTTGGTAATTTGGAGGCGGAAAGGAGTGAGCTTATGTTGGATCGGTTCTGCATCACGCTTCCGCAGTCTCTTAAATTTTTTGTCTGTCGAGAGAGAGAGAGAGGAGAAAGGCGAAAGTAAAATCGAAGGAGAGAGGGAGAGGGAGGTATATAAGGGAAAAAGAAGGAGATGGAGCATGTATTTTAGAATTCTTAGCTTAGTTGATTATTCAAGTATATAAGTCAAGTCTATAAGGTATAACCAAAATATGTATTTCTAATTGTAGTTTATTTCACACTTGACAAGACCGCCACCCCAAACCCCAATCGATTTGAGGCGCTTTATTTAATTTAAATCTCGATTATACAAACCCCAATGGAATGGAGAAAAATAAGAAAGAAAACAAAACACACATTATAAAAACAATGTCCTACCTCGTTTTTTCAACCAAGAATGTTGTTAACCAAGTTTTTGAGTCTGGCCAAATAAGCAGCAGCAGCAGCCACAGCAATACATAGAGAAAAAAGAGAGTGGAAGAAAGTAGACAGCAACAACGCTTTTTCGAAATATTTTTACTTTGTTCAATTTTTGTATGAGAACCAAAAACGGAAAACCAACAAAAAAAAAAAAGAGAGAAAGAAAAACAAAAGCAAAACCATGGACTTACGCGAATGCAAAACAAACAAAATACGAAATGAATTAAATAAATAAGCGAAAATACTTACATATATTACAGAATAAAACCGAAACAAAACAAAAAACGGAAGACAAACTGCACACAACACAGCTAGAATACAATACTATTTAAAGATACAAACTAAAAGCAAAAGCAAAAACAAATACCGAAATATATGAGCGAGAGAGAATACAAGATTGTTGCTATATCCATTTAACAAACGAACGAAACAAAAACAAACTATGATCATTTCAGATAAGACAGGACCCTCCATAAATAATCTCAGATCCCCAACCACATCCCATACTTTCCACAGGACAAAAGCGACTTCTCCAGATAAAATCGAATCAATTTTTTTATGTATCTTGTAATTTATAGCAATTTCACAACTTATATATATATATAGATATATATATATATAGATATGTATACAGAAAACGATAGCAATACCGATAATCCCGATGATCATGTATTGTAAATACAGCATGAAAGGCTAACTTTTTAACGAAAAACCAACAATCTGAAGCCGTAAAAACTTTTGAACAAGACTTAGGCCCTGATTTTGTATAGCCATTTAAGAGGCCCCAAACTCAAATCACCACCCCCTCGCCACAGAAAAGTAAAACACTGAAATCGAATCGAATCGAATTGAATCCTTTTTGATATTTGTACGTTTGTAGCCATCGATCAGAGAGATTTTCATTGATTTGGCATAACACGGTTTCCGCAAAAAAAAACATAATCGAAAACGAATATTAGGATATGGTATACTCCAGTTTCTTTCGTTTCATTTGTTCTCATTATTGCATTATCCGATTTACGTTATATGGCCATGTAACTACATTTATATATGTAATGTATATGTACACACACACACTTACACAAACACAAGCGCGTATATATAGACATCCGATCAGGCTGAAGAGGTTACTAAAAAGCTAATTGATTGATCGATGGATGGATCACAAAAACCAAACAAAACAGAAGAACGATGAGGAGTTGGAAAAAACAAACCAAAACAAACAAATATTTAAATAAACCATTTTTAAATAATGAACTCAGTCTCAAATTAAGTCGGGAAGATCGGCGGGCGGGCAAATGTTACTGATGTCCACGACTCCACGAAGTTTTTCCTCTTGATTTCCACCATTTTTTCCAGTAACTACAGGCGGGCCAGAGCTGAAAAAGAAAGCGTACATATTATAATTACTTATTAATTAATTACTAGAATTGATTAATTTATAAGTTACTGATGCTGTTTGATAATTCAAGAGGAACAATTATGAGTTGTTCAAATGCTGAATTTCTGTTGAATTGTCATTGATTAAGTTTTCAGGGAATATCCAACATTTTTCAAATATTTATAAATCAGGGCTAGTGAGCTCCCTACATACAAATAAGTACTAAGCTTATATAGCTTTTACTCGCCTTTTCGCCGTACTTTTCTTGACAGTCAGCAGTTCGTTGACTTTCAGTTTTTGGAGCTTGACCATCAAGTGACCCGTGATCTGGGAACGCTGCACCGTGGACTCATCCGGCTTGACTTCCTCGTTGTAGGCGATCTGGAATATCTTTTTCTTGACGGTGACTCTAGTGTAATTGGTTTGAACATCCACATCAATTAAAGATGTATCCAGGTGTCTGCAGGGAAAGATATAAATATTTTTCTATTTGATAGGTAATAATTGGAAAAGTTTATTTAATTATCTAAAATAAATAGGAAAGCTATCCCAAACAGAAAGCGTTGCCTAAACATACATAAAAAAAAAAAAATCATTTTTATATATTGATATTTGAAAACCTTTGCGTAACCAATATTTATGAAAAATATTTTTTATCTTTTAGTTTTAAAAAAACCAGACACTTTCATTGTATCAGTAATTTGAATTTTTAATCAAGAAGATAATTTGCAAAAACTCTGAATGACATTAAAAGAATTTGTAAATATCTATTATCAAATATCATGAAAACTCCACGTTAGGGAAAATCTTAATGATATGTCATTATGTCCCACTGACACTTGTATGAACGATTTTTTAGTAATGACCCACCTGTAGACCTCCAGTTGGAGCAAGTAGTGATCAGCCTCGTCCTGAAAGTTGAAGGGCAGCTTGCCCTGGTTTAGATTGTAGGGTCTGCCGCAGGGGGCGAATAGGTTGCGCTCCCGCTTCGGAGGATCCAGTGCAGACTTGGTTTCATGCCGCTCCCGGCCCAATCGATGCTGCCTGGCGATCTCCGTGCGAATCTCCGGGCAGTGCTCGCTCTTCGCCTGCCAGAAGGCCTTGATGCGCTCCTCCTCGTCCTCGATTCCGGCACAATGTTCCGCGAGGGCGGACTGCTGGTCCGCCACCCGGATGCGCTGCTCATCCCGTTCTATGGCCTGGTCGGTCTGTTTCTGGACGATGATGGCCCGATTCTTGGGCAATTCCCTCAAAGCTCGGAGGCGTTCCGAGTGGGTGATCTCCGCGCAGTCCAAGCTATTCAGTTGCGGCAAAGTGGCCACCACGTAGTCCCTGTAGTGTGGATAGTCCACGCAGGGATTTCCTATGAGCACCAGCTCGCGGAGATTGTGGTTGCCACACAGCGACTCCACACTGGTTAGTTCCCCTATAAAATTTAAAGTTAGATCCAGCTTGTTGAGCGACTCGCAGCCCTCCAGGTTCTCCACCCTCTCGATATTGTTGATGGCCACATTGAGGTACTCCAAACGCTTCAGTTTGTGCAAGTTCTCCAGGCGCCCAATGAGATTGGATTGGAGGAGCAGTATCTTCAGGTCACGACACCAGTTCTGGATGTGTTCTATGACCTCGATGTCCTCCTGGTGCAGAGAAATCTCCTCCAGAGTGCTAATTAGGCGTTCATTATGCTCCGATTTCTTGCGTACCAGCTCTTCGGTGACTATGGGATAAAAGGGATCAGATCATAATTATAGTTTTCTATTTTAACTTCTTACTGAGCACCATAATGACGAGTGTTTATTGTAAGGGAAAACTATTGAAAGTCCAAAACCAAAGGCAAAAGCCACCTCCGTTGCTAGGCATTTTCACATTTCATTGTTATTGTTTCTGGAGTTACAGGACATACAAATAAATGATAACAATCCTTGCTTAATAAATTACATGGAATTTATTAAAAAAGAAATACAAAAAAAAGAAGCAAGCTTCGGCACGTCGAAGTTTACATACCCTGCACCTGTTACAAAATATTAAATATTCTGTATTTTGATTTCGATGCTTAATGACAATAAAGGTGTTCGATTATCCGAACAATTTTTGATCGTTCCTATGGAAATCGTGAAGAACTACTATATCTCGGAGTATATGGGTATATATTAGGAAAACACAAAGTTATAATTTTATTTCCTTAATTTTCTATTACGTTGCAGACCTTTGACTAAAATTATAGACTCTATGCAAGGATAAAAATATGACTGTTCCTTTTTAACTATTTTTAAGATTGACTTAAATTAATTGTTCTCGAGTTTTTTGTAAGAGAAATTTAAGAGTAACAATTAGTTTAATTAATTGTTTTCCATACAACTAATAACCATTAGCGTAACTTATTTTTTTACTTTGCTTTATCTATTTTCAAAGTTCACTCAATTGATAAGCGCGCATATATTTAAATGCCTATCGATAACGACGTCATCAACGGCTTGAGTTCCGTCTGCCAGGGGCGTAGTTTGAAATCGATCGGCTATATATATGTAGTGCTCTATACAGCTACATGGTTCATATTCTCCAAATTTCAGTTACCGGTTTTATCAGGGAGTCATCGAATGCTCGTTCAAGCAAATTCCATACCAAATTAAGTGGGTTTCACATAAACCTACTCAACTTTGACTAAGCGATCAAAAACCAACCGAAGAATAGGCTTTAACAAATTGGTTTTCTTAGGTCTGAGCAAATAAACGTCGAAACACATTAAAAACTCCACAGTTTTTAAACCAGCCGTCCCAAAAAGCATCGGACCTTTAAATTTTGAACAATATAATTCGAAACAATTTTGAAATACTCACTAAAAACGAATCAACAACAAATACATTTGCATAGTTTTTAAACGAAGAACGTAATCTATTTGTAAGTTCTTAAATTACCTAAGTTTAAAGTTAAAAAGTTATTTACTTTAAGTAGTTTTAAAAAGTATACATTTATTTTTCATTGAGTATTATTTGCCATCCTTGGTAATTATTTAAGTAATAGTAGGATACGATTGATGTTCATTAATGAGTTACTATCGCTTAAGGTTAAAATCAAATGAATAAATAATTTTTGTTAAAATTACAAGAGGTTTTTTTAGCGCCCTTCTTCGCTACATTCATTTCATGAATTTCGCCCCTGGGCGAACGAGAGAAATCTAATCAGCTGAATTAGAATTAAGTAGTTGAACTAGCGAATTAATAGCGACGTGCTTACTGCCGTCGGCTCGCCAGTCATTAAAAGTCGGGCAGGCGGAAGCCACACGCAGAATAAAGCAAAATCGGCGGACAGACAGATATAGGATTTGAATATGGACATCGATAAGGACGGTGATATCTTGCGGCCACTTAGCGATGGTGAAGTGGACGAACTGCTCGATCTGTACAAAGCCAAATATGGGGTGAAGAACTTCCACTACCTATTGATCTACAATCAGCGCAAGTGGGATCGACAGTTGGACGAGGCCAAGGTATCGCGCGATGATCCCAACTACATATCCCTGCGGAAGCAGTTCTTCACCCACCGAAAGGGGGACTTCCGGCAGTGGGGCACCTATGTGAGTCTGCATCGGGACATCGTGCAGAGCGTCTCCTTCTTCAGCTGGCAGCCGGATGGAGCTGCGGAGCTGTGGGAGTGCCTGGAGCAAACCCAGCTCATCGAGTGGACCCAGGGCGCCCTGCTGACCAACGTGGATCTGGGCTTTTGTGAGCGGATCAAGGAGTTGGTCGCCGCACGCGGTGTCACCTCCATTCAGCCGCGCCAGTGCTTCGGAATGGTCCTGCCGCATGAGGGTGCCTCGAGTGTGGAGGTTCCAGAACTGCTCTCCGAGTTCGACATCCGGCGGCTGAAGGATGAGGATGCGGCCATGGTGCACGATACCTGGCCCAACAAGGGCGAGGGCTCACTCACCTATCTCCGGGCTCTGATCCGCTTCAACAAATCCCTGGGAGTGTGCCGCAGCGACACTGGCGAACTGATTGCTTGGATCTTCCAGAACGACTTCTCCGGTCTGGGGTTCGTATACCTAAAATACTATATTACACATTATTTTTCAAAAATATTTTACCTTTTACTTGGCACTGCTTCGTTATTGCTTAGGTTATCTACAAATATTTATTTGATTAATAGAGATGTCTTCTTACATTTCATATTCATTTACTCATAGAGTTTTTCTATTTCCTTTCGATTTAGACACCTTTGACAAAAATTAAATCTTTGCTTATATTTTATTTTCAAATATGGAAATTAACTTATAATTTTAAAAACTTCAAAATTTAACTATCTTCTTAATCTTTTTTTATATACAGAAGCTCAAAAATGTATCAAGAAACTGGATACAAAGAAGATACAAAGTTTCAAAATATTTGAAAATTAAATATAAGCAAAGATTTAATTTTTGTCAAAGGTGTCTAAATCGTTTTTAGATAACCAATAAATTTAATTGCACACCAATTGTTTTATCAAAATATGAAAAAAAGTTTAATCAAAAATAATTGGTAACTTTATCTCTATCATTGTTCTAAGACTTAGTAATTTAAATTGAATTCATAATTAAATAGGTTTTAAACTAGTTGCTGCCGCAACAATGTACAAATTCAAAACTCTGTTAATCTATGTTCTACCTTTCTAGCATGCTCAAAGTACTGCCCAAGGCGGAGCGAAGGGGACTGGGTGGTCTCCTGGCCGCTGCGATGACCCGAAGGATTGCCCGGGGCGAGGATGTCACTCTCACGGCCTGGATAGTGGCCACCAACTGGCGGTCGGAGGCGTTGCTCCAGCGGATCGGGTACCAGAAGGAGGTGGTCAACGAATGGATCAAGCTGGTGCCCAATCCCTCGTAGGCGCTCCATCCACCGTTGGACTGCGGCGGTGGTGGACATTCCGTTGGACAAATAGGTTAGGTCAAGAAGTACACACGGTGATTTGCATTTGCTATGCCTATGTACATGGTCAACAATTTTATTTCGGCATTTTACATGCGCTCACGCTGTCTGAATACACTTTACTGCTTAATCAAATTCAAAAACAAATTCGAAACTTGCGGGCGATGGACGATGGGGGATATGGAAAACGGGGACTCAAACTACCTATTTACATACTCGCCTCGCCTCCGAAACAATATCAAAATACATTTAATTTACAGCAATGCTTTGCGTTCTGGATCAACATACAATACATATATCACGCACCTTTGACTCAACCGGCACAACATCTGCGAGTTGATTTACTAAAAGAATGTGTAAGAATGTGTCTTTCTTCTCTTTTCGAGACTTCCATGGAACTCTTATAGAACATGAAGTGAAGTTTGTAAAGTATTCCAGCAATATTCAATATTAAAACACTCTTTTAGTCAATCTACTTTAAATACTAGTCATTAGCCGTTTTGTTTTAGCACCGTCAGATCTTGCTTTCTTCTTTGATATCAATCTAATAAGACAGACAAACTTATATGTTTCAAAAATCAATTGTCTTCTAATTGTGTTGTGCATAGAAGCAAATGTTTTGAAACACAGAAATTTACAAGTTCCTTGTTATATACAATTGAAAATCCTGCTTCGTCCTTAATATTATATAAATTAGAGTTGTGCCTCTTTAGTCAAACGTATTCAATATATATATATTAAACATACATATAGAAAGAGAGAAGGGGAGAGAGTCGGGGATCGGGTGGTGGCGGTCACGGGTTAATTCTATTCAGCTAACCCGTCTATTGGATACATTTACTAACTACAAACTAAACAAAGAGCAGCCGCGTGGCCGTTCCGCTTGGCATTCCGCTGCCGTTCGCCAGCAGGCTGTTCCCGGGCGCCCTGTGCAGCCCATTGGATAGTTTTCCGTTGACCGATCCCCGGTAATACGGATCCGTCTGCTGCGACAGTGGCGAATACTTTACATTGCTGTTCTGCGACAGCGGCAGTGTCGGCTGCTCTCGGCCCCGGGTGATCTGTTTGGCGCGATTGTAGCACAGCACGCCCACAATGGCCAGCGTCATGCCCAGGCAATTGACCCACGTCACCGGATTGCCCAGGATCAGCAACGATACGGCGATCACGAAGATCCGCTTCGAGGCGCTGGCCACCGCATATGTGAGCGGAGTGACCAGTGACAGGACGCTGAAGGCGATGATGTTCTGCAGCCAGTTTAGGACACCGTCGGCGAAAAGCAGGGCAATCACCCGGTAGTCCAGGTTTTTCTGTAAAAGGAAAAACACGTAAGTGTTAGGAAAGGCTTTAAAAATACGGAAGCAATAATTAATAATTTGTTGGATTCATTAGTTTTCTTCTATTTTATCATAATAAGTTATGTCATTTCGTTACATTGCCCGATTTCTCGGTACCATGTTTAGGGTGTATTTGTAATCTATCAGAGAAGGTTAACATGCAGTTTGGCTTCATTGGAATCACTTTATCTCAATTTGATGTTAATCTTTCAATCGTTAAATGGTCTGTTGCTCCTAGTTTTTAAGGCCTTATTTATTATTAACGTGTTGCTTGTACATTTTTATTAGAGCTCTGCATGAATCAACAGTATGTTTCCATCACGGCTATGATCTCACTTAGAAACATGAATTATTAGAATCATACTGTGAAAATGTTTAAAAACAAAAATTGATTGAAACATTTTTGATTCTTCCTGGGCTTTAATTTCTATATCGCAGCACGCATTATGTACTATCAAATCAAATTAGGAGGATAAATTAATAATAGTTTTAAATAGTAACTAATATCAGCATATCAAATTAAAAGTGGTTTAAGTTTGGAAATTCGACACGGAAAATTTTAAATCCATTCCCAAAAAAAAATATTTTTTCTTAAGCGTAAGCACTTAGCATTGTCGTAATTGCTATTAATAAAATATTTCTAAGTTTTGGAAAGAAACAAAACCTTTCAGTCTAATTTGCCCAAGTGCTTTTATATTACAAAATAAATCTATGACCGAAAACAGGCAATGGAAAATAAACCACAGAACACGCTGTCTTTGTTGAGCGTTTAACTGTGTAGAATTATTAAAACTATATAAGTAAACAAGAAGGCAAACACAAGTGTTTCTAGACATTTCTAGTACACTTGCGTGCATAAGTATTATGAATTATTTGGAAACGTGGACACTAAAAAATGGATAGTATTGAGACATTTTTGGTTTGGTGTTCCTTTAAAATGAGAAGTTCTTGTTAATATACAATAACTTGAAATGGTTAAATCAAAGCAAGACTTTTTTTTTGTTTTCCAGCTTGTTCACCCGATTACTGTTAATTAAAGTATCCCCCTATCGAATTTTATCTGTACGAAAGAGACAATTATGAAGATAAGATTGCCCCAAGTTTCCGCAGATCTAACGACCCTCCAGGTTTCCCACTTACAATGGCCGTGTGGCGGAATACAGCAAAGCTGTCCATGTACAGCCAGAGGGGCAGGAAGATGAACAGCGACAGCTTTCCAAGCAAATGCAGGAGCCGTAGATGGTGGATGTTGGTGTCCTTGAGAACCTGCCAGGGGGTAATAAGAAACAAATAAATTTAGAGTGGCCCCAAATCACAGGGTAAACGAGAACTGTACCTTCTTGGAGAAGATATTTTGCATGGAGAAGCCCATCGTGGAGATGAGGGCGCTGATCAGGCCCATCATGTCGAAGGAGATCTCCGTGACGGTGGCAATGCCCACGCCCGTAATGATGGGCAGTAGGCTCAGGTACACGAGCGTCGGCTGTTTCTCGCCAAAGAAGAGGCGCGTCAGAACGACGGTGAACAGTGGCATTGTGGCTTTGACTGGAGGGGTAGAGAACAAGTAAAATGTTATTCATTAATATTAGTAGCTCAACAATTTCATTAATATACCGAAGAGCTCCCATTTAAAACCATTAATATTCAAGAGGTATGCGTTTTGTCTACTTTAAATAAATAAATTATAAAACACTCAATGCGCAATCAACACAGTAATTGATCATTCATTCAGAGTTCTAATTACAACATTCAAAATAGTTTTTATCATTTTAGAGATATAATCATTTTTGTACGGTAAGTTACTTTAAATGCCATAGCATCATTGACATTTTAATATTTTATCTTTTCATTGAAGTTTTGATCATTTAACAGATACCAAACCATGAATACGTCGCAAGATCTTATCGGTTGTACCCCTATTGGATGGGCTACCCATTAGTCTCTTAGACACATTAGACAGATTCTGCTGACGTGTTGGGAATCACTAGTTTGGCGGGCACGCGACTCACCCGTGTGCGCGTAGGAAACTGGCACCTTCCACAGCGAGATGTGCGAGGTGACGGAGGCCAGGAGCTTGCCCAGGGCCAGTGGGACTATCAGGCGGTAGTAGTAGGGGCGCGGGATGTCCTGGTACTTCCGGATGCGCCACAGGTTGAAGAAGGGCCCGCTGTACAGCGTTATGCTGCACAGTTGCACTAGAGTCACGGTCATCGGGAAGGGAAACTCGTTCAGGACCATCTTGCCGATCACGTTGTTGCTGGAGGAGATCACGTACCAGAAGAGGCACATCAGCAGCACAACGGCTATGTGCCGCGATCCCGTCCGCTTGCCACCCAGCATTTTTGGTCCGAGTTCCGTTTCTCGGGGTTTGCCCGTGCTCTTGCTCTCGTCGCTTGAGTCCGGATGCGGGTGCCGATTTTGCCGCGGATCAGTGGCAAGAGGCAAGGCCTGATCCTGGAGATGGTAGGTCTGGCCTGGTACCTGCGGTCTGATAAATGTTCGACGCACGGGGCTTATTGCATTGCGCCTGTTTTGCTTTAAAACGTTGTCGTCTGGTCTGTTTGTTTTCGACGTGTACTAAGGACAGTGTGACCAGATGCTGCATCTGTTTTCCCCCAAACGCTTTTGAACAAACTATGCATTTTCAATAAACAAAATTACTTTTCTTTGTAAGCTTAAACGCGAGGTAAGTTTAAAATTGGTAAAGAAGTAATAAAAATAATTTAAAATAAAGTTGTGAATAACAATAAGAAACAACAGTGGGCTGTTATTTTGTCTGTTATTTTTCGGCGTATTCTTTATTTAAAATTTTCGTAGCTAGCTTTACAGTTGCATGTTTTTACACAAAAACGACATTCAAATTTACGAAAAAAACAACTAAACTTACTCCCTAAAACTTATTCCTCCCAAACTGATGAAAAACTCCTAAATCTAAAGTATAAACCTCTACTCTTGTATACCGATAAACTAAACTGCGTAAGAATCCTCTTTTATTTCAAAACTGCCAGTATTCAAATAACATTATATGGTAATCCTACAGAGTTAGTTCTGGCGGAATTCACAATTCAAAATCAGATCACTCCCTATGTCTATTATCCCATGGAATTAAATAAAATTAAAACCGAACAGTGGTTTTAAAACAGATCAATAGAGTCAATAAGTCTTTTACAAATTCAATGATGTGTTGTGTGAGATTAACATATTAAGCTTCTGAAAATAAATAAAAGCAAGGGTCACACTGAAAGCATGAAATATATCGATGTTTTTGAAGTCCTTTTGACAGTCCAGGTTCAGCCCTAATATTTGGGCAGTAAAGGAATTCTGCCTGATAGAAGGGCGATAAAAATACCTGTGTTTAAAAGAGAAAAAAAATAAAAACAATGAACCGTTTGCGTCGTACATCGGCTGCCTACGCTTCTGGCGGCCTTCAGGTAAGTTTTTTATTGAGGGTGGCGCAAAATTTGAAGCGGGTCCCAGATACATAAATACAGTGAACGCTGGGTGCAGCAGAAAGAGTAAATAAACTTTTGACTATTATATTGAATTATTTTAAATACAAAAAAAAAAACAATTATAAATTGCCTTAGATTTCTACATTTTTGTTATTTTATTATCTTACTAAAAAAAATGTTTATAATAGAGTATTCACTGTAAAGGTAGTTGTCTACATGTGATCAAGCAAGTGCATCAATCTGATGTTTTTCGGACAGCATCACATTTTGTTTATGATACATATGTACATATGTACATACGTATGTAAATACTTTGAAAAACTTAAACAAAACTACACAAACTATTTTTAACATTCATAGCATCTTAATTAATTTCTATATTAACGGCCATTCTGTTTTTATTTATATGATTTGCAGCGCACAATCAGAAAGTGTGTGTATTCCAACCCAATTGTGAAAGCATTTGCAATAGCCACTAAAAGCGGGTTAATCGAAAGTGCAGACCGTTGTCCGAATTCAACCAGCATCCAGTCCACAATGCATCCCCTTGAATTCCAGGATCCACACTCCACCCCCACATTTTCCAATCATTCCATTCTGCTTGTGCTTTCGAACAACCAGAGATGGCCAGCACTGAGATAGTTTCCAGCTTTTATGGCTACTGAAAATGCATTCACCCGAAATTGTAACTAAAATTATTAGTTTTGCGTCAGATAGCAATGCCCATTCACTCCACCGAAAGTGCCCGAAACGAGATGCCGGCAATGAACACAGGCCAAAACAAATTTGAATGATTTTTATAGTTAGCTTTGAAAGTTTTATATATAGTCCTGTTGAATTAAAAATCAACATTTCTACCTAAAACTTCAAATTTATCAGTTTTTTCGATCCGTCTTGACTTCTTGACTTTTTAGTTAAAGTTGAAAAAACTTGTTTTTTTCTACAAGATTTTCCCTTATACATTTTGTCAATTGGTTTTTTTAATTGATCAGACAAAGTGAAATTGTCAGTCTCAAGAGTGTCATTGGCCAAAAGCGATGACTGGAGAACCCACAGTGGCTGGTCAAGTGGCTCCTTGGGCATAGAGCTTCGTTTCGGGGCACTCGGGTCGCAGCAATGGCCATGGCTAGTTCCTGAACTATGGTTTTTAGTAGACCAGCGAGCCTCCTTTGGAGGGACTGTAGAAGACCCGCGACTGGCCTGCACGAGGAGTTCGATTGGTAAACGAGTTATCCGTGATTCTTCCTTTCTTTTTCCTCCAGGAAAACAAAAAATAAACGAAACAGAAGTTTAACAATCCATTGATCAGTTTACTAACGACGCTTTTTCCAAAAACAGAATCCAAATTCGGTTAGAGCGGGAAAAAACGTGCCTGGCAAGAAACCGGATGCCTGTCCCATGAACAGTGCCATCAAAGAGGATGACGAGATGGCCGAGGACTCTCCAGTCGAGAAAACGCAGACCACGGAATCCCCGGCTGAGAACAATACGGACCAGGAAAGAGCGGACTCCATGGACGATGCCATAGTCGAGAATGTCTATGTAGACATTAGCACGAAGAATGGTGGCAACGGCAAAATCCCCTTCAAGGAGATCTTCTTGAAGCGCAAGAAGTCCTCCGGTAAGCTTGGCAATTAATCTAAATCATAAACCTTAATAATATAATTATTTTACTCTATATCATAATGTATTAAAAGATCTATTGTATAGTTAATATCTAATTTAAAAATTCTTATCATTTTAAACAGAGAATTGTTCGAGAAGGTTGGCATCTATCAAGTTCTTTTTATGCTTTTCTCTCGTAAAAATTCATTCGGAAATTCCTTTAAATTTAAAATTATACCCTAAGCTCAAGCTTGGTACAGACATTTTGTTTATTTTGTTTATAAATATACAAGACATTATTTCGATGTGCCATTTTTCCATTTTTAGAACGCATCCGGGACAAGAAGCTGCGCCAGAACCGCCAGCTGCGCAAGTCCATGCTGCCGAAGAACGCCTTGATGGCCCTCAACGAGGTGAAGGGCGTGACCATCAGCGATTTCATTATCGAAAGTGATTCGCACGGCGGATTCACGGCCTTGGTCACGGTGAACTCCAATCAGTACGAGGGCAAGGGTCTCTCCAAGATGTCCGCCAAGAATGCGGCCTGTGAGAAGGCCTGGCGCGACTTCATCATTGCCAAGATGAAGGCCAAGAGTCCCAAGCAAAAGCCCGTCAGTGGCGACGAGGTGACTGCGGACGGCCATGCCGAGGACGACGCAATGGAGACGAACGAGAGCGATGCCGAGTCCCAGGACGATGAGCTGCCCATGCTGAATCTGGCCTCGTTTGCCATCTACAAACTGTTTTCCGAGTGGGAGCGTGAGGGCTTCCCGGTGCCGCAGATGCATCCTTCGGCCAGCACTGCTGTTGCAGATGGAAAGGAAACCGCACCACTGGCGCCCGTGGGGCCCAAGGAGCCCAAGAAGCCGCCAATCCGGACCGAGCTGCCCGCTGGCTGGGAGACTCTGCACCCGGCCTCACTTTTGTCCATTGTAGGTATAATATTGTTTAAACATACAATCAGATATCTTTCGGTGTGACAGAGTTTCTTATTTTTATTTTTTATTGCAGATTATTCTTTTTCAAAAACAGTCGACTTTTTAGTATACCAAACAATCAAGATAAAGCATATAAATTCAGAAACCCTTCTCTTTTGGCTATCATAGCTTAATGTAACCAAAATAGTCGAGTGAAATCGATATATAGTCTTATTATACTATTTAACTTAATTAAAGGTTTTATAAGTTTTGTCAAGGAACGACTGCTGTATTTTTTAAGCAAGTGTATAAACTTCATAATTGCGAAACTATCCTCAGATGCGCCCCGGAATCTCGTACGTGAATTTTGGAGAGCCCGGAGACCAGCCGAATATGCCCCAGTGCTTAAGCGTGACAGTGGACAATCAGGAGTTCATCGGCACCGGAAGATCGAAGAAGATAGCCCGTCGCAATGTGGCCGCTACTGTGTGCAACGCGTTGTTTGAAACTAACTTCATCTGCGAGGAGCAATAAGCAGCTCCTGTTTGAAATAAGCACACCTAAGACAATTGAATCTGAACAAATGATTCAAAGTAACACAGTATAGACGACATAATTACCAAAACTGTAAACTGTCTAAAAACCATTTATAGGGATGCAATTGAAATTGTATATGACTTAAATTTTCATAATGCAGAAATATCTGCATTTTTTACTTGTATTTTTATTTTAACGGATTGATTTATCAATTGAAAATATATTGCATGTTGAAACAACATGAAATTAAATTGTTGTTCTTACTAATAAATATGGTGTGAGTCGAATTTTTAATTCTTTCAAACTTAAAAATATTTTTCCTGCTTATAGGATAACGGTTAAAGGCTTATAATTATTACAAAAGGTACTGTTACTCCCACCAGACAAAATTGCAGTACATTTGCACAATTGGTATTCAAATCCAACCGCCCAGTCGTTTGCCACTCACACGTCGAAAATATGTTGAAATGGAAAACTGGTATTTTTATATGTATATCTATGTTGCGGTATTTTCTTCTAGCTATTTCTTGCCATTTTTAGCGCATTTTTCAGAGCTCTTGTATTTTTGACCATCTTATCAACGGTCTCACTTGTCAGTTGTCTACGTGAAGTTGAACGATAAAATTGGAAGAAAAAGTCAAGATGAAGCGAGCTCGTCGTCCAAATACAGGCAACAATAAATCCTTTGTCTCCGGCGGAATTTACGTAAGAATCAGTTAGCGGTCAATCCGGCATTGGATCAATCGCTTTTCCACTGCGTTTACATTACTTTTCACCCAAAAAGCGCCGCATTGCAAATTGATTGGTTGTTTTTGCAAGTGTGTGTATGTATTGAGTGCCTGACGTCACGATAACGATTTCGCCAAGTGAATAAATAGAAAAACGAATACAAAAAATCGACGTGCAAAATAACCATTTTGTTTGACTCATGCATATTTGATTCTATAAAATAACAAGATTCCATTTTCGTTTCTATAATTTGCAGCGCACAATATGAAAATGTGTGTATTCCACCCCAATTGTGAATCCATTTGCAATAGCCACTAAAAGCGGGTTAATCGAAAGTGCAGACCGTTGTCCGAATTCAACCAGCATTCAGTCCAGGTCCACAATGCATCCATTTGAATTCCAGCATCCACATTCCATCCTCCACACTTTACCCCTCCCAAACCTCCCACATATTCCAATCATTCCATTCTGCTCGTGCTTTCGAACAACTAGAGATGGCCAGCACTGCGATAGTTTCAAGCTGGACTTGCGGTTATCGCTAACTTTTATGGCTACTGAAAATGCATTCACCCGAAATTGTAACTAAAATTATTAGTTTTGCGTCAGATAGCAATGCCCATTCACTCCACCGAAAGTGCCCGAAACGAGACGCGGGCAATGAACACAGACCAAGGACCGAAGGATCCCATCCCCCATGACAATCGACAAGTAAAACTATGCAACAGCCCAATTCAATCCTACTTTTTTTTTTACCAAATTCAAATGCCAAAAATTTCAAAATTGAAAATTGAAAATTTTTTTTAAATCCTGTTTTGCAAGTTATTGTATTGTACTGTAAGTTTTTACCTTTTTTGTATTCTATACAGAAAAAGTAATATTTAATTTTTACTTATGGCCCAAATGATTTATTTTTGTCATAGTAAAATTAACTTTTTTGTGTAAGATTTTTAAAACAATTTGGACCTTATCAGTGTAAATTTCAATTGTAAATTTGCCTTAATTGTTTGGCCTTCTGTAACCAAATTTAAAATATTCAAACTGTTGTATCTGGTTTATCAAAAAACTAGGATTTGCATTGGCCAAAAATGAAATGGGGTTGCATAGTGTTACTGTCAGTCATTCCAGAGTCCTTGGTCGGATGCAATGACCGGAGAATCCACAGTGGCTGGGCACGTGGCTCCGTCGGTGCAGAGCTTCGTTTCGGAGCACTCGGGTCGCAGGAATGGCCATGGCTAGTTCCTGAACTATGGTTTTTAGTAGACCAGCCGACCAGCCTGACGCTTTCGTGTAACTTGACGACTTGATTGTTTCCGTTGGCCAGCGAGTCTCTTTTTTGTTAACACACTGGATAAGCCCGCTGCAAGTGATTTTGTCTAGGGGAACCAAGCGACGAAAATTCGTTCCCTTCACCCACTAATCCGCTAATGAAACTCTTTTGCAAACGCAGAATCCCAATGCCACCGCCAAGCCTTTGATCCAACCGCCGTTGCAGGGCAATAATGTCCAGGAGTATCAGGCTCCTCCGGTGGCTGCTTCTCTGCCACCGGCTCCTGCCCCAGTTGCCGTTCCAGTGGCGGTCTCGCCTGCCAATTCAAAGCAATTGGATGCGGCTTCCACGTCCGGGAAGCTGCCCATGCCCATTATCGTCAAGGAGGAGCCGACGGAGCTTGTTAATGAGGAACCGGATACCGCAGGGGAGCTCTCCATCGACCTCAGCGAGGAGAATGGCAGCGGCACCAGCACCGGCATCGGCGGCAAGATCCCCTTTAAGAAGATCTTCCAGAAGCGCAAGAAGTCGTCTGGTAAGCGAAGAAAACCATTGAAGCTGGTTGTAAACGGTGCAGAGGCATTTATTCACATTTTACACATGGAACTATGAAAAAAGCAAAGATGGTCAAAATGTTCAAGCAAAGAAATTAGGCTTGCCTAACATGGCCCAAAGAGCTGACTCTTAAAAGTCTGTTAGAGAGTCAGCGAACATATGCTATGTAACGGAATTGGCACAGAAATTATAAAATATTTCAATATTATTTTGCACATAACATTTTCTGATTTTGTTTGATATACATCAAATTTTCCAATTTTTAGAACGCACTCGGGACAAGAAGCTGCGACAGAACCGCCAGCTGCGTAAGTCCATGCTGCCGAAGAACGCCTTGATGGCCCTCAACGAGGTGAAGGGCGTGACTATAAGCGATTTCACCATCGACAGCAATCCAGACGGAGGATTCACCGCCGTCGTCACGGTGAACTCCAATCAGTACGAGGGCAAGGGTCTCTCCAAGATGTCCGCCAAGAATGCGGCCTGTGAGAAGGCCTGGCGCGACTTCATCATTGCAAAAATGACCCCTAAGCCGTCCAGGCTGCAGCCAAGTAACAATGAAAACAGCTCTGAAGAGCCGATGGAAACCAACGAGGATGAGCCTGACGCACCGGAGGATGATCTGCCAATGCTAAATCTGGCATCGTTTGCCATCTATAAGCTGTTTGCAGAGTGGGAGCGAGAGGGCTATGTTGTGCCCGAGATGCATCCGTCGGCAAATACTGCTCAACCGGGCGGAGGCGAAGCCGCACCGCCAGTTCCAGCGGTGCCGAAGGAGCCCAAGAAGCCGCCAGTGCGCACCGAGTTGCCCTCCGGTTGGGAGACCATGCACCCAGCCACTATTCTCTGCATTGTAGGTTATCCCACAGCGGTTTTGTTGCGTACAATTGCTAATCAATTATTTTGTAGATGCGTCCGGGGCTCATTTACGTGGACTATGGATCCTCTGGCGAAAAGCCCAATGTGATGCAAGACTTGGGAATCGTGGTGGACAACCAGGAGTTCTCCGCCAGCGGAAGATCGAAGAAGATTGCACGACGCAACGTTGCTGTGGAAGTGTGCAACACTCTTTTCGGAACGAACTTTGCGTTAAGTGACACTTAAGCTTAAGACATTTTTAAAACGCACCCATACCATGCTTAACGGCAACATCTCTAAACACTGCGGCCGTAAAGTCAAATGCGCAAAAATTTATAGAACTTATTCTATACGACTAAAATAGCAGGTTCCAGCATTCCCCTTTCAATTTATATTAGCTTGAAATGAGGCCATTTTTGATTATGTAATTAACATTTTGTTTAGCGGGAGATTAAAAAAAGAAGGATTAATTAAACTATTTTATACGAACAAAATATCAGCAGAAAGGCAAATACCATATTTTTAAGGCTAATTTGGAAACGCTGTTCAGTTTCATTTATGTCGACAGAGTCAAACTTTGAACACTAGTGTTATTTATAAATAAACCTTTAATCCAACGATTAGAAACGTACATTTCTTAAATCCTTTTTGACTTCAACTAGATTTAGAAACATTTTGCACATATTTTAAATTAGTATTGGGTATAATTACCCCTAAGTAAGAACTTTTCAACAAAGCCGTTAAGTAAGGGTATGTATAGGTGCAATATTAAAGACATTAATAAAAGTATTAAAAGAATAAACCAATCTTAATGTTTTTCTCGGAAAATAAAAAGGTATAAACATTATTGAAGCATTCATTTTATGAGAGTATATTGATGTGTTATTAGCGTCCAAATAACGCCATACTTAAGGCACACATAATTTTATTGTTAGAAACATGTTTTTAGCCTCAATAAGGAGACGTTAAAAAAATAAACAATTCAAAATATACAATATATGGTGTCCAGTGAGTAACAATTATTTAATAGTCGGGAAATTCGACTATAGCGCTTTTTTCTGTTTAAAAAAAGAAAATGAGAAACATTTTTTTAAGTGTTCTGGACTTAAGGTTTGAGTCACCGCTGCATTATTCAACTTCCCCAACCACTGAGTACTTTTGAGCACTCTAGCAGCAGGGTTGCCAGACTGCCCGGTGACAGCTGATTTTTCGTTAGTTTTCATTATCAAACGCAAAACCAAACAGGATGTCGAAATTCCTGTCCCAAACGGCTCTAAATACGGTTCGTAACACGCGCTTGGGTTCGCGGCAGTTGTGAGTATAGCATGAACATGTTTTGGCCACCGGAATAACCCAATTTTGGCCGATTCCAGGGTTCGCAATTTTGCGGGCATCGTCTCCACGCGTAACAACACGGAACCGGCGCAACTGAAAGCAACATTTGGCCATGGTCAAGGACGTGGTCTCCTGCAGATGCAGCTACCGCTGGCGGGCAGAAGGAGCATGTTCATCCAGACCCAGGACACCCCCAATCCGGACAGCCTGAAGTTCCTGCCCGGCGTAGAGGTCCTGGGAAAGGGCAACACCTACGACTTCCCCAACGGAACCACCGCCCACAACAGTCCTTTGGGTAAGTGGGGACTACTAACAAAGTTAAAAGTTAGCAGCACAATGAGGGAGGCACTTTCTACACTGAGCGAGTTGATCTAGCCATGTCCGTCGGTTTCTACACAAACCAGTCTCTCACTTGTAGAGCCTCAGTTTTAAAGCAAAGTTTCATTTCCATAAACTTTTCCAAAAGTATTGTTTCTATTGCAGGTAGTTTATAAGTTGGAATAGGCTGTATCAGAAGACTTTACCATAGGAACAATCGAAAGAAATAAATGAAAAACATTATAACTTCGCCGTTTTTAAGCAATCGGGTAAACTGCCATATATGTGGTTGTTCTTAAAAATCTGGAATTTTGTTTTTAATTAAATCAACAAATATTTCGGAAAACCGATATGACTTCATTGTTTTTAAACATATACGCATACGCTGCTCGTTTTATATAATATGTCATTATTTGTTAGCTGCCTAGTTTAACTTTCTTTCCTTGTAAGACAAATCAACATAAATAATTTGTTAATAAATTAACAAATAATTTCATGCAGCTTTTTGACTGAAAATATTACAAATCCCTCTTTGATATTAGAAATTTCGGATGCAGGCATTACTTACTTGCTTTAAAATACATATCCTCAAACTAATATTGATAAAGCTGTTTTATAAGATTATCAGACATCTATATCCTAAGGATTTTAAAAAAACTGGCAACTTGGTATATTGACTAATTCAATTTTGTTATAACTAAGACAGAATACAGCTTGTTGAATTAAGTTTCCTTTCCTCATGTATGCATTTTAAAGAACAGTTGCCTTTTATTGATAAATTCTCTTTAAATATTTAATTCTCCTCAGCAAAATTGCTGTTCCGCGTGGAGGGAGTTCGAGGAGTGTTCTTTGGCGCCGACTTTGTCACCATTTCGAAACAGGAGGGCGCCGAGTGGAGTCTGATAAAGCCCGAGGTTTTTGCCGTCATCATGGACTTCTTTGCCAGCGGCTTGCCCGTCCTACATGACGCCCAGCCCAATGCGGACACCGAGATCCTCGAGGACGATGACGAGACGGTGATGATGATCAAGGAGCTGCTCGACACGCGCATCCGGCCTACTGTCCAGGAGGATGGTGGCGACATCGTATTCATGGGCTACGAGGCCGGCGTTGTCAAGCTAAAGATGCAGGGCTCCTGTTCCTCATGTCCCAGCTCCATTGTGACGCTGAAGAACGGCGTGCAGAACATGCTGCAGTTCTACATCCCGGAGGTGGAGTCCGTGGAGCAGGTCTTCGACGATGCGGACAGGATGATCGACAGCGAGTTTGAGCGTTTCGAGAAGAACCTCAAGACGCTCAAGCAGCAGGAGCCGACGGGCGGTGGCCCTAATTAGTGTGATGTTCTTTTCTCCTGTTTGCGTTGCTAATTCTCTAGTGAAACCAATAGTTGTATATGTAGTTGATTGTGTTATTAAATCTACGGCTTTAAGCTTAACTCTTAATGCATTGATTGGCTAACCAGCTTAAGCCATTTGTTTTCGGAATTATTCACAAGGTTATTTTAAAGCTATATAAAGAGTGTTTCTTAAACATTTTGTATTTAATGATAATAATTTCTTTGGTAGAATGCAATGTCTAATACTTAGCTTGTGATTAGAATTTTGTTAACTGTTGCAGAGCAACTGAAGTTCCTCTTATGGAAAAAAGTCTGGCCTTCAACATTGTCAACTAACAATTCTAAGCATAATTAATTCCGCACTGAGCAAGGTCAAAAATTCGGGAATGAATTCGGCCCAGTTTTACCCCATTGGCAAGTGGGTCAATAAACCCGTGTCATTGCCATTGATTTCACAAGTCGTTGAAGGAAATCCATTGCCAAGCGATGCCGCTGCCAGGCTACCGAGTTTAATCAATAAACTAGTTGGAGAAGAGCCCGAACCAGGAGGCCCAAGACCACTCTAACAGGAGCCGTAGGACCGAACAGACCTAAAGTGAACGGAGTTCCAAGGCAATCAAGTTGCTAATATAAACTGTCCATCGACCAATGCTCTGCTGGGCCAACGAGGATCACTATTTGAGCCAACGCTACCCGAATCCGCAGCAAAAGGCGCCCGAAACGCTCAAGAACCTGCTCTTGCGATCCAGTGTACCGATAGTGAGTGCTTCGAATCCCGCCGGCACCATGGCACCACTCAAAGGGCAGGAAGTGCTCAAGTTCCACAAGCACGCATATCTCGAGAACCGCATCTTCGATCACCGCCTGGTCAAGGACAACCTGCTGGACAAGTGGCCCACCGCCGACATGAACGAGTACAACGAGCGCAAGGACCACCGCAACCTCATGGAGTCCTATGTACCGGCCACAGTCCATATCATTATCTCAATACACTATAACTGCTATAACATAATGCATAGCTTTGTTTCACAGCACATCATCTGCAATATTACCACCCAAGAGCATATATCATACCATAATATCACTTAATTATACCCGGTGCTCGTAGTGCATATATGGCCAAAGACCAATATAATTATATTGGTCTTTGGTTTTGGCATAGAGAACCAGAAAAAGAAAGTCGATTTGGGAAAGCTTGAACTCCGGGAACTAAGAACTAACTCAAAATCGTTAAGTTTTGATGGTGGGAAAATCATTTAATATAAACTCTTGTTAGGTGTGAAACATGTATTTATATTAGGGGAAACTAGTACCGGGTATCTCAAAGTCGGCACTCGACTTTAGCGTTATATTTGGTTTTACATAACCCATATCATTATAATAATTTAGGATCAAATTTCAAGAATTATCATTTTTATCAGGATAGATCGGATTTTTTTTGTCAACTTTTTAAAGGCAAATCTTAAGTAATTTCGTTGTTTTTGGTTCAAAAATCGATCCATCCTCTAACTTACTTTGCACATTTCAATGAGCAATCCCAGTAGGCTATACCGAAATTTAGGACCTGTCACCTGATTCTGAAACCGAGCTCAGTTAAGTTTTTCCGCTCCGTGAAAGGGCACGTATCTACGTCGATATCAGTGTTTTTTTGAGATTTTCTCTATAAATTTCCAGCAATTCAAAATTCAAAGTGGCACAATTTCCAGTTGCACGCACTAGAATACACTAAGCTACACTACACTACACACGAAGCCACCAAACACTATGAGTCACAATGGGGCGGGTGGCGGAGCCGGGGGATCCGGAATTCCGAAAACCACGGTCATGTATTCCCAATTGCAGCCATGGAGCCAGGCGGGCGCTCCGCCCTGCATGGAGCCCGTCATGGGACCCTCGATCCCGCCGAGAGTTGGCGCCGCCTACGAGACGCCCACGAAGCACCCATGGAGACCGGCGATGGCCTACGAGCTGATCCAGGTGAAGCACCTGCCGGAGCAGCCGGTGACCAACCAGCTGACCAAGCAGTGCTTCCTGCCCAAGGGCATGAAGACGGACGGGATGATCTTCCCCAACCTGGTCACCGGGTTCGATCGCAATCCCCAGCATGCCGCCCGGGCCGCCCTCTACACGCGGTACACTAGCAACGAGTGGTACAACAACAACATGACCAAGTACTCCGAGTCCAACATGAACCGGTAAGTGGCCTAGTCTCATTCATAACAATCTAAGTAAATTAAGTATTTAGTATTATTCACCAGTATGCCTAATTAATTTAAAATGAAATCTAACGTTACTATACCTTTAATTGAATATTCAAAATTTGAAAAAGTAACTAAAGAATAGAAAATAGTTATGAATCCGCCATTTTGTATTTTTTATTATAGTTTCACTTCCAATCAAATTCTATTAGAATGTACATGCAGTGACGAACTTAATTATTGGCATAACAAGCATGTTGAACTTAAAGGCTATTTTTCTTTATCTAATATGCTGATATTTTAATGGAGAAAAATAAATAAATACACTTTTTTTTTATTTATCCCATTTTCCTCTATACTCTTAATGGTATAATTTTATAATTAATTTAATAGCTAATATTGTTTTACTGCCTTTGCACCAATGGCATAAATAAAATTGCGACCGAATTAGGTTGAAAAGGTTTCCGTTTTACCCTTCTCCATACATTTCCTAAATAGTAAACAATTTGATATATTTTGTCCTGTGCTTTAGCAACCTGTCTGAGCGCATGCGCAATGATGCAGTGCGTCTGATGCGGGAGACGGATGAGAAGGCGACCTCGGGGCAGAGGGATGCGGGTCGCAGGTTGGGCGAGCGGATCACCGACCTGACCTTCTGGCGGAACGAACTGAACGCGGAGCTGGAGAAGCTGATCGCCGAGATGTCGGACATCAACGAGCTGCAGCGGCAGTGCGGCAAGGCGCTCCTCGATCTGGAGATCCCACTGCACATCGCCCAGGAGTGCCTCTTCCACCGGGAGTCGCGCCAGGGCACCGAGAAGGTGCACGACATCGTCGAGAAGGCCCTCCTCGTGGAGATCAACAATCTGAGGAACTCGCGCGACCGCCTGGGCGGACTGCACGAGAAGATCTCGAAGCAGGCACTCGACTGCCGCGGCGCCCAGCATCTCCTCGAGGACGACGTGGCCCACAAGGAGTCCTCCTTGGGCATCGACTCCATGTGCCACCAGCTGAACAACCACAGCCGTGGCATCACCTACTACGGCGGCATCGAGAAGTTCGATCCCTCGGTCAGCACCCAGGAATCCTGGGCCCAGGCCAGCAGTGAGCACGTCCGCCGGTGAGTCCTGTGCCAGGGTCAAACTCATTATGGATCTGAGTATGCTTATATTTTGTAGTATACCTAAGGTACTCTATTTTTTAATTACCAACTTTATATACAAATCAGCCAAATTGAAAACAAAGAAGAAAACTTACCAGTAGTCTTTGAAAAGTATGAGTACCTTTAGATACTTTTAAACACACTTTCTCACAAATTTTGCGGTGACCCCAATATTATTACTATATTTTTATACTCCAGCAGATATTACAATTTCAGTCAAAATAAGAAACCATATCTTATGGCTGTTATTGAAATGATAGAAAGAAATCTAAATAAATCGTTTTATAGAATATTAAATTTTTGTTAACTGCACCGGTATATAACTCGAATATATAACACCAATATTGGAAAATAAATGTTTATATATGTATTTGGTACACAAACATTCAAAACCCATTCAGCTTGGGTTCAAAAAATGAAATCCACTAGTAGATATTATTGTCTCTTCTTATTTGCAATTCTAATCGGTAACCCTAACCCTCCGTCTCTCCAGTTCCCAAGCGGAGCGGGCGAAGCTCTCCCAGCTGCGGAGCGATGCCCAGAGCGTGGTCAACTCGGTGGCCACCACCGTGTGGGACTTCTGGAGCAACACCAACAACGCCTTCGATCGGCGGTCGCAGGAGATGGCCGAGGCGAAGAACCGTGTGCAGCTGCACCTGCAGAAGGTGCAGCAGGAGCTGTTCGACATGGAGAAGCACCTGTTCCTGCTGCAGAAGGCCATCCAGGACAAGTCCGGACCGCTGAAGGTGGCCCAGACGCGGCTGGAGGCCCGATCCCACAGGGAGGGTGTCGAGCTGTGCAAGGATCACGCCCAGGAGCGACTCGTCCTGGAGGTGCAGGACATCCAGGGCGCCGTGGAGACGCTGCACCACAAGCTGCAGGAGGCGGAGGCCACGCACCAGGGTCTGCTGAAGACGCGTTGCACCTTGGAGGTGGATCTGCGCAACAAGGTCAACGCACTGTTCATCGATCGGGAGAAGTGCATGAGCCTGAGGCGCTCCTTCCCGGTCAGCAATCTGATCAAGTACTGATCCCAGTCCGGACTCTGGAAACACGTGGGGCGGGCCTTTGCACCGTTGCACCCTCTTTTGCCCGCCAGACATTGTCGTTACGAGGTCCCAATAAATCGGTCTCTGTTTGTCCACTCCAAGGAGTAAAATTATAATATTATTTTAATCTCGATCTTAACTAGTAAAAAAGGTAGTTTCACTTCAAGATAAAATTGTAGTTTTAAATAGTTTAAGGGGTTCCGTCCTATAGGCATTGGTTAGTACGTAAAAGTACATAAAAATTGGTAATAAAAAATTCAAAAATGGTACATTTGGTTAAATACAAAATTTGGATTATCTAGGAAACTACGCCAATATTTGCTAGCCTGGGTTTTACAGAGTTAGGATTTACCTACTTATCATGGTTCACGAGAATATACATTTATTAACACTTTATAATGTTTGAAAAGTGCCTTTTTGAGAGAAAATATAAAATAAAATAATACAAAACATTTTCCTATTGTCGAAGTGAAGAAAATTTAATTGAGGAAATGTTGACACATGTTACACATTTACTTTCTTACATTTAAAATTATAAAATTGTATAAAATACCATTTAAAGTAAAAACATCTCTAAACACAAATAAAATAAAGTGGAACTAAATTTTAAAAATGTGAAATGGCGCTGATATGTATTAGAGACGTCAACCATTTTTGGGTTAGGATCTTTGATAACCATGGTATTAAAAA